ATAAAGGTCCACTAAACCTAAAAAAACGTGGCTGTTATAAACATTGTTGCCGTAATGGAGAAAGAAAGAGAGGATGATAGAGATATACCGGAGAAAAACTACAAGAGTTCAACTGAAGACTTCAACTTCAATAATTGAGCACTGAGTTGCCTTGTAGCTGCTTTTCCCTTTATTGTTATTGTTATTTTAAGACCAGCTTTTTATAAGAAGTAAGAACCCAAATATAGAATAGGCACATTATTGTAGTATATGATGAATATCCAATCATGTAATGTATGAATGAAAATTCAACTGAGTTAAAGTATTAATTTGATAATGTCATGGTCTTGAAGATTTTCTGTTTTTAATATATATATATATAAAATACAAAATGGGTAGAAAATTAGATAAAGTAATTGCCATTATTCAGCTATTCAAAAATAAAAAAGTATGGCACATGATTAATGAGCATTATGAAGAGCGCGTAGGACACGCGCAGACACGTAGAGTGGGAAACCTTAGGTTTTGCAATTGGGAAATTACTAATGGTAATGGAACTGTGAGAGCATTGTCATAGTGGACGAATAGGAGAAAGCTTAGCTTCAAAGAAAATGAGCTTTTTATTTATCACTTTTCCTAACCCCACCTTTCAAACTATTCCCCCAAGCAATGCCCCAGGTTTCCAGCTTTTTCCTTTACTCTTCTTATTTATATCTTCACCAATTATACTTTTATTTGCCTTGTCTTCATATCTATTAAACTAATACCCTTAAATATTTAATATTTTACATATAATTTATTATCATTCATGTTTATGCATGGGTTCATATGTACATTCTTAACAAAATAAGTTATAAATTTTAGTTTCAGTTACTCGGAATATAGTTTTTCAACTTATAAAATTACGTGAGAAAAAAATATTTAAATAAAATCAAGTTTGTAGATAAATTATTGTAAAAAAAGAAAAATAATATAAAAAGTTGATAAAACTCTTTTCATAAATTAAAATTAACTTATATTTCTCTATTTTTTAAAAGTTAATATCATTTAATTTTTTAAAAATTTGGAAAGATAAATTATTTTTAGTTTATAAAAAAATATTTATTTTTTTATTTTACAAAAAACTTATCCATATTTATTTTTTATTTCATATGAGTATGTAAGCCTAAATTATTTATTTAACACATTTGTGCACAGATTTTATTTTTTATTTTTCTCCCAATATTTAAATTTTAGCGGTTCCTTAAATCTAACGAATGACGAGCCTATACCAAAAATTGATAAAATCCGAGAATAGTTTTAGGACAAAAGTCCAATTGATTACTAGGCTGTATGTGCACATCCTTTCAGAATTTTATTCTATTTTTATTTTTAAATTTTGTACAAAAATAAAACATTTATTTTCCCTGTTTTCTAATATCTAAAATAAAATGATAAATCTGCAATTAAAAATAAAATAAAAAACTTATTTTAAAGTCAAAAAACTCCTAAACTTAATTTTCAATTTCACCTTGCTTTAAACTTAGCTCGAAGAACCAAGTGAATTAATCATCTTCTTATTGCAATACACGGCAGATTTAAGTAAATAATTACGATTATAGTTTTATTTTATATACACACAATAAAAGAAAAGAAAAACTAAAGTCTATTCATTAAACCAAAACAATATTATGTTTTTCTACTATAAATAAATGTCGTATTTACAATTGACTGATTAATATATACATATAAAAAGCTTGATTTATGGACATATATATCACCTCAGGGATCGCTCCAAGAAGTGGAACAATGATTTGTCCCAAAAATATAAAGTTGGGTGTACAAAATGACAGGGTTACGATCTTAAGTCATTGATTTAAATGCGTTCATTTCAACATCAAAGTGCAGGTTAATAAATTAAAAATTTAATGAAGGCTAAATCATGAGTGTTATGGTTGCTCCATGATCGATGTCCTCTACATTAAAATGATTTCGACCGATAACCACTTCCAATCATAGAAGACAAAAACAACGTAAAAACAAACATTCCATTCCAAAAAGGACATGAATGTATTTTACGTTCAAAGCGTTTGGAAAAATATATAGTAGAATAATACACATCAACTCCAATAATTGAATTGTAATCAGTTGCTAGATTCAGATTGTGAACAAAATATCTCTTCTACAAGAAGCTTACAGATAAAATAATTGAGTCCCCATTCAAATGGCGACTTAATTGTTATATGCGTGGAAGAATTTAAGCCACATATATACTCATTTTATGGACTAATTATACGACTTTTTCTTCCTTCTTTTACAGATACATTTTTTTTTTAAATTTTGATAATGGGGAAAGTTTAAGTCAACCAATCTTCATTTTTTTCTACTTAATCATAAACAATAATTTTTCACTGAAAACTAACTGTTAGAAACAATGTTTTGATACAAAGTGTATACAAGCAAATTAAAATCAGCTTTTACCAAAGGTCGTAGAAAAACTGCAGATGGCACATTAATTCGATTTTCAGCATGTGGAGTTTTAGACAAGTGAAACTTTAACTCCTTCTCATGCTTTTCCATGGAGCTAAAAGGATGGTTAGTCACGTTTAAAAAAAGACATATATAATTTTATGCTCAAAACATTGTTGGTAGACTGCTAAAAAGTACATATACGTACGGTTAATTGATTATTAATCGATGGACGCAAAGGTAAATAACACTACAAATAAAAATTAATAAGTATTGATATACTCTTTGTTGATAAAATTTTTGTATTGTTAGTATAGATTTTGGAAAATCATATTAATAAATGATGCATTGTACTAAATGTATTAAGAGGATTTAATAATATTTTTATTAATAAATTATTTGTTATTATAATATATCATATTATTAATATAAAAAACTTATATTGGTAATTTTTTTTTGGTTAAACAAAACCATAATAATAAAGACTATCTTAGTTTTTCTTTGATAGTAATAAACAAAATCTTTTGTAGTGGAAGGACAATATTAAAAAAAAAAAAAAAACTTCAATGTCGAATTTTTATTTTAGTTTCCTTTTTTATTTGCACAATATTGTTTCTTTCCTCATAAAACACATCCGATCAATTAATTCTAGTAAAATATAAACTTGTTATTTATTAAATAATCAAAGAAGATGTCCGTTTTTAACAGTGACAATTAATGTATCTTAGCTTAGTTAGATAATTTGTTGTTCTATGTAATATTAAATTTGTTTTTTGAAAAAAAAGCAGTGAAATTTTAATCCCCATATAAACATATTAAAATGAACTTAGTATATCATATTGTGATTTCGTTTGATATAGAGGGATAAAGTTGTTTTACAATCTAAAAATTTCTATATTGAGCTGAAAAAATATATATTTCTTTCCCTTTAATTGGATAACATGAAATATTCAATCTATAAGAAAAATGTCTTTTAAATTGTTATTTTTTATTTTAGAATTAGTATAAATCGGGATAGATTTACATTTTTTATTACAGTAGGCTAAAATTAATTGATATGTATATATGAATTATATGAGTCGTAGTTTTTCTTTTCTACTTTAAAATATAACATAATAAAGCGATAGATAATCCTAATACAGAAGATTGTGGCAGCATGTATGAATTGATTACACGTGAAGCATGTAAAAAAAAAAGAGAGAGAAAGGTGATAAGTTCTAAAAGCGACACATGTCTCCCCATTAATTAATCTCTCACATGCATATCCTTAATTCGTAGTTTCAACAAACACTTACCTAAGCTTTTGGCTTTTCGAGCTACCAACTTTCACTGTGATTGAAAAAAGTTAAAACGACGGGTCGCTTATTTAGTTTGTTCTCTCTTTGCCCGCAAGAAACAATAAGAGCCAGGTATCCACCTCACTTATTTCACTGGTTTATTAATTAATTAAGAAGTAATGGCTTATACTCAAAATGTATTATTTTACTACAACGTAACGTGCTTAAATCGCAGCCATATGCCTGCATTCCTAATCCAGAAATCAAAACCATTATATCACTTCTTCTCATGGCATAAGAGTGGTAGCTTAGAAAACTTTAAAACTCATTAATTTAAACTAAAGAAAAAAGAGGAAAAGTGAGAGAGAGGAAAAGTTGAGAAAGGCAACAATATTTTGGAGGGGCCAGCTATAGTTTCACGTCGAGATGTTAGTGGAATCACACGAGGACAACGGAGTGGGAGTGGTGGCATTGCTGTGAGCCCGTTTTACTTTAAACCAAATCACACCAACCAAATGCTATAGGTCAAAATCTTTCAAAATTTTGGCACAAACACATAATATACACCGGAGCGTGCGCATATATACCATACCATGCAAATTCTATTTTAAATATTTAACAACATTCATGCGTTGGAAGGCTTAAAACGAGTCTTGCAAAAGAAAAAACATCAAGAACGATGAAAAACAAGTTAGCATTTATAAGGGTAAGCAAAGGAGAAAACAAAGCTTGATTAATTACAAACCAAAAACTCTGCAAAGTAGGACAGTGCTGATATGAATTATAAATTCAAGGATTCAATATATTCTCGAGTACAAAGAAGCGTACGAAGAGTACCCAATAAAGGTTTCAATAATGTTCCCCAGTTAGTCAGTGTGTGTAATATATATATATATACACACACTAGCAAATTAAATCCATATTTTATAATTTCGATTAACATTAATGCAAGAAGCCTGTCCTTAAACCTTTTACGCACACTAATTTTTCATATATAATTTCCTCAACTTCAACTATTCTCCTTTTTCAGAAAGGACTGTTTAGACTCTCATGCACGTCTATCGACGACCGTAGACAAACAAAAGAAAAAGATAAAGAAAAAGTAACGGTTGCTGGTAACAATAATAAAAAAAGATTATTCATTTATTGTTTATAAGCAAAAATTAAATTAAACAGATGCGTCTTAAACATGATGAAAATACATATCCAAAAATGATGGTTAAATAATTGAGATGGATGATGAACTGAACACATTTTTATTATTAACAAAAGAGAACTAAAACAAGGTTAAATGAATTAATTCTGCTTCCTCAAATCCTTGTAAAATCTCTTTATAAACTCTTCCGCCGCCTTGTCAACCTGGTTGTCTTTCTCATCCTCCGTGTCACGCAGAGGAAACGGCGAATCCGTGACCCTTAATTGCCTCACCATAGGGCTACGCCCAAACCCTGGCAGTGCAGGGGACGCTTCTACGGTAACCTCATTGTTCAGCATCTCAAGCACCGCTTTCACTGCGTTCACCGTCACCACCTCGTCGTCACGCGTGGGAGGCGCGTGGGCACACGTGAAGAAGTGACCGTGGTTGTGGCCGTGACGGTGGCGTTTCCCTATGGGGAAGAAGTTGTTGGGAGTGTTGCTGCAGCTGAACTCGTACTCCCTTGGAGCGGAGAATTGTAAGTGTGAGTCGTGCGAGCGGCGGCTTGAGGTGGAGCCGCCGTGGTGGTGGTGGTGGAACATTAGGTTGGCAATGGCTTTTCCGGCAATCTTTCCGCGGCGTTTGAGCATCATGTTTAGGTCCATCATTAGTTTCCCCTTTGATATTCCTTTTCTCAACATGAAGAAAACCACGCGTACCATGTTCCACACTTTCTTCGCTAGTACTGGTATGTTGCTTTCCATTGAGAGAGTTGTTTTTAATTGGAATAATGAGAGAGAGAGAGAGAGAGAGAGAGAGAGAGGTAGAAGAAGAGATGAATTGAACACAAGAGGGGAGGGATATGGGTTTATATAGTGGGGAAGAGGAAAAGAAAAGAAAGAAGAAAATTGTGTTGATAATTAATTTGATATTGAATCCACTTTAGAATTAGGATGACCCGTGGGTGTATGAATGTTCTGTGTTACTTTATGTCTTAATTTTATAATATCTTTGAGCCTATCATTATTCATTTTTGGGGGGGAACGTGTGGAATGGAAGCACTGCTTCCTTAGGAGAGGAGAAAGGAGTATTAGGTGGAACCTTAAGATAGCTAACCCAATTCCCAAATGCCAAATTTGTGCACCCTCCAAGGTTACTTTCCATATGTTAGTTTATAATTTATTTAATACTTTGTAGTGTATATATATATTTTTAATTAAATAATAGAGTTCATTAATTACTATACAATAAAATAAATTTATAATATTTGAAATAATTGTTAAAAATTTGTTAAATTAGTATTTGCTTTATAATTTAGAATTATTAATGCTTTATTTGTTTTTAAATAAATTACACATAAATATAAATGTTAAATTGTTTTCTCTTTATTTCATTATAACATTACATTTACATATCTTCTCTATATTCTTTTATGATGTAAGTTTATAATTTATTTAATACTTTAGAATATATTTTAAAAAAATTAATTTTAATTCTTAGGATTGAGTATTAACAATATTTTATTAAAATATTTCTTATATTTTTATAATCTTAATATAAAAAATACATTTTTAATAAAAAATTAAATTTTAAATGCTTAAATTTAACTTAAGTTAACAATTTTTTTTTAAAAAAAATAAGTTACTAGAATCATTTTAAAAACTACAAAATAGAGAAAATTTGTAGTTTTTAAAAATTAGTTTTTAAAAATTTGTGGTATAGTTTGTATGAACAATTTTGTTTTAACAAAATAATAATAATTTATTAAATGTTAGTAAAATATTTAACTCTATTAAGTATCGTTCTTGAAAGTGATTTATAACAAAGGTTATGTGAAAATTAATTGTATATTTGAATTGGATTAATGATCTCTTCGCATATATTGTTAATTTCTTTTAGAGTTCTAACAAGTTAGAATACTTTTTATACTTTAAATTTATCTTTAATAAAATATTGATATTTAACAAAAAAAAATTATAAATTTATTAAAATAACATTCATTTAATAGATACCAATATAATTTAATTTAATTTTTATTCTTATCATTTTAAACAAAAAAATATTTTTATTATTAAAAATATATTTTTAATAAAAAAATTAAAAATTTAAATGCTTAAATTCAACTTAAATTAACAATTTTTTTAAAAAAAAATTAGTTACTAGAATCATTTTAAAAACTACAAAATAGAGAGAATTTGTAGTTTTTAAAAAATTTGTGGTATAGTTTGTATGGACAATTTTATTTTAACAAAATAATAATAATTTGTTAAATATTAGTAAAATGTTTAATTCTATTAAGTATCGTTCTTGAAAATAACTTGTAACAAAGATTATGTGAAAATTAATTATGTATTTAAATTAGATTAATAATCTCTTCGCATGTATTGTTAATTTCTTTTGGAGTTGTAATAAGTTAAAATACTTTTTATACTCTAAATTTATCCTTAATAAAATATTGATATTTAACAAAAAAAATTATAAATTTATTAAAATAACATTCATTTAATAGATACCAATATAATTTTATTTTATTTTTATTCTTATCATTTTAAACAAACTACTCACAAGCACAAACTCTAATCAAATCATTTTTTTTATTTTTAATATTATATTAATTAATATAATTTAACGTAATTTTTAATCATTTAATATATTTTACCTAATTTTATCAAATAAGTGAATTTATTATCCCTTCAAAATGTTTATTTTACTTTTCATTTAAGATTTTTTTATTGAAATAATAATAATAATAATATTATTATTATACATTATCAATTTATAGTTGATTTTATTAAACAGAATCATAATTTTTTAATATATTTCAGCAAATGATTATAATTTATCAACTACAAGTTATAAACTCCTAACTAATCTTAATTACTAAACAGAGCATAAATGCACACGTTTAAGATTTTGTTATACAATCTAACTATGTTCAATTAAACAAAAAAAAAGTATAATTATAAAGTGTTTTAAAAATTTTATGATGGTTGATTTTTTTTTTAAAAAAAATAGTTTTGTATTTTTTAATTCAAAAAATATATTTTTAAAAATACAAAAATTTCACCATAAGAAATATTGTTAGGTTTATCCAAAGACACACCCACCCCAGGTTGATCATATTAACATCAATCATGGACTTTTTAATTAACTTAACTCATGCATGATTGAAATGGTTGAAAATGATGTTAGAAAGGATCATTATGTGTGCAAATAAAAATTAAGTCTCTTTGTGCAGTCATCCCTTTTTTAATTTTCTTATCCTTTCTCTCCTTTTCATAAAATTTATTATAAGACTCTTTTTAAAAATAAATTATTTTACAATCAAAATTATAATTTTTATGTTATTTGGGCTAAACATATGTAAATTTTTGTAAGAAAAATAATTCCTCCCAAAACTTCTAATAGCATTTTTTAAGGAAACCTAATTTATCTAAAGTTAGAAGCTATATATAAAATAAGAAAATAAATTTAGTTGTGATTTAAATTACAATATGTTATAAATATAATAAATAAATTTATATTTTTTTCACTTGTTAGGAAAATTAAATCCTATTTTAGAATGTTGTGGTGGTCCTGCGAGGACCACTCCTGGACTTGCCTGGTGTACAAATGTGACATAACATATCCTTAATTTAAGCATATTAAGCAAGTTTAAGCAAAGTTACATTACACAACTCTTACCTTATTTAATTAATAATCTATTTCATACACATATCATAATACATATATAAATTCCTGCGCGAACTAAATGTTAGCAATTTTTCTTAAAGAATAAAAATGAATAGTGATCTTTTTCTTTTTATTTGTTTGATTTTGAAAGAATATATAATTTTTATTTATCAGTCTATAAAGAAATTTTAAAAAAATATTTTTTAATGATTATAGCTTCAGCTTTATTTAATTTTTAAATATTTTACATACTTATCATGAGAAAGAAAGTATAATAGAGGCCTTGCTAGAAAGTTTAAAATAATTTTTATATAAATAAAAATATCCATTATATTTCTTAACTATGTATTATTCTGATGAGTAGATGAATTAAAAGAATTATAGTGAGTGTATGTTTGCAGCTGTACATGCAACTGAAGGTGAAGGATATGTGAAATCTTGCGAAAATATTGGTCTCTACAAGTAATGTTCTTTATTGATATGAACAAGAGAAGTAACAATTGTGCCCTCTTTAAATCATTTCATTAATTTGTTTATGTTTATAATTGAGTAGCTTCTGGATATATGTGTTATTAAGTGGTATATAGGCATTATTTTCAATAACCGTGGAGTATAGTATTGTTTCAATTTTCTTTTTATGAATAATTCACTTTCGTAACAATGATTTTCTAATAACAAATATGTTATTGATAATTAATAAATTTTTTATTTTGTATTTTCAAATAGAAAATATTTTCTTCTTATTAAATTACATAATTTTTCTTACATTGAATAATTGTTTTTATTTAGTTATTCTAATGTAAATTTTTAATATATCGAACTAAATTTATCTTTACATATAAATAAATTTTAAAAATATTAATAATTTGTGTCAATATTAATTGGAATACTTTTAAATTTTGTTTCATTATATTAACAAAAATCTTGTCCTTTGATTTTAAATAAAACATTTTTATATTTTTCTCAATTTAAAAAAACTTTATACCTTTAATCTATTCTTAGTTAATAAAATAATAATTATTAATTAAATGTATTTAATTTATAAATTTTATTATTGCATATAAATCAATCTACGTTAGATAGTTCGAACTTAATTTATAGTCTTAAATTTGAATTCTTAGTGATATAATTGTACTAAATTAAATAAAAAAATTTATCAATCGTAATATTCTTATCAGAAATAGTAATAACTAAGTAAAATAATAAAAAAATATTACAAATATTTAAACACTAAAAAAATACTCATGTAACATATAAAAACTTTTATCATTCTTTTAAAAATTAAATATATTATTTATATAAACAATCATGACCAATTTTAAAATTTACTAAATTTTTTAAAAATTATGAATTTTATTTTAAATTTAACAAGTTTTATTATCATTTTAATAAATATATTTTGTAATTGAAAGTACATTAAAAAAAAAAAATAGTTAGCACTCTTCTTGATTTAAATATCACAGACATATCAAACATACAAAATACCTCATGTAATTGTCTTACAATGAAATAAAAGCATAAACTACATACTTATTTAAGTATCATGTATAATTTTATTATAAATTTTGCCACTTATATGTATGTTTCTTTATATTTGGATCATTCTTCAAGTTTCTAAACGTACAACTTGACGAATTTTCTGTTTTTTAAAAAGATGTATCAATTAACTACCCTATCAAGTCTCGTAATCTCCTTTGATTTTGAATTATATTATTTGTATATTTTTTTATATAACTTTTTTGTTATACATCATTTATTTATTTATTTAAAACATTAACATCAGTCTTTAAAATTAATTTTAATAAATTAAAATAATAAATATATATATATAGTTAACATATTTATTTTATTAAAAATATATAAAAAATATTTTTTAATTAAAAAAACTTACTAGTTTAAATTGTTTAAAATCAACTTAAAAGACTGATGTTAAAACACCGCTGTATAAAAATAAAGCCCACCTACCATTTTTTATTTCTAATGGGTTTGAGAGTATATAGATAAGAAGCAAAGGTAGCTAATGTTGTCAAATAAATTTTATTCAAGATTGGAAATAGTAGAATACATTAGTACATGGAATAATTTAAGGAAGAAAAGCCACTGACCAAAAACAAACAAACATAACCCTCACATGAGAAAGAAACGAGGACAAGAAGTTAGAAAAGACCAACTTCCAAAAACTAGGATGAGAAGAGAAACCCAGAAAAACCTCGGACTGAGAAAGTAACTATTGGGCTCTCTCCATAAAAACATAGGGCTGTGTTCATCCCCCAAACATGGAGTAATCAATCACTAGTCAGTAGGAAAAAAAAATTATGGGAACAGGTAAATAATCAAAGGTACAAGACCATGTTCCCTTGACATAGGAATTAAAGCTTGAACTAAATGTAATAATAATAATAACATAAAATTAATTGGCCACTCTGAGATCATTCATCTCTCTTGTGATTGCTGGAATGCAACTCGAACTCCTTGCAATCCCTCCTTTCTTTTGTCCTCCTTTGTCCCTTGGATTGAAAGATTTGGTTCTTCTCCCATCCATTTTGTTCTTTTTCAGCATCTCCTTCATGGCCTCAGCTTGGAACAAAACCGGGAAAGCCCTCCCATATTTGTTGAACCTAACACATGCACTCATATGTGCACTTAATGCCTCTTCCTTTTTCCCTCCATTTTTCTCCAACTCTTCTTTCACTGCCTCAGCACACAACCCACATACCCATTTCCCCAAGAACTTGTCACGTACACGTTGTATGTACTCAGGCGTGCACTCCTCGCACATACCACAGCATTCACATTTCACATCTTCAACCTCAGTTATTGGTGGAAGTGTCAAATCAATCCCTTCCTTGGTTAGCTCAAACGAGATGTCTGAGATTGTTCTTTGAATGTGATCAGATGAAACCCTTGGAGGTTTGGACATGTTGTTGCTCCTAGAGAAAGAGCTAGGCAAAGACTCTCCATTGGGTGCCATCTTCTTTTCTAGTGCATGCAATTGGTGAGGATCAAGAACGATGTTGGAAAACTCGATTATAATATAATGGGCTTTGAGGAGAATATAGATATTTGATATAGAGTACCTCAAGTGTTCATTGTTCAATAAGCTATAGAAGGAACTATCCTATTTATAGTAGTTCTTCTTGTTTCTTAGAATCTGACATTGTAAACGTGTGGATCTTAGAAACGCAAATGTCAATTTCAATGTTCGTGAACTTGCTAGATTTTTCGAGAAACATTTAATGAGAATGCAATGACTCTTGCAGCTTTTCCAAACTTGCATGAATATCTAACGTGATGGATGTGTGCCTTTTTTGTTTTGTATCGATATTTTGCTTCCAAGTGAACTTCCACTTTGGTAGTTGTGGTTGCTAAATTCTGCATTCTGCAAGGTTCACATGCATGATTTTCTTTGGCTGACTATAGCAATAACATGCCTTTCTTTTACCTGTTTTACATATAATTTTCCCTTTCAAAAGTTTTAAAAACAGAGTACATGAAAGATAAGAGGAAGACATATTTATAAAATTAAGAAACCATAAAAAAAGTCAAATTATACATCTAATTTTCTATTTGCATTATATTACGTTTTTTTTCCACGGCTCAGTTTTTTTCAACTCTTTTTTCAAGGTCACTGATAGAAGGAAAAAATATATATAAAAAGAAGAAAAATTTCCTTTATTTTCATTAGAATACTGTCTAAGTATCCATCCAACGAGAAAGTTGCAGCAATTAATAAAAAGTTCCAATGTCGTCCAATACGAGCAGAGCTGAGCAACAAAACAGCTCGTGGGCTATTCAAAAATCACATGCTGGCATGGTAAAACCATATATATATATATTTGCCTTGACTTTTTGCTTTTGTGGTAAACTTACTTACTTACATGAAGAAGGAAAAAGACTAGTTATATCACACGAGCCTTCCTTCACAAATATTTAACTTTACATTTCACGAGGAGTAGGACCTCAAAAAGGAGAAAGTAAAGTCATTAAAGTTGGTTTCGATGAAGATTTCAACTAAATAAAGTTGCGGTCTCTATCTGAAAGGGTCTCGCCGTAAAAGGCACTGAATTGGTCTGTGGGCCTCAAACATAAATAATATGATAGATACTTCATGCAATGCTGTCCATAAATGTAGTAGTGGTTAAAGAATTAAATAAAATATTATCTGGTGTCCCAAAGTCATCAAGAAATAAAAAGGGAAAAATATTATGAGAAAATATAAATTTAATGTTATAAATATATCAGAATTTTAGATGAAAAAATATTTATAAAATTTAACCAGTACAAGTATACTTGATAGTGGGACCCAAAAATAAAAAACCTGGCAGTAGTAAAGCTAAAAATATGTGAACAATAGTTAAAGTCTAATTTTGACGCATGTGATCAAGAAAGAAAATCACTCATCCACTTGCATTTATTTTTCTTACTCTTATTTCAATTTAAATGAACATATCACCTTAAATTTAGTCGTGCTCGTTGAAATTGTCCATGTTTCTCATTTGAGTTACCCCGGAAAATATAACAGGGGATATCATATTCATCTATTGATACTTTCCTTTTTAACAAGTTATTCTGCCGTTCCTTTGCGAACTTGCAGCTGTAAGAGGACTAGCAAATAGTTGATAAAAAAGGGACTGGCAATCACCAACATGTTGTTGGAAAGTTGGGCTGAAGTTATTTACCAATTTTCTTAAGTGAGAAACTCCATCGATGAGTTTTAAGAACCTTTCTAGTCCACTAAATAATTCTTAAATTCAGTTACCCGTGCTTAGAACCTCATTTTTTACAGATGAGTTATTTTTTTCTTGCCTTGAAAGCTAAACATCAGAGCATTAAATTCATATGCTAGTGAATCGGCTGGTATTCCTCCTTAACCACTTTTAATCGAATAAGCAGTGTCGACGTGCAACAGTAGTGAAAATTCCCCACACATCACAAACAAATGGGGCAAATTGTTCGTTTCGATCAAAACACTTACTATCTTATAGAATAATTTATTCTTAGTTAGTGTATGCCGAGTTTGTCTCATAATTGTAAATAGTGTATTGCTAAAAAATGAAGTCAAGACTTGCATTGGGGAATAAAAATTTCTTCGAACATCAGTGTGTAAGTCAGTGTAAAACATAGTAAGAACGACAATTTATACATAACGGAGCTGAATGAGGAAATATGCGACATAGGCTAACACATTACTCGTCTTTTCATGCAATCCAGTCTTCGCAGAAAATACATCAAAACACCAAGCAACAAAACAAGTCTTAAGAAACTGTGCTTCATCTTTAACACTTCGATTCCTATTATCTAATTATATCATATCAAACAAAAGACCAGTTCATAAACATAAAGCTAATACAATGAGCATTCTCTTCTTCGTTCAGCACTTTCCAAGCCACTACTCTTTCATATGAGATAGGTCGCCCCATGCTTGAGAGACAAATACCACCTTGAAGGCAAGCAAAACCCTGTCAAAATAGAATGAGAAGAATTCAATACAAAGAATAAAACGTTCAACTTTCAGCGTAATCATACTTCAGGGTGAAAGAGAGAAGAGAAAAGAAAGGAACAAGTCCACCCAGTCACAAAAGACTATCTGATGGGGCATAACAGGAGACTGCAGCATAGTCATACAAGAAAGAAAGAAATGTGTATGCCTCCCGTCTAAAAGCAAAGTGCTATTCAACATGCCTGGTGGAAGTGGAACCAATGCAACTTCAATTAAAAAAAATTAGTAGACCTGTTGAATAATTTGGGGAAACTCTGAGCACAGAATCTTTCGACCATGATCATCAAATATTTTCTCTAACGTTATATCTTGTAGAGCAACTAAGGTAGTCTCCAGCATGTCAAGCCCTGCCTGGTTTGCGAAAGTGAATACTGGCAACGCCTGCAACAACCAAGTTCAGTGAAGGTCATTCCAAACTAGGAGAAGGGTACAAAAATAAGAACTACCAAAAATTGACTTGCAAATCTGACTAGTATAACTCTCTTAAGGTACCAAGTACAAAATGGATCCATACTAAAGGCAAAGGACAGAACAAACAACAATCAAGTCTTATTACACTAGATGAGACTTAACAAAAAGGACAGAACAAAGATGTACAATTAACTACAATTAAGAAAATTTGAAATCCTATTCCCTTTGTCAGAAATACCAGGCAATCAAAGTGAAACTAAATATTTGCTAGGTTGCACCGTGTACAGATAAAGTACATGACATTAAGAATAGATGACGAATCCACTGAAGTTGACATAAATTCCGAGCATACCTTTAGAGTGCAGCACAATATTGCATCTGAGTGATGCCACAAGGACTTCAGCAAAGATTCGTTCCCCTCATTATTAGATTTAAGTAGCTCAACACCCAAGTAGCACCTAAAATTACAGTCAAACAGCATTAACTAAATGTGCATATGCAATTTATCTAACATATCATTAACTAGTATGGAAGTTTTTCAATTAATCTTTGTCAATCTGATAAGAGGTTAGAAATAATGATATAAGGATTAACAAGAGTTCGGGATAGCAGTCAATAGTTATAACTACAACAGAATGTCAAGGTTTACACGATCCTATTTACAGAACTTAGCTGACTCATTCTGTGGAAGATTCTTTTTCCTCAATAAGAGAATAAGATGTAGGTGGGACTGTTGAAGGACAAGAGCTAATTATCAGAAAAAAGAATGACACTAAATGAGGGTATATAGAATGAGGTAAAATCAAACTGATATCTCATCGCCCCAGACAATCTTAAAATACTATTGAACGTGTCAAAAAGGACATCGTGCAGAGATGTCAACCAGCACTCATGGCTAAATACATTTCACCCACCTCAGTATCAGTAATGTTAAGGCACATGGCATGACAACTAAAAAAGAGCTTACACACCTATAACTATTGCAGATCCAACGAGCAAGTGTTTGAGCTTCAGGAGTACCCAGTGGTGTTCTAAGCCCAGCTTGTGAACTCAAATGAGAAGGTGAAAGAGCTAATGCTACCCTTTGGACAGATGATATAATGCTACGAACATATTGTCGTGCCATGGTTGCAACATGTTCTTGCATATGACTTTCAAATGCAAATTCAAATGCTATTGTCATCACAGATCTCATACAGCCAGAATTTCCAGAATAATCATTTGATGTTCTGTTTCCAGCAGGGCCAATGTCAAGGGCAGATGCCAGGTCAAGGGTGCGATTTGGGTTGGATGCTTCCTGCAAAAAATTTTCATTGCAATAAATATAAAAACCTAGTGAAAAGGAAAATAATAAATTCAAGCAAAATATACAGCTTTGACAACAAGGCTAACCTTTCCAGAATCAAGAGGAATTATGCGAAATCCAGAAGGCAGAAGGGGGGCATCATCAGCAAAGGATGCATCAATTGGAGCAAATATAAGTTCAGCACAGGTTCCAACAGCATTTTCATCCATTCCACTGCAGAGCTATCAAAACAAATCAAATGAACTATAAGAAAGCAAACCACAATGCCCAAGCAAGGATAGGATACAAAATCCAAACAATAATGATTGACAATAACAAGCTGCCTCACTCTGGTAGTCACAGGATTTCAAAGAATACTGAGCCAACTAGCAAGTTATTTGTTCTATCAAAAAAATTCAAAATCCTAGGGGACCATAATACATTTTCCTCATCATAGATTATTGTGGGGGAGGGGGGGAGTTGAGCATACAGCACTATTCATAATTTCATTTGCTTTTTTAATATAGTCATTGTCAATAACAACATACTAAACCTTAAGTAGTACTTAACTTAAAGAAACAGAAGTACTAAACGCAACAAATCAACAAACTACTTTGACTTCTGATTTCTGATATGCATTCAACTTTCAAACATTGCAAACCTAGAAAAATTCATAGTAGCACAACAAAGGCATGCTATACTTTGGCAGGAGTATTATACAATGATTAAATCCTTAAATAATTCAAATCAGATAAACAAAAAACCTGCAGAAGTGAGAAACATTAACTTAAGTGATAAGAAAACTACATCAAAGTCAGACAGCTTAGAAGTTTGTTTCATTGTTTCTACACATTAGTGCCTTGTCAAGTGAAACAAGCATCTGAAGTACCATCAGCAACAAGGGAAAAACTTACTTGCAAAAGAAACATTTCTCTGGGCATTATTGTTTCTTCAGGAGAATTAGCAATTCCTTCCAATTTAATGACTTCCAGAAACTAGCATGGGTAAGCAAAAGGTTAAAACCTGAACAATTTATAAACTTGCAATAGTTGTATTGACCATATAGTACCAATTTATTACCTCCTCATGCTCGATAGTGTGGGCTAAAGGGTGAATAACTTGACCCCCAAAATTTCCAACTCGAGATCCTGACAAGCTACAAGGACCAACTTTAATGGCAGCAGCTGAGTACGCATCCATGTTGTTGTCTGCCCATTCTGATCTATGCTCCCGTAGGAATCTTAGCAGAATGGCAGGAGGTACATTCTGGACAAATATATGGCACATAGTATTAGCAAAGTAGGGAAGTTCAACAATCACAGGATAGAGAGATTAACGACAATCAAACAAATCCTTATATGTTCCATAATCCCATTGGAAAGGATGAATGTTTCATTAATGAGAGAGTTGGTAGTCATTATATTTCGATCATTTGAATTCTATGATTCTTTTTCAGTTACCTAACCAAACAAAAAACCAATATACAGTGAACATTATGAACTATATGTTTATTATATAACAGGAGCTTGATCTTTAACTTCAGTTAAAATATCAACGGGAATAAAATAAGATTTTGTCATTAGATAATTTATTTTCCATATTAAAAACAGTGAAAGTAAAATTACCTGCAATAGCATTGAAGCTTTGGCACATAGGACTGTATTACTGACAGATGGGAATCCATTGGCAAAGGAGAGATTCAGACCCATTAATTTGTCAGGCGATGAATTCACAAGAACTGTAACATCGTCAACACCATCATTGCCCATAACTGACCATCCCTCATCAGTAAACCCATTGATCGCCTCGTTGAAACCCCTGCCAGGAAATGGATATGAGATTCCAAATTTAGATTCCATGAAATTCAACAAAAATAATGCCCCAGTTGAATATATTAACCGGCTCAATTTCTGGCAAAGTGCTCGAAGGGCTGCCGGTCGTCTCCCCCACCCAGTGACATTAGACTGAGAAACTTCATGTGAAATCTGCCTCAGTTGACGTAGGGCCTGGAAGTAAAGGAGAAAGATGTAAAGAAGCCATAACCTTTGGTAAGACCCTTAATCTATATTTGTGCTACTCTTAAGACAAAAAATATTTTCCAATTGTATTGGATTGTAAAGATAAATAAACTATAAATTAAATTGAAATAGGATAAAAAATAACAAATTATCATATTGTTGTATATCATCAGCAAGGAAATACAAAAAGTCATACCACCATTGTTGTCTTCTGAGCCAGCACTGTTGATGATTCATACAGGGGGCGCAGTACTTCAGGAACACTCCATGGCTAACAATAATGCAAATGTGCTAAAGTTATTTTTGTTAAACAAAAATATTAGTTCAAGAAAGCTCAATTTGCATACCTCTAAATCCATATGATCAACTATATGGATGATGGAACCACCTCCTTCACAAGGTCTTATCAGGTACCCACTAGGAAGCATCTCTGCTCTAACAAAATGCTGCACAGGAGGCATGCTTGGACCATTTTGAGTGTTTTTAAGAGACCTCTCACAGATCTGAAGCAACGAAGCATTATGAGAATGACTGGGGATGTTCTAGTGGATTCAGAATACTATTTAATATAAATTAAGGCTAGACGTTGCACATAAGAGAGGTTTAGTGTAAACTACAATATCTAGTCACTTACCACTAGGCTTCCATCTTCTAAAACAGATGTGTAGCGCAACAACCAGAAGTCACGGGCAGGTGCCAATGTGGTTGGTGCATATAGCTGATCATCAAAGATTAGAGTAAGCAAAAAGAGAACTAGTCTGTTAGTTACAGAGAGTCATCATTCCAACAAATTTAGTTGTTTACCTGCATATAAAGCAGCTCTATGGTTCCACCATTTGCAGTGGGCAGCACATTCAGAACATCAACAGCTCGGCAATCACGAAACCATGAAGGCCGATCTTTGAGAATTTCTGCAACCTGGAAAATGTACAGTTGATCATGCCATCCATATACACAAACCAATAACTTAAAAATAAAGATGTAAATTTACAGCACTAACCCTTGTGGGTTCAAGACCCACTAGGCCACAGGCTCTTGCTGCCACACCAGTGCAACCATGAGAAATAGCAACGATTCCAATGGAATCCGGACCAGGCTGTGCAAATAAGCAAGAATTAATGGAAAAATAATTTTAAAAAGTACGTTCAAGCTGGCTGGTTCAAACAGAAGAGAGACCCTTAATAACAAAGAAAGCGATCAGGACGTAAATTTTGCAGGATTTAACCATTCTGCTAATGCCTCATTTCAATGAAAGAATTGAAGAAACAACTACTCAATCCACTAATATTAAGAGTTATTGGATTACCTTCATTCCAGGCATTTGGACCCACTCAACAGCAGTCCCAGTAGCCTTTGAAAGAAACTCTGCTAAAGTCTCTTCTGCAATGGACATAAGCCTGGGAAAAATGACACATGATTTCATCAGGCCAAACATAAACAACCACGTTTTCACAGACAACATTGTCAGAAGGAGACCCAACAACGATTTTCCCACTAACCCTGCAGGACTTGCATCCCTTGGGGGATGCTGGGTTGTCAAACTGCGTTGACCACTAGTCACAGCTGACTCGCAGCTGGTGTCTTTGGTCGCAAGCGTAGTCTGCAGAGAAAGCACCATTCCAACTCAATTATAATGCATTCATTAATGAAAAGGGGACGAAGCAGAACAACTGACCACGTAAGTTTCTAAAAATATATAAAACTTGCAACATTGTAAATTAGGAAACTTTTCGAAAAGAACACTCAGTTCAAAGAGTAGAAACAGGTAAGCAAAATTCATACATTTTGGGTATGTTGACGAAAATAGCCATTTTCATACACCAATTGAGACACCTGCTTCTGCAACCTATCATTCTCCTCCATCAGCAGCTTGTTCATGGCAGTCAGCTTCCTATTTACAGCTTGCAGCCGCGAAGCCTCTTTTCTCTGCTTCTCCCTACACCTGAATTAACAACAAACACAAACCACTGTCATCATCATTAAAACCAAAAACTAAAAAAAATAGAACCAGCACAGCATTCTTTGAAGAACAGCAGCAGTATAATATTAATAACAAAACGGTATTGGGTAAACAAGTGTACCTTCTGTTCTGGAACCACACTTTGATTTGCTTGGGTTCAATGTTAGAGAGAATAGGGCACTCACGAATGAGCTGCTGGCGGCGAATGGAACTGGGTTTGGGGCAGTCATGATAAAGCCTCTCAAGGGCTTCAACCTGCTCAGGTGTGTAACGGACATACTTCCCGTTGTCCAATCCTTGTTTACCATCCTTGCAGGACATTGCCATCGCTAAATTAACACCAAACCTCACAACAACAATTTCAACCACTCTTCAACACCAACTTTGCATTTGCAACGAAAACCGTGAGAATTTGCAGAACCAAATGACCGAACTCAAATAGCACGCACTCTACCCTTGTTTCCTTAGTAAGAGACAGCCACAAACAAGAGAGAACACCCAATCTTTCGAGATCAGAGCCTTGAAAAGTAACCTCGTGCGAAAAAGACCAAAGATCTGTTTTCCACGAACATCCTCCACAACCTAGAAAATAATTTCCTAAGAAAAATCAAATCGAGCAAACTATAAACATCCACAAAAGTTTTGCACCCGATTAGATTCCCCTGAACCTTGTTATGCTGTGCCTAACTCAGACCGAGCCAAAACGACACCGATCTTCATCCTCAGGAAGGTATTAGGTAACACTTTCTGCCCAGCTAATCGAATTCAAGCTGATCTCTGGACCATAGTTCCCAAACTATCAAAAAAACGCCATTTAGAGAGCAAAAAAAAAAAAAAAGAGGAAAATAGGAAAGGAAGATTTATGGTTACTAATTTAAGTTGATAGGGGAATCTCTGGCACTGTGAAGCGTGATGGAGATGAATTAAACAGAAAAGGGAAAAGAGAAGAAACCCTAGGCGAAAGAGAAAGAAGGGGTTGCACAGGCTTTTGCTTTTTGGAGGTGGTGTTGGTTGGTTCCTCAAAATTTCAATTCAGATTTGCTCTGCTGTGCAGTGCTGTGATTGTTTTCATTGGTTCTTTCACTTTCGGTTCAAAATGGAGCACCCTCCTTTTTCTTATTTTTATTTTTGTTTTTCAAATTGCACTGAACACACCTAAACATATTGTATGGACCAAACTATCCTTTTTCCCGCGGCCTCACTTCTTCTGACGCTTCCGCTTGGGAACGCCCCATCCCCAATACCCTCCACCCCGCCAACACTCATATCATTATCTGTATAATCTCATAATTACCCTCCTCCCTTGTTTCCTTTATTATGAAAATTAATTAGTATATATTAATATATTAATACAGGAGCTGAAAAATAAACAAAAATAGGTGTGACATGTAACAAAGAAATATTAAAATATTTATTTTAATCATTTCTTAAAGTTTTCAATCAATTTGAGTAGAAGATAATTTGATTGATTCAATTTTGTAAATAGTACTGTGAGTAATACGAGAATTTTAAGTTTGAACCGAATTGACAAATGACTGAATTTCATGTGATTAGTTTCACATGTTTGGTTTGATAACAGATATAGACAAACAGAGAAAATAAGAAAAAAGGAGTTATAAAAACGATTATCTTGTCCTTAATTCGTCGCTCAAACGGGGTTGAAGGACCCACAACATGTAAAACATCAGAATGGGGCCTAATCGTAAAGATGCTTTAGATCTTCACATAATGCAAAAAGCATAAGTTGCGAATACCAAAGCCATGATTTTTCATGGTGTTAACTTTGTTCTTTTAATTTTAACCATAGTTTATATTTAAAAAAATAGTAATTCATAGAAACTGATCTATACCTATAATATCTTTTTTTTAATTATTTTGTGGAGACTAACATGAGTGGCAAATGAAGTAAAAAGGAGGAAGCAGAAGGGCATTATGAAAAAGATAATGCGAGGGTAGATGTGCATTGTGATGTTGCGAGCAGAGTCTTAAAATACACAAAAGCATGGGTTGTGTACAAGTGTAGTGGGTCACACAAGACACCATCATGACCTTTTTGCATGCGTCTTCATTTTAAATATTTTCACGTTTATTTATAAAATACTTTTAGTATTTATTATTTTTTGAATAAATATTTAGTAACAATAGGGGAGAGAATATTGTAATGGCAGCGTCATGTTTATCCGTATATGCTTTGCTATACGCGCTATGATACCAAAATACCGTATCGCTGCATAACATGAGTCATGTTTCTTCTTCAGTTCTAACTTCTACGTATCCTGTACGATTCTGTTACGATAAATACCACAGAAAAAGAAAACGATTTTTGATAAAATCATTTAAATTTTATTCATCTATTTATGTTATTTGTTTTTTTGTCTTCTATTTATTGTACTGCATCACTTCAAGTAATAACTGTGTTTAAACATAGAACAACATAATTCACAAAAATTTAGGATTTGTTTGATTACTTTTTTAAAAATACTTTTCTATTTTTTAAATTCAATTTGTACTAAAATTTATTTTTTAAAACAAATAATTATTTTTAAAACTGTAATCAAACATGCTCTTAGTTACTCTATCGAATGGAAACAAAATAAAAAAATACATTCTTAAAAGTAATTAAAAACATCACAAATAAAAAGATAGAGATATTTAACGATTATCAGAAAATATTATTTACTTTTTTTTATCTTAGTTATGACATTTAAATTTGTTATTTTGTACTATTACAAGTAATTTAGAAAAAAAGGTTTCAATAAGTTTCAAATAAATAGTTAAAAATCTAATACAATATTTTTCTTTTATTCTAATTATAGACAGATTACGAGATTGCGAATGGAGTGAGAAAAGATAATTGTGCAATTTTTAGTAATGTAAAAGGAAAAAAAGGGGTAAAAATTTTAAAATATAAATATAAAAGAAATTATGTATGAAAAAATATTTATTTTAAACAAGTTTAATAGTTTTGTATAATTCATGTAGTTAACTTTGTTTAATAAAATAAAATATTATTAAATAAATAAATAATAATAAATTTAAAAATAGTTTTTATATTTTTTAAACTTGTTTAACTAATAGTATGTAACAATTAAATACGATAAAATTTATCATATTTTTTTATTGGTTAACTAATACAGTATAATAAATTAATGCTTAAAACTTGTTTTATCATTTTTTATATTAGAAATTATATTTCATGGAGAAGTTTGAGTAAAAAATTAACACGATAGACTAAGATAATTAATTAAAATTATTATTTTAGAATATATTAAACACGAATTACGAAAAAATCCATATACTCTGATTGCATCTTATTTTTGTTAATGCTCACATTTTATTGTTTTTTTATTGTCTCTACCAAATGAGCTTTTATGTTTTTTTGAATGGTGCATGGTTTTGTTATTGATGTCTATGAAATTTCGTTTATTGTTTGATCAACAATCAAATTGAATTGAGAATTGTTGACAGATTTGTATGGTTTAACAAGTATTTGGGAAGAATGTTTCACTTTTATAAGATTTTTCTATTTTATTTAAAGTTGATGCCATGGGTGTAGCACATATTAGGCTGTAGTTTTAATAACCCAAAAATGCCAGGCTTTAAGTATTGCAAAGCTCAACTTACTTTAACTTTTTATAAGAGTAAGTATTAATATAATTTAAACATAATTTATTAAAGATAAGTATAATTTTGTCTAAGATATGTCATGAAACAGGAGTAAATGTTTCGTGACAACAGAAAGCTAACGCAAAGTTATAATACAAATAATTATGTATTATCGTTTCACTATAATTTAAGGAATGTCAATTTGTTTAAAAAATTAACTCATTAAAAGTACAGATGATAATTAAATTAAGATTTAATTAACATTCAGAAATTATATTTCATAATTACACCTATATAAACATAAAAAACGTATTTATATAGTCACATATGCACTCTTATAATATATAAGACTAAACACTAAAATTATTATTCGGGGATGAGTATTTTTGAAGAACATAATATATGAACCAAATTATGATATTATACTCATCATCCTTCCTAATTGCAAAAGTCAATAAATATTATTATATTTATATTTAAAATAAAATGACGAGTTTCGGAATTCAAGAATTAGGGTTCTGAAATGAAAATTTAAAATAGGAAAATAGCGTTGCCCCTTCAGCGAGGTGGTCTCTTTGCTCAGCGTATTGATTTGGGAGGGAAAATTCTAAAACCACAAAAATTCAGTCTCAATCGATCACATTCCCCCTCCCCAACCTTCAATCCCACTCACCGGCACCAGGTACTCTCTCTCTCTCTCCTGTATAGTATATAGTGTTTGAAAATTCCAGAACCGTTTGTTTGTCGACAAAACCTGTACAAATAGGAAGCGATGTATTTATTTATTTTGCGTTGCCAGTATAATTAAGTAATCGAAGCTTCTAAATTTTTACATCATGGCTCGACCTAGCTCATAGGCATGTTCTTCGTCTTCGATTTTTGGCTGGGGCATGTTCATTAGAAATCTTTGAAAATTTTACTGTTTCTAGAACATTTTCACCGAGTAACTTGCCTTGAGGTCTTAATCTACGGATTCCCTATTTATATAAGTATTTAATCGTTTTTCTAAATCGTGGTTCGTTGGCGAATAGATAGTATTATTTTGCTGATTGCGTAGTTATTTTTTTAATCCATTTCTCCTTGCTTCAAGTTACTGGAGAAGTTGAGAAAAGAATTGATTTAGTGGTAAATTTGCTAGGTTGTTCAAAAATGTACCAATATTCGGACACAGGAAGTACTTCGTAATATTAATGCTTTTTTCTTTTAATGAAATCTCCTAGTGAGTTTTAGCTCCGCGTTAAATCTACAACAAATTGCTCAATACTGAGGAACCCCACTCTTAGTTTTGCAGATACTAATTCTATTTCCTGAAGTAGAGAATCTAATATGAGCACTACACTGCAAAAAAGTCCAAGATCTGGTAGACAGTCTTTATTTTTCCAGGATTTAGCTTCACCAGTTTCTGCACGTAGAGGAAAGTTTTCGAGTCCAGGGCAGGCAGCTGCAGTATCTGCACTATGGCGTGAGAACTTTGGTAATTCGGACCTTCCTCCACCTCCTGTCTACACCTTGGAAGATAGATCAGATTTTTCTCCCGAATCAGGCATACCAGATTACCAAATATCCCCTGAGACTAAGTCGGACACTAGAACTCCCATCCAAATTTCAAATAGAGAATTTTCAACTCCTGTGAAAGGCAAATCTGAAGCCAGCACCTCTTATGCTTTGAGAGGGGTACAGCAAAACCAACAGGGCTCGCCTGGTTTGAGTTGGTGGTCACCTGCAACGGCAAAGAGTGGTGGTGAACAAGATGATAAGGGGAGGAGTTCGCCAGTTGAGGGTGTGGTTCAGCCTGGTGCTTTGATAACTCTTCCTCCACCACTGGAAGTGGCAAGGCCTCAGGTTCAAAGAAATTCCTTACCAGCAGGGAATCTCAACGAGGAAGAATGGGTAACTGTATATGGGTAATGTCTTAACTCTGATTTAGCATTTATGTTTTGTCTACTGCTGAGGAATAAACATAATATATTCCAATACAAATCTAACTATAAACATTTCTCCTTGATATTCTGCACATTTTACTAAAATCATACATATAAAAAATTTGTGAATAAATTGACAGCATAAATTTTTTACTTCCTTTCTCCTACATAATCAATAGAAGGTGCTCAAAACATTTGAGAGCAAATCCATGCTTCCTAAAGCACAAAACTAGATTGTTCCAAATGGAAAGAGTTCTGGGCAATGTAAGAAGTAAAAACAAATGTACATCTATTTCTGAGTAAATCTTGCATAATAATGCATATTAGCAGGGGTGGGGGGGGTGGGGGGGTAACTGTCTATTATGCAAATTTGTTATTTCATTCGTATTTAGGAGTGGCTTCTCATTCTCACTTGTTGAGTTAATGATAAATGGAAATCCAGTGATAGCCATTGTTTTATTGAGGTTGCAAATAGATTGCCATGTGGGTATGTGATAGGCATATAGTAATAGGAGTGATGGCATTCAGGCAGGTGAACATGTGAACAGTATGGTAGAGAAAATTTACTATCGGATTACCAATGTAGCAGGGAGAGTAAGGAAGGGGTGAATTTTGTTAATGAAAAGGGAAAAGAGAAAGAAGGAAGAGTGGATGAAAAGAGGAATTGTGGCCTTTAGGCAGTGATGAATTTAGCACCTCAAAGAGCTATCCTAGTGGCTGTTATTTTTAATTTCTGTAATTTCTAGGTTAGACTCCCAGTGAGTACCTTGGGAAATAAAAAATTACAAAATTTTGAGCTTCCTGATTATATGGGTCAACAATACCTAAAACATTAAGAGTGGTTGGGGATGGCAATTGAGATGGGACACATGGTATGATTACATGAACTGTGTTTACTTGAAGTTTCTCGAAAAGAGAGTTGTGAAATATTTGGTGGAAAAGCAATTCATAAAAGTTTGATGTCTAACATTGTTGGCAAGGCAAGGACCGGATTCTATTGTATGATTTTTTTTTGTTGGGGTTGGTTACATGTCATATATATATTTTACTTGTCTGTTTTCATTTCAAGACTCAAAACATACTCATATGGGATACTTTATGCTTTTTTTATTAAATCCTTTTTCTCCTCTTCTATGATCTTCAATTCTTATGTATTTAGGTTGTTCATTGTTTTAACTTTTATGTCTTAAAGATAAGCATAAGTGATATCATTTGGATTCCTACAGTCTTTAAAGATTTGACATGTTTATGATTGCAATGAAGTGTTGTTGAATGCTGTGTTTATTGAATTAGAATTTGGGTGATTATTGAGTTTTCAGGAGTTATTTTTTGGGAGATGTTGTTGAGTTTTTTTTTAATATTTGTGTCATCTTCTGTCTTTGTATTTGGTGATATATTATAGTCATCTTGAATGGATTAAATAAACTATTATTATTTTTTTTTAGCTCTATGACACTTTTTGGCTACAAAATACAAATGGGCTATTAACAATGTTTATAGAAGCATTTTTCTTGCCCAGTTAGCAATCAATGTGTATTGTGGGAGTTTCTAAGGTGTGACTTTTCCTTTTTAATGAAGTGTTTTTTAAGCTTGGGAGAATAAATTCCTTAAATTTTTTTTTGAGATTTTTTTTTTTTTCAACTATCTTCGAGATGTGATATGGGGGTGAGCATTTGTGCAACGTTAGGTTGCCACATTGTAACTTGAGGTCACTAGTTCAGGTCCTAGAAACAGCCTCTTCCCTTGTGCAGGTGAGGTTGCACACATATACCCTTCCTAGAGGCCCAGACCCCATTTGGTGGGAGCTTTGTTTGGGATGGGAAATCAGTAGACTAAAGATGTGTTTGGCTTAATGAAAGGTTTTATGTTTTCTTTTCTTGTTTTCCTAATAATTACAAAATTATGGCCTTGTTTTTTATTTGTTTTATGTTTTCAAAGATTTGTATATGAATTAACGAAAACATTTTTTGTGTTTTCACTATTTGCTTAAGAAACCTTTAAAAGCACGAGAAACAAATCCTGAGTTAAACTTTTCTATTTTGAATATACTGATTAACATCCCACTTACGGTGCACTTTCTGTGCAGATTTTCTCCAGGTGATACTAACTTGGTTTTAAGAGAGTTTGAAAAATGTGGTGAAATTTTGAAACATGTTCCTGGTCCTAGAGATGCTAACTGGATGCACATTTTGTATCAGGTTTGCTATCCCTCACTTACTTGACTATGGTGATTAGTTTTTTCTTGATAAAGCGTTAGTTGTATTTTATCCAAGGATACCCATAGTACATGCTACTTACTGAGATATTGTTGTCATCATCATTTTGTCAGTATATCAGGAAATGGTGCTAAATTATTTTTAAACCTTGCTACACTCTCTTTGAAAGTGATTTTCTAGTACTATCTGCAAACCAACTTGGTGTCTGCATGTACTTCTCTTTAATAAATTTATTGCTGATACAGAATCGATCTGATGCACAAAAAGCTCTTAACAAGAATGGAATGCAAATTAATGGAGTACTAATTGTTGGTGTGAAACCGTTGGATCCCATGCAACGTCAAGCCTTAAATGAAAGGCTTAACAATCAGGGATTCATGCCCTTACCATTACCCTCTGCTAGAAACTCAGAAGCGAGCACATTGAAAGCTTCTTCTCGACCTTATTATTTGCAGAATGGCAACTCAACTGCACGGCAGACTGGAGGAACCATTGCTTCCCCAACAAAGTCATTGGTGTCCAAGATTATGGATTTGATGTTTGGCGTCTAGCTGTTCTGGTGAATTAAACTGATATCATTGTGTTTGTTGTAAACAATGAATTTACCCTCTCAGCTATTCATACACTTCGAAGAAGTTTGGTATGTCTTGTTCATTGGATTTGAATTGGAATATTTACTCTTTGGATCTCAATTAGTGGAATTTATGGCATCTTAACATTGCAATCTTATGGATGCCTGTTTTGAGAAATGAGAACATAATACATAACTTGAGAGTTTGGATGAGAGCATAATGACGATGTTCAATTTATGTAGCTCATCTCATGTAATAGAATTTGGCTTCGGTTGTTGTTTTAATCTGGGCACTTGAGATTTTGGTGTTTATTTCATTTCGATAAACAAAGACTTGTATGCTGTTTCTAACATTTTCTCAGTTCTTCCATTGAATACTTCTGTCAACGGAATTTGGAAGTTAAATAATTACCAGATGTAGTTTTTCGAGTCTCGACCTTGTGACATGGGTAATGACTTGTAAAGTCCAATATTTGCAATTCTAATGGAGATGATGAATGCAATTTTATCAATGGCGCTGGAGGGTAACTGTAGATAGGCCTTATTTTTTATCTTTGCTTTTTATCCATCACCGTAGTTATAATGTTTGTGGGCTTTTTGGGTAGTGTTATAACAATAATAATAATAAGAATAATAACAACAACAATAATAGTAATAATAATAATAATAATAATAACCACCTTCAAGCCACAGTACTTGTGTATTCTCACTGATTTTACCTATAATATTAGGTCATTGCTCAAAGGTCACACTTCTCACATTAGTTATCTAAACAAAAAGCTGATCAAATGCGGGGCTGAGAAAATAATAAAATTTCATTGGGAAAGAAATTAAAAATTAAAGTTGAGTGTTGAAGATTCTAGCAAAAAAAAGTTGGGTGTTGAAGAATAAAACGGTTTGCTTCAATGTAGTTTCAATGCCATGACATTCGTCTTCATCATTTCTTCAATGATCACAAGAAGAATCCATAACCATCATCTCGAGTTGAGGGTATCTGAAAGAAAATCACAATGGCTTCTCCAATCATTCTCTATGTGGTCAAAGAAGAAGGATCCGGAGTTAGAATCGGCACTCACACGCAATCGGAAGGAGTTCCATGGCGGTTGAGTTGCTGCATTGGGACCCTGATTTTGCTGTTTCGGCAATTCAAGCTTCGGCAATGAAGCTGGGTACCCCACCGCGCTTTTCGTGTTCTTTGCCTTCCAGTTGGGTGAAATCGTGGAAGCGATTTCGTGAATTCGATTCAATTCCTTACATTTCGCCTTACTCAGATCCAAGAGGTTTGGTGGAGGGTTCTATGGTAAAACGGAATGTGTGTTTGGTGCATGAATTGTTATCTCTTACTCTTTGGAAGAAGGCCTCAATTGTGAAGTTGGGTCATTTTGGGAGAGAGTTTGCTCTGCGTGATAGGTTAAATGTGTTGTTGCTTAGGCACCCTGGCATTTTCTCTGTTTCTAGTAAGTATAAGATTTACAGTGTTCTTCTTAGAGAGGCTTATGTTGGGTCTCAGCTTGTGGATAAAGATCCTTTGGTGGCTGTGAAGGAGAGATTTGGGGAGTTGATGCAGGAGGGACTTCACGAGTACAATCAAAGGCGACGCCTCCTCAATGTGGAAAAGAGGAGGAACAAAGGTGTTCCTTTGGTTAGAATAGATGATGTATATGGTAGAAGGAGAAGCCGTGAGGTTTCTGATGATGGGAGGGTTGTTTGACCCTGAGGAAAGAAAACGATTTTATAAAGTTCTTTTTTATGACGATGCATCTTGAAATTCTGCCTACCTCTAGATTGTTCATTTGGTTTGCATGTTTAGATATCGTTGCATTCCAATTTTAAATAAATAAATATTTATTTTTTAAATTTTTTATTTTACTAATTATCCTCAATTCAATGAAATAACAAATCAAAGTTACGTAATTTTTATTTAAAATATTAAAATACAAGATAACATAACTATATATATGTTTTTATTATGACAAACAACAGTGACTTTAGAAGGTCAAAGACAATTGCACATTCACGATGCACTTATAAAATGAATTAAAAATAAAATAAATTAAGAATTTAAAAATATTTAACCATAAAACATATTCATAAAATATACTTTAATAAAAAAATTTTGCTAATCTAAAATAATGTAATTTGTACATAAATTTATACGATTTGTACAACAATTGAATGCAATATAAATTATACGTTAATGTAAAGCTACCGAATAAAATAAAAAATATATTTCCAATGATTGATTAAATACTCAATTAATTAAAAATAAATATAATTTAATTTTTAAAAGTAACTTTAAGTTGAACAAGGTCTATGATATCATATTTATATAGAATTTTATAATTTTATAGTACGTAAACATAAAAAAATACCCCAAAAATAATTAAATAAAATTTAATTAATTAATAAAATAATAATGTAATTGATTTAAAAATATGAATTATTTTTAGAAGAGATTTATATTACACAAGTCTTAAAATAACTAGTGAAGTATATATTTCTAAAAATTTACCAATGCAAAATAAAAAAAGATAACATGAAAATCTGAATCAGACAATGTTTACCATATATAATAATACTAATTACGATAATATTATCAATAATAAAATAAAATAAGGGCTAAAGTTATAATTAGACACAGAGGATTATAAAATGAGTTATTGAAAGAAAAAAAAGTAATAAATAAGTAAAAAGATACAACAGAAAAATAATTAATAAATAATTTTTAAAAAATAAGATAAAACTTAGCGTTCAGAACAAAAATAAATTACAAGGAGCAGAGTTTTGAAAGTGTAAATTTGTTGACATTAACTGATATATCTGGTTCAATTCTTAAAAGCGTAGAAATAGTATATAAACCTTAACAAGAAGAAGAAAACATAATTTCATATTTGTATTTAAAAACAGATAATAAATTTATGGAAGATATTTTTTAAAACAAATTAACCGGAAAATAGGTTTCTAAACAATATTTTGTGTGTAAAGAAAAATAATAAATAGTAAAAAAAAGATATATCTGGTTATCATTTTTGGGTTTAGGCCTGAGCTTGCATTCAACATGTCCGAGGCCCATTTAAAAGTCCACGTTAATTTTAAAGTTAATTTTTAATAAAAACATTTACATAAAAAAAAAAAAGGCACTTATCCGAAAACAAAGAGTAGCGTTGTGAAGTAGTTCTTGTTCTTCAGCTTCGTCGCGTGATTTCACTCCCATTTATGAAAATGTGATTTGACATTTGTCTCACACAATATACTCCATGGCTTCTCATTGCCTCCTCCGTTATCTTCCTTCACCATCTTCATCTTCATCTTCCATAAACCCCAAATCCAAAAGGTTTCTGAAACCCCCATATTGCCCTTCCATCTCCTCGCGAATTCAAACCCCAGAACCCGACAATGACGACCACGACGACAAAACCCCCAACAACCACCTCAATTTCCTCAAGCTCTCCGTAACCCTCACCATCATATCCGCTTCCCTCCCACAACCTGCCGTCGCCGCCGCCACTAAGGGAAAGAAACGTGCACCCAGAAAACAATCCACCAAAAAACTCGAAGCTCTGTCGCCGGAGGAGCTGAAGACTTGGACTGAGGGGCTTCCTGTTGTCTCTGATCGTCTTCCCTATAGCGAAATCCTCGAATTTAAGAAGAATGGGAAGCTCAAGCACATAATCAAGCCTAATTCTTCGAAATTGAAGCAACGGGCTGAAGCGGTTCTCGTGGTTTTGGATGACTCGAGAGTGGTGAGAACAGTGTTGCCTTCGTTTGAGAGTCACAGCGAGTTTTGGGATTCATGGGACGAGTTAAACATTGATGCTTTGTGTGTGAATGCGTATACACCACCCATTAAGAGTCCAGAGTTGCCTCCTCCTCTGCTTTTGGGGATTTGGGTGCCCCCTTTTGTGAAGAGCCGCTTGGATTCGCTTTTACAAAAGAGGGAAATACAACCCGTTAAGGAGTCTAAAAAGGCCGCAGAGTTGAGGCAAGCGAGGTTGGAGTTGAAGAGACAGAAGGAAGAGGAAATGAGTAGGTTGAAGGAAGAGAGGGAGGAGTTGGCGAGGAGTATAAGGCTTCAGAAGAAAGTGGAGGAGAGGAGAAGGAAGAAAGAGATAAGGAAGAGGAAGTATAGGGAATCATTGCAGGAAGCAAGTCATAGATACGAGAGAATGGCTGCTTTTTGGTCTAATATGGCAAATGATGCAAATCTGGCTAATGCACTTGGGGTGGTTTTCTTCTACATTTTTTATAGGACTGTGGTGCTTAGTTATAGGAAGCAGAAGAAGGATTATGAGGACAGGCTCAAGATTGAGAAAGCTGAGGCTGAGGAGAGGAAGAAGATGAGGGAGTTGGAGAAGGAGATGGAGGGGATTGAAGACGATGATGATGAGAGTGAGGTGGGGAAAGGGGAGGAGAATGCTTACTTGAAAATGGCAAAGCAGTTTATGAGATCGGGAGCACGTGTTCGAAGAGCACAGAACAAAAGGCTTCCTCAGTATCTTGAGAGAGGGGTGGATGTGAAGTTTACTGATGTTGCTGGGTTGGGTAAAATTCGGCTTGAACTTGAGGAGATTGTCAAGTTCTTTACCCATGGAGAGATGTACCGAAGGAGGGGAGTGAAAATACCAGGTCTCATTAGCATAACCTATGATAAACACTTAACAGAATAATTTGAATGAACTAACTTAGCCTTATGGAAAACTTAATTTATGAAATTTCAAAGGACAGTTTCATGAACTATCTTTGGCATTTTGGCAATGTTCTGCTTACATAAATATTTAATTATTTTGTTGTATTTACGTAGTATTTCCTTTATCTAATAAAAAAAGTAAGGAAGAAATATTTGATTTTGCAAAGATTTACACTTGACTTACTGAAGGTTGAATTGGTCACTTAACCAGGTGGGATTCTTCTTTGTGGCCCACCTGGAGTGGGAAAGACATTGTTGGCAAAAGCAGTGGCTGGCGAGGCAGGGGTTAATTTCTTCTCTATTTCCGCTTCACAGTTTGTGGAAATATATGTTGGTGTTGGGGCTTCTCGTGTCCGAGCACTTTACCAAGAAGCGAGGGAAAATGTATTTGATTTTTTTGCCTTTACATTCTGCTGTCACAATTTTTCTTATTTGCTTAAAGTAATATTATAAGAGTTTCATTCTTGCAACCAATTTCTACTTATAACTTTGTTTTGTCAATCAGCATATGAACTTGACACATTCTGTTTTTCCTTATTATATTTGCTTCAAGCTGATTGCAGTTTCTTTTCAATCATACTACATTTTCATTTTAGCTCTTGAAATTTATCTATTTCTCCAGCTTCAGTGTTTGCATCTAATTGGCAGCCATTTTTATATTATATCTTTCAGGCTCCCTCTGTTGTCTTCATTGATGAGCTAGATGCTGTAGGAAGAGAGCGTGGCTTGATTAAAGGTTCAGGTGGACAGGAACGTGATGCTACTCTTAATCAGGTTAAGCATTACAGTACTGAACTTCTTTATTAAGTAAAATTTTGTGTATATATTGGTTGATGTTTCTTATTGACTGAATGCTCCAGCTCCTGGTGTGCTTAGATGGGTTTGAAGGAAGGGGGGAGGTGATCACTATTGCATCCACTAACCGACCAGACATTCTGGATCCTGCACTTGTGAGACCTGGCCGGTTTGATCGGAAAATATATATCCCCAAGCCTGGTCTCATTGGCCGCATAGAAATTCTGAAGGTAGTCACTCTTCTACATATTTTCACCTGCATGTAGCATTCAGTATTCACTTTATTTCGACCCCCCCCCCTCCAAATAGTTATTGACTTGTGGCTAACAGCACAAAAAGTAGTTTGCCTATTCAATTTTCCCCCCTGACGTGATAGGTCCATGCTCGTAAAAAGCCAATGGCTGAAGATGTGGATTATATGGCTGTTGCTAGTATGACTGACGGAATGGTTGGTGCAGAATTGGCCAACATAGTTGAGGTTGCTGCCATTAATATGATGCGTGACTCAAGGACTGAGGTAATACCTCCAATATACAGTAAGCTTGTCTTTGCAAATTGTTATTGTTCAGGTATTTCCTTATCTGCAATTGGTATATACTTTGTTGCATTGTGTATGCATGCTTGATGCATTCAATATCGTTAACACTTTCTGAAATCAAGCATGCAAATAAAAGCAGTATCTATCTGACTATGAAGGCATCTTTCATTGAATAATATATTCATTTGTTTTGTAACTCTTAAAGGATGATAGAGGATGCAAACAGTTTCTGTGCCTCCCCAATGAGAAATCTCTAAATGTGGCACTTGAAAAGTTGCATGCATATATACAAAAAGGAGAAAGAGGTCAAAGGAGGAAGTAATAGGAAAGGGATTTACTAGTTGCAGTAACGTGGTCACTAGTAGTTCATTTCTTCTTTTCACTGTTTCAGATTACTACTGATGACTTATTGCAAGCTGCACAAATGGAAGAAAGAGGAATGCTTGATAGAAAGGAGAGGAGCCAGGAGACATGGAAACAAGTAGCTATAAATGAAGCTGCAATGGCTGTTGTGGCTGTGAATTTTCCTGATCTAAAAAATATTGAGTTTGTAAGGACTTTTAACTCTCCTCTCTTTTTGAAATTTAGTTGTCATTATGTTTATTCACATAAAAACAAATTTTTCTCTTATTTAGTTCTATAAATGTTAGTCATCTGGCTGTTACTGACATTAAATTTGATCTTTTAGCTTTTTATTGCTTTGATGTAGGTCACAATTGCTCCTAGAGCTGGTAGGGAATTGGGTTATGTTCGGGTGAAGATGGATTCAATCAAATTTAATGAAGGAATGCTCACGTATGGATTCTTTAATTAAACCATTACTCCCGTTTTTTAATAAATATATTTATCTATTGAAAAATGTCCTCCGATGAAATGCTTGTCTATTTATTCCTATCAATTGATGATAATGTTTGTAAATTAATTTGATTTAAATTATTTCTTCTTGATCAAATTGGCTTTACAAAACTGTGTTTGATGCCTCCCATATTTTTTATTCTGAACTTGTAACTAATAATATCATGCAGTCGACAATCCCTCATCGATCATATTACTGTTCAACTAGCTCCCCGTGCAGCTGATGAACTTTGGTTTGGTAGTGGTCAGGTTAGAGACTATTTTTATTTGCTTTCTACTATTTTCCATATTCTATTTTTCAAATTTATTTCTAACGTTGTGTATGTTTCTAGGGACATTTTGTACTTCTGTGAGTGGAGTTACAAACACGTCCATAAAATTTCTAAGAGATAAGAATGAAAATAAAACATAAACAATATACGGAGTTCTGTTTTTCTATATGGCCAATGAAATGGCTATTTTTTTTTTAAGTTCTTCATGATTTTGTTTATTATGATTTATTGTAAATTACAGTTTTTATGTCAGTTCCATTGTGTACACAAGTTATCTATGTCAAATATTTAGTTTATGTTTGATGATGGATATAGATTAGTTTAGACTGGTTATGCAGAAATATTTTAATTTAATTTGCAATGTTTCAGTTGAGTACGATATGGGCTGAAACTGCAGACAATGCTAGGTCTGCAGCAAGGACATTTGTTCTTGGTGGGCTTTCTGAGAAGTATCATGGAATATCCAATTTCTGGGTGCCCGACCGAATTAATGTATGGATTCTGTCTCAAGATTTGTTTTCTCATGATGTTTCTGATACGTAGGCTTGGCATCAAATTAAAATTGCAACTATAAGTTGAAACAAGAATTCCTTGTATGTATCTTGAATAAACGAGATTAAAGAATGTAGACCAATAGGATACAATGTATCATATTATACCGTCGCGAAGCAGAATAAAGTTAAGCACTACACACTTGCCATGCCATATCTTTGGCAATGACAACAATTAGCCAACTTAACGGTTTCATGATATTTCATTGTCAGGAAATTGATTTGGAAGCAATGCAGATTCTCAACATGTGTTATGAACGTGCAAAAGAGGTATGTCTTAATGGAAAGAAGGATTAAAGAACTTCATGACCTCGTTATGCATGACTCTTGATTGATTGAATAAAAATTCACAACTTTGTTTTGCTTATCAGATCTTGGAGCAAAATAGAACGCTGATGGATGCTGTGGTGAATGAGCTTGTTGAGAAGAAAAGTTTAACCAAACGAGAATTTTTTTGTCTAGTAGAGTTGCATGGCTCCCTAAAACCAATGCCTCCCACTATACTTGACATTCGGGTTGCCAAGCGTAGGGAATTCCAAGAATTGATTAATAACGGAAAGGGGTCAACTCTAAAGAGCCAAGCTTAAAAATTTCAGGGGCTAATGTCCCATCAATTTTGGGAAATTTTCTACTATATGCATTAAAGTGTACCTAATTACTGTATTATATTCTTTACTTCAACACCGGCGGAGTATAGACATTATTTTGTTGGGTCTTTAGGAGAGGATCCATACATATTTCCTAGATTTTCTTAACTTGGGAGTTAAATTTCATGTTTCCCAATCTTTGCTGGAAAGCCATGTTACAGATTGAAATTTTCTTTTGCAGGGGGAGGTCATTCCTGAGTTATTGTTTAACTACCTCTAATCTCTGGACTTCGAATTACATTTTATGTTCAAAATAATGAACTAGTAATTACCTAAGCACATGATTTGGTGCGATTCTTCGGCATTTAAATTTATTTATATATTGTAAAAACAGCTATTATGATAAGATGGATTGGTACAAGTTATTCATTAAAAAAGACGAAAAGAAAAAGTGTAATATCAATTGATGTGCTCGGACGTGTATGATAAATTTATTTCGGAATAACTGAGATGTTTGAATAGAACAATTGTTTTGAAATTACACGGGTGTAAGGTGAGTAATAAAGGTGACTTTATTACTGAAATTTTCTTTTATACATAAGTATTGAAACTTAAAACTTTACTTACTTGAGATTTTATTAAAGGAATATTGAATTGTTTATCACTTGTATCAATTTTTATAATAAATTTTAATTTAACGTAATTTATAATAAATTTGTTTATATCACCAATAATATAAGTGAATTTAAATATTTTAAATCTTAATAATATACAATATAAACTAATAATTTTGTTAGTGTAATTTTTTAATTCAAAATATATTTTAGTGTTTGAAGTACATATTTAAATATATAATATATTAAATTAATTAATAAAATAATTTAAATGAATACTTTTTAAATTTAAATAGAATTTAAATTAAAGATACAATTTTATTTTTATTTTAACTTACAAGCTAACTCGAGAAGTCATTAGATGTTTGTAAAAATATTTTCATATAATTTAATCATTATTTTTAATATTTGACGATGATTTTTTTTGAATTTTTTATCATTTAAGTATAATTTTTTATTTAAAGTACATTTTAGAGTTTGAAGGATATATTTAAATATATAACATATTAAACTAATTAATAAAATAATTTAAATTAATATCATTAAAATTTAAATAAAATTTGAAATAAAGATAAAATTTTATTTTCAATTAAAAGATATAATACTTACTTACAATTTAATTAATATTTTTTTTAACTCAACGAATTTTTTTAAATTCTTTTATATATAAATATTAATAATTTTTTATTAAATTTTGTTCATAACAATTTTGTTATCATCATTTTTAACATGATATAATCATTAATTATAACAAACTTGTTTTAAATATAATTTAAAAATAATAAATATGAATTAATTATAAATATTCTAATAAATTTGTCCTATAGTAAATTTGTTTGTGTAATATTTTTTATAATGACTTTAAATATTCTAAATTTTAATAATTATAGACTTTATTATAAATATATAAAATAATATATAAATTTATTATTTATATATAATATTAAATTTAAATTTTAAAAATAATAAATTTTGTTATAAATATATAGAGTAATGAGTATATGATTTTAAATTTTTTAAATTTTAATAATTTTAAATTTTGTTATAAATAAATAGAGTAATAAATAATTACTGTAAATAAATAAATTCAACATGAACTCGCTCATTCATTGCCTCGTTGCAACTTATAAAATATAACCGCCGTTACTGCTCCCACGTTATCCCCGAAACTACCCACTAAACCCTGTCACGCCGCACCACTCAAACCCCACTTTTTCTTTCTAAATTGACCACGTGCTCTCTCACATATGTATATATACTCTTCATACAATTGGCATTGGGTTACAACCATTTATATTGCTTCTACATATTGTGTCAAAGAGAACAAAACAACCATGGCATCCCATATGGTTGTCCTATGTACTTGTCTGATCATTTTCTTGGCTTCCACGAATACTACTGTTGAAGCTGCCAGGCACTTCAAAGTTGGTGGTCAGTTTGGTTGGCATGAACCTCCTCTCAACGAAACTGATTTTTATAGCGAATGGGCTGAAAGGAACAGATTTCAAGTTGGAGATTTTCTGGGTAACCTGAATCAGTTCACATGCCATATTTTCACTGCTATTTAATAGTTACTTGTTGCATTCACTTTGAATATCAGTGGCTCTTGTAGTAACTTATGGTGCAGTTAAATCATCCATTTATTTATTCAATTCAATGAGTACAACTCAGCCACATTTTTTGTGTTACATTTAATAACATATGATTTTTCCAAAACAAAAAGTGGTAAAGTGAACTCTATGGTAATTGAACTAGTTTAAATATACGTAAGAGTGAACTATATCTAGTATCTGTTGAAAACTCAATTCTATAATTTGGATACTTATAGACGGTGGAGCCTATGGTTGGATTGGTTTCTAAGGAATGGGAAAAATATGTCATAATTCATGAGTTCTTGTTTATGCAGTTTTTGAGTACCAGAATGACTCAGTTCTTAGCGTGGAGAGATGGGATTACGTCGATTGTAACTCAAATGACCCTATCACTTCCTTTGACAATGGGAAGAGCACTTTTAATCTTGACAGGCCTGGAGCCTTCTACTTCATCAGTGGAACTGGTAATCACTGCAAGAATGGGCAAAAATTACTTGTGGAGGTGATGTCCCCACATCCAATTCCAAAATCTCCACCCTCCATTTCCCTTCCACCTGAAGGCTTTTCAGCAATGGCTCCTTCACCGTCTTACAGCTTGGAGGCTTCGGCTTCTGTGGTGCTTAGTTCAATTTCTATGTCTCCTTTTGTCACATTTGGAATTGTGATGCTTTTAGCATCCTGAACGACTTGTAATGGTTACAACGGGGAACTATTTGTTTTTCTTTTGTTGATTGCTTTTGGAATCTGAGTTATTTAGGTATTATCAGTGGAACTATTTTTTCTTTTTCTTAAATTTTTCTACCAGTCGTTTTGATATCATTGTGGTCTTTGTATTGTTTTCATGCACATGGCTTGAATTTCTCTCATGTAACTGTTTGCTTTCCGATTGAAACATTCTATTAGTTTGACGTGTGATCTAAGACCATTCATCTTTGAACTTCTCTCTCTCTCTCTCTATATATATATATATATGCATAGCATGCAATTCTAAATAATTCAACATTCAAAGTGCATTATTCATGCTCTGGAATCTGCTAAGAAAATCATTTAGTACATGATTATGATGTATCCGAAAAGTTAAAACTAGAGTCCTACACATATCATTGTTTTAGTTTGTAGGCGTTCCTTTTCACCTCCTTTGCATGCATGGCAATAGATGACAACGGAAAGACACACAATAGATATTAGGGGCCTATTTTCTGATGCGCAATCTCTTCAACGAGGAAACTGGTAAATATTTAATTTAAGCATGTCCAAAAGGGGCTCATAGTCGTTGAATTAACTATGCGAGACCTATATGTGGATAGACAGTGGTCATGGGTGTCACATAGAACCATGTCAAAGCTAGTAAGGCCAAAGGACTCACATTTGGTGCCACTCTCCTTCCAAAACCACGTATACTCTCTCACCCCATAAAACGGTAATAGAAAATATTATTTACTTTCTTATATGGTAGAAACTTCTTCGTGGCATTATATCTATATATAAATCATCTTGAATTCAAATTTTGATCCAACACACTGTTGTATTAGCAGAGTTTATTTTATTTGAATTTGAAATTTGTTTTATTTATTCCTATGAAATATTTCTTTTTTAATTGGTCTAGTGGCTTTATGCCAATATGCAGTAGTTACTGTGTATTTATCTAGATTTACCCCGAGTGTGTTATTGAGCGTTGCTAAACAGCACCAAAGAATCATGCATTTTGTTTTACAATGGTGGCAATGAGATTTATACGAATAACTTCCTGCAAATCTTCCCCAAGCCCTCCACTATTAATCCAATTTTAGATGCTAGATCTTAGACTTCTTGACATGAATGGAAGAAAATCTACTTCAATTAAGTGATTTATTAGATAAAAACAAAGGGGTTCTCAATTCCAAAAAAGCTATAAGAAGGAGCCATTGAACAGTTGGAAAAAGCCCTAATCCGCTCAAGGAAAAGTCAAAATGGAAGCATATCAGTTTCAGGTGAATGGCTCGTTGGCTACTCAGTCAGATGTAACAATAAATTTTCATAAGAGGAGATGAGATCATTTGAAAAATATGACTGATTCTTTGCTTGGGTTATAGGTCATTCGCTCAAAGTTTTGGTTTCAAATACAATACTTCAGCAACAAATTCAATAAATCCAAGTAGTGTTAGCTTTTTTTATTTTTTTTTCAAGGGAGTGTGTGCAAGTTATTTATTTCAAAGAATAGATGGGATTCAATCAACAACATTTTTTCCGTTATAACAAAAAGAAAGTGCATAATTTCACAAATTACTTTTAAATCAATTAAATTTTCCTAAATTAATAAGAAAAAGTAACCATAGCATTTTATGCTTCATTGATCAATCACTTTGATAGTGAATTTAACATTAACGAACAACAAATAGAACAAATCAAGAATCTCACATTTGGCAATTCGTAGATTCAAGTGTCACTCGTACATCTCTTTGGATTGAGGTTACAAGAGAAAAATGAAATATATAAAATATTTTTTTATATTCTTGTGACATGTAAATTTTGTTTTTAACATTCATAAAGTTGTTTTTTTATCATTTTTCCATTATTATTACCCTCGTGTCTGTTTCAGAATTTGTTGTGTCTGATTCTTTCTGGTGAAATAGTATACCAAAAAAATATTTATATGAACAATCATTAACATATTTGTACAAGTGGTAGTATGCACCTTTTTCCAACACATGACACAAACTTTCCCTTTGGAAGCCAAAAATAATCAGTATGAATGATAACCCTGAAAATAAGAGCTCTCAAGATCTGAATTTTCACTCTCTTTTTCGTAGTCTGCAGCTCCATCCCCACTTTCCTTTTCTGCAGCTCCGTCCACACTTTTCTTTCTTGACTTTCTCCAATTTGATTTTCTCAGCGAGTGCTCAACCAGCATCACACTGAGACATATGAAGATTGTGCCCAGAGAGCCACCACCTAGTGCTAGTAGCACCACAGATAGCCATTGCATCCCTTGACTATGTGGCAAGATCACCCATGTGGCTGCAACATAGCCAGTTGCCATAAATGCCACAGATACCCACATGACCTTGTGAGCTATTGTCAATAGTCTTGCATGTGACTTTCTTTTAAATGGAATGATACTGACAAGAACAATGACTATAGATATAGAGGTGAATAGTGCTATGTTGTTGCTTATTGCAAAGACCTTGAAGGCTGTTGTTTTACCCATTATTGACTTACCACTCATTTCTCCTTCTTGGTACACACCACCAGGGGGACTAATACCAGCAGAAAAAGTGACTGTTGCAATCAAAATAGCAACTAATACTATGGTATTCCTGGCATTTAGTATTGCCTCTTTGTGCATCTCATAATACTTACTCCTCTGAGTACAGAAAGGTAGATTTAGATTTTCCATTTTTCTTTTGCTCTGATGCTTTTGTTTTCCTGAACTGATTGGGGAGAAGTAATGTGGGTTATAAGTTCCATTCTTAAATCTCTCACTTACTTGAGGCTGAGGTGATCTAGACTCAATGCTTTTGCCAACTTCTGTTGGGTTTGTACAACATAAGAAATCATGTCATTGGGCATTTCCACTTGGTTAAGCATATGCATATACCTCCATGACACAGAAAAGCTAGATGCTACAGGAGACGGAGAATTGGCCTTGTCTACTTCCTGTGAAAAAGAAGAATTGATGCTTCTTTTACCACCTGCTCTGATAAAAGTGGCTTGTAATTGCCTGTTTTCTGCACTGTCCTTAGCCTGGTCAAGGATGTCAAGTGCTGTGGTCCCTTCACTGTTCCGAGTATTAATATCCAGCTTTGTCTTGTTGATCAAGAATTCTGCCATCTTCAATTACCATTAAAGTATAAGTACAACTACAGACATATGGGATCACATTCAAAACCAATGGGCTGTCAATTTTGATTGGCTTATACGATAATTGTTAGAACTCATTGCTGTATAATTAAGCTCGAGCAACATTTCATCTCAAAATCAATAATTAAATGTATTGAAAGAGTGAAAGTACTAAAGCCATACTACACATAGGTCATAGACTTGATGTCTTGTTTACTCATATTTTCTCCTGATTTTCAAAAAAGTAATTTTTTTTAATAGGTGTTTAGGAACATGTTCGAAAACTTGTAAACATGGATGCAATGCAGAAGTTACAACTAATAGCATTGAAGTAAATGTGACATTTAAAGCCAACATGCTATTCCACGGTACTGAGTTTATATTCACAACTCACATTAATTGCTCACCTTATGGCGCCCACCTATAACGGCAAGATGTAAGACACTGTTGCCATATCGATCTTGACAATGCAATAGATTGGTCCCATTGGAGACATGCACCAAGAATTCCAAAGCATAATAGCATCCGTATCTCACAGCTAAATGAAAAACTGTCTCTTCTTCTCTAGTGAGATGATGAAATGATACAGCACTGCTTGACACAAAATCTTCAAGGATTGAGACTTTCCCATTCATTACTGCCAGGTGCAATGGTGTATAGCCATTGCTGTTGTATAGTAAAGCAAGATTTGGATCACGTCTTAGTAGGATCCATGCAATCTCTCTAAGTCCTTTATTACAAGCATGGTGCAGTAGCGAGTTCCCCTTGTCATCAATCACTTGAACAAGCTCTGGCCACTTATTCAACAATTCTCTAACAACATCTGCACAGAAAAATCAATATCTTAGGGGATTTTTTATGTCAACTGCTTAAAATTTTCTGCCCATAAGGTTCTTAGTGCTTGATGATTAATGTGAGTTAAGTCGGAGTTGACATGAATGCAAAGGGGAGTCCTCATTTAAATAAATAGTTCAAAAAGCATGTAAACTTAATGCCTATTTTTGTTCAGCTTATTTTAAGGAAATAATTGTTTATATTTGCCAACGTCATAACACAACTTTTGAAAAACAAACACTTATTTCTTTAAAAATATTCATTTCCAAACATTCAATTCACTAAATGGAGAAAATTATTTTATGCCCACCCACCTGCGTGCCCTCTTGATGCAGCAATGTGTATACAACTTTGATCAAACCCTGCTGCCTCTAGCCCCACCATTTCAGATTGATTCAGCAGGAGATTCACCATGTCAAGATGACCATGGCTGCAAGCCACAAAAAAAGCACTTTTACAATTCGGATTAAGCTTACAAGCAGCTGAGGGATTGGCATCAAGCAGCATCATTAAGACCTTAACATTCTCTTGTCTGCATGCTTCATGAATTGGAGTCTCCAGCTTTTTGTTCTCAGAAAAAACCATGTCAGGGCACAGTCTCACAATCTCAGACACTATTTCAGTGCAACCAAACCGAGAAGCAAGGTGTAATGGAGTGCTCAAGGAAGTAGGTGTTCTTTGATTGAGAAAATATTCATTCTCTTTAACTAGGCTTGAAAATGTGGTTATGTCATTTTTCCTTATTGCATAAAAAAACTTTGGATCCATATTGTGAACTTGAAAGTCCTTGAGGCTGTTAGATACAATTAGAGAAAGGCTCTGCCACCCCTTTATAATAGGTTAACAAACACAATAGTACCTTACTTGCAGCAAATGCTTGGAAAATCATTGTAGGGACAAAGTACGTGACTTTTGAGCATGTAAGCGTGTGCAACTTTTATGCGTTTAAACATTTGTGACTTTTGAATGCTTAATTGTGGAGCATTTCAGCCTTATTATTTTCAAGGAAAATTCGCCTTATCTGAGAACTAGCTCAGAAGTCAACGGTTTTTTCCACATAGCATAGTATGTTAAAAGAAGCTTCTTGGCATTGAGTTAAATGTAGCAAGTTCCAATTTTTCTCATTGTCTCTTGTGTTTTAATTTCGTTAGTGGTTGAGGATTCTAGAAAGAGAGAGAAATGAAATCAATCTATCATCATTACTATTTATCCCTCTAAAACATCCACCACTTGCAACACCATTCTTCTTGTCTAACAAAAAAAGGGTAACTCGAAATAACGCATCATCTAAGAATTTTCCTGTTTTACAAAGAAGTACCCTTCATTTTTCCTTCCAGACATCCCACCCGTGTGCAATGGTTAACGATAAAATATTAAAATTCGAGGAAGCTATTCCACAACATCCGCAATTCTTTGGGATTACATTGTTAAAACATTCAAATGAGTTTTTCTATTTTTCTTTCTTTTTTCATTTTGGGTCATTTGATTTTGTCCTATTGTATATTTATTATTGCATTAAGAAAAGGAGCTTCTTGGAAAAAAATCCCCAGAAAGTACTTTCAACCGTAAATACAACAAGGTCTTTCTCACATTACAATTCTACAATTTAGATAAATTTATGCACGTACCTCAATGGCTTAAATTCAATTTTATTAAAATCAATTATACTTAATTTTAAATTGAACAAGTACCATCAACTTAACAATGTTATCGATAATTTATATTCACAGTACAGTCTCAACAAACAACATATGAAACTCGATTAAATTGCACCCTGGCCTTGATGAAGAATGAGATGGCCTTGCTTCACAAGTGATGCAATGCAATCATCGAACATTTCTTCAATAGACTTGAACTTGAATCCTAGATTCCTCAGCTTTCCAGTGTTTAGTTCGTAATATGGTCTATCTAATTTCTCGAACCTGAAAATGGAACATGACCTGTTACAGATACATACTTTTTTTCCTTAGCTGTATTTTCTTCTACAATTCCAACATGAAAATTTCAGAAGGAAAGTAAATTCCACCAATAGACTAAATCCAAGATAAAATCTTTATTTAATGCACACAGTTAATTTAAACGAAATAATATACAGATTTAAAACTAAATAATTAGTATGCGTACACTTGCAGTACTTACAACTATAGAGCACTAATATCAACAAGTATAAAAATGAAGTGCACAAAGAATCTAGGCCCAAAGCAAAACAACAGAGATATTAGAGTTCCTAATTCAGTCAATAAATTGCTGGTGAGTGTATGAAATTAACATAAAATTATAATGTAATAATTGGTATTACTCAAGTTAATTATTAAGTCATAAGTTAAATTTTCATTTATGAAATATGTTGCAAAATCAATTCATGTAATTAACTCAATACATATCCAATTACATCCCTGAGAACATTTTAGTGTTAAAAATATAATTCTTTAATATATCTTTTGTTAATTTTGAGGTTGACGATTAAAAGCAGTGGCAGTGCAATGAGAAGCATTGAGGAACCTTTTGGAGATGGGGAGGGTAGGATAACGATTGGCTAGCAATGCTGCCAAATCATGTTCATCCATCACTGTAGAGCTGCAAAGGTATCGGCCATGGGAAGCTTCATGTTCGTAAAGAAGGATGTGGCAAAGGGCAACATCATCAATATGAACGTATCCCATCCTCCCAAGCAATTGGAATTTCTTGGTTTCCCCTGTTAGTTAATTAGAAAAGGGATAGTACTCATAAAAAAATTATAACTTAATTAAATATTTAATCCTTAAAAAAGTTAATACTTAATAAAAAGAATAATTAAAATATAATTTTTGATCCCTTTAATTAATATGGTCTAAAAACTTAACAATATTTTAATGAACCACATACTAACTAGAGGATTAAAAATAAAGTACCAATAAGGGGTGGTATTTACCTTTGAGCAAGTCTAGAACATCAGATGCTGTAGAACATAAATCTGGTGGCAAGCTTGGTCCAATTATGAATGATGGCAAAATTGTCACTAAATTTATTCCATTCTCTCTGCAATATTCCCACGCTGCTTTCTCTGCCTTTGTCTTTGACATCGCATACCATGCCTTCAATTCATGTTACATCTAATAAGCCATCTTTTCTTATGAAGTGTGACCAATTATGTCTCAAAAACATAAATTTAAGCATAATTCTAAATTTAGCTTTTGAAATAATATGATGGGAGAGTAATTGAGTGGGCATAGCTAAATTAATATCCACCTGCAGTTTCTCGCAAATTTCCAATGAGCTCCAAGATGATTCATCTAATGGTACATTTGGATCAAAATCATCTCTTAGTCTAATAGTTGAAGACGATGATGTTAAAACCACACGGTCAAGGGCTGGATTCTTTCCACAAGAGCGCAACACATTTAGCGTTCCTTTCACTGCGGGTTCCAATATTTCTGACTATTTTTAATAAAACTATGTTAGTTCTCTGCTCTTTGTATAAAATTATAATATATTTTAAAAATATTTATAATAATAATTCATACATTAAAATAAATATATCTATTAATAAAGTAACGTATGAGTATGATATATGATTAATTTTTACAAAGAATAGCATGACGTGAGATATTTATTATACCTTGGGATCTGATATATGATTGAGTACAGGAGAGGCCATGTGGAAGACTCCTTTGCATCCCATGATCGCATTGTCGAAGCTGTTTTCTTCCATTAAATCAGCTTGGACTAGTTCCAGTCTCTCCTTAGCTCCTTCCAGCTTCCACAAATGTTCATACTTCTTCTGCTTCCCTGTATACACATACAAATAAATGTTTTTATGCAATGCGATTAAAATATCCTACTTTTCTCTACATGTATAAAACGAAAATATCTTTCAACATAATTAAAAAAATGTCTAAATAATTCCATTAGTCGTCTTCTTGTCAAATTACATATACATATCAAACACATGTCACCGAACAACACTTCTAAGTAATTAAATATAAATATAAATATATATATCAAACTTATTTATCTACTACTTTATGGCCTAAATGCATGCAGGTGTGTGTGCATGCATATATAAGAGAGAGAGAGAGCAGACCCAAATCTCTGACTGTTCCAATGACATGATAGCCAGATAAAAGAAGTCGCTTAATGAGCCAAGAAGCCAGAAAACCTGAAGCCCCAGTGACACACACTATGCCTCTTTTGCCTTTGTGTTCCATGTCACACCCAGTAAAACACCAAAGTCTAAGGCACTGTTAATGAATAAGGTGAGTGAAATTGTCTATATATATGAATTCATGCTTCCATGTGTGGCCTCACACAAGGATGTCATGACCAAACTAATCTAACTTTCTACTCTGACAAATGATGCATGGACGACCTACCTTAACTGGTCCAGCCCCTACTCTGTCAAACTCCATCCGTGGTATCTGAAGAAATTTTGGTACTCTAGAGTATTAATTACTTTTAATTTGAATTGTTTTTACTTTTACTTAAAAAAATTTAAAATAAAATTATATATACACAATGTAATGATTTTAAAGAACAAGTTCGAAAATCACCAAGCAACTTTATAAAAATTTTCAGTATTAAGTTTATTTATGATGATATTCCATTTTTGTTGCAAGTGGTCAACAAGCGCCCATGGCCTAATGGATAAGGCGCCTGACTTCTAATCAGGCGATTGTGGGTTCGAGTCCCACTGGGCGTGATTGATGTAATTATATTAAGTGTATCATTTTTTTTTTTTGAAAAAAAGTGGTTCTTGATTACATTTGCTACAAATAATTTCAAATTTATTTGTATTTTTTTCATTTTTCTAATTTATAGATATTAATCATGTTGAGAGGAAAATATATGAGATTTGGGGCTGAATGAAATGAAATTTAGGGTAATCATTTTGCCTCAGGCCCAATATATTTTCATTTTTTATATTAATTATATTATATTTAAGACAATAAAAGTATAAAATTGTATCTGTTAATGAGCCCAATTAAAGGTGGTCTAATATTTTTATTTTTTATTTTTTATTTTTATTTTGATCATTCATTTTTTTGTCTTTCTTATTGATCAACAGTTACTCATATTACCTCATTTGATTTATTATTATTTTTTCTCATATAATCTCGTTACTGTTTCTTATCATTGTTACATTTTTAATCTTACATTTGTGGGATTAGGATATTATCTATATTTTTCTTAAAATAAATAATTTATACAGGGATTTTGTTTTTTCTATTTGCATTTTGATTAAATTTGTATTTTGTATAAAGTCTATAAGAAGCGCCCCTGCCCTAATGGATAAGGCGCCTGACTTCTAATCAGGCGATTGTGGGTTCGAGTCCCACTGGGCGTGTAAATATAAAATGATGTTTTTCATGCTCTCATTTTTATTAATTAATAATTAAAAAAATAAGTATAAATTAGCTAGAAAATTATTTTATATACCTATTGGGCCATTAGGCAGAGATTGCTATCGTCCATTTTTTTTATACATCCTTTGGTTTTATCTCCCAACATGTTAATTAATTCCAAAATACACATTAGACAAACCATAGGGAAAATGCATGAGATTATGGGGACACCTTAGCACGTGATTAGATTCGTTGTGCCTTAGCTTCGTGGTCATTTTCCTGCCACTTAAATTCTGAATTCTCAGCTACAGATTACATCTCTTTACAACATGTTAATTAAAGAACCTTTTTTCTAGTTTAATTAAGATACAGTTCTGTTAATTGTGATGTATATTCCTTGTATATTGATTATATACAAGGAATTGGTATATGTGTTTGTAATGTTGAGTTATAAGTCATTTTTCACTCTCTTTTGACTATGTTTAATTTCTAAATAAGTGAATGTGTGTCTTTGTGTTTCACACACTCACAGTGAGACTTAGAATAGTTCATGAGAGGATTCAATCTTTCTTCTGAGAATCAGTTGGCACGTACTCTTTTGGAGGACTTATGCTATCTCCATTCTTAAGCCCATTAATCAACAACAATTGTTTCATGAAAATAAAAGGTATCCAGAACTATCCCCGACTTAAATATTCCAATTAAGTTGTTAGGACAATAAGTCGTCCTTGTGCTTGCTAGCTAGAAAAAAAGTGACAAATATTTTCAATGCAATGTGACTTGCCAAGATGGACACTTGTCCTTCTCGAAGAAAAATGTGAATCATATTATGGATTTTACTGATCATAATCATGTTATGGTCACCTTATTTGCTGTTTTGAATCTCATAATTTTGTTGTATGCTTTCTATGATTTGTGTCCTGTACTTGTACTTGTCAAAAGATAAATAGACAACTTATTGATATGAACCAAAACTCTTCTCTGATTAAGATTATTTATCGTTTCACCTATCATTAATTAGTTAGAAAAATTCAGCCAAAGGTTTGAACTTTTAGTGATAAGAGATGAATAGCCCATCAAACCAGCAAAGCAGGAAAGTTGGGTGGCTATCGAAGTTTTCTAAAAAGAAACTGTGGAAGAAAGAAAGATTTTTGTGGTGTGTGTGATTATCTTAAAAAATTGGATCGTACAATAGCCTTCTGATTATTGTATTTTTGCTGTGCATGTTGCATGTTAGGTATCGCTACAATAATTGGCCATCTCTGCTTTTAAATTAATTAATATTTGTAGTCACTTCATTAAGATCCTGCTATAGAAAATATTATTGTGATTATACAAGAGAGTAATCGTAATATTGTATTCTCAAGTGGTGGGTTCTTATATTAATGATTGTTGTGCATTGTTACTACTTTGTGTTATACATTTGTGTTGGTTGTTTTACTTTTTCAAGTTTTCCAAATTAATATTAATTTTGAAGAACAAAATAAATATGTTTGCATTCATTAATTAAGACTTAAAAATGGCATAATGCGTACACACGATGAGATGGAAAAGAAGGGGAGAAATCACGGCTTTAATTCATTTCAGTGAAGCCCCTATCAACATAAATGCAAAGGTATATACCATCTGATGATAAACATGTTATGTAAACCGTCAAGAAAAGGCATTTTTCATGATAATTAGAAACAAATGTTTGCATGCTTTTAGAAAGCGTATTAATTGTAGATGCAAAATATAAATTTCTTTTGTTTCAATATCTGCAGCTACTTCATTGTCAATCCCACACAAAATTTAGTCATTTTATACTGACATATATAGGGCAATAATTTAAAGCGATAATTGATTCTTTTTGAATGGGGGGGTTCTACCTTGCTATACCAATAATTGTAATGTTAACGTGCGAGTTTGAGTTTTAGGATTTGGTGTTTATATATCTTTATCATTTTTTTATCACGTTATATTATATTCATCATAGTGTTTTCAAATTTTAAACAGTGCCTCGCCAATAAAGCCCGTCATTATCAATGTTTATTAAAGTCTAGAAAAAGTGCCGGTCTTGGGTTTAATTCAACATAATACTCATTTTGTTCTCCGTATTTGGTGTCAATATATGATTACACTGTGGCCTTCTATACCCTCCACAAGTGTGCACTACACACTGTTTATTCCAACCCTGTCCCCCAAATGAATGCAATAATGGTAATAATGGTTACAGTTAAATATTTTTTTACTCTAATAATTTTGTTAAGTTCTCCAAGTGGGTAACTTGACCTATTTTTAACGTAATCAGCCAGTTTAATATAGTTTTAAAAGGTATGATAAAGATTTTTTCAATTGTATCCAAACAAAACCTTTGATGGAAATTGCATTTTTTTAATCAGATGAAGATTACAATCACTTTCAACAGACTTAATTCTTCCTTCATTTGGGTAGAACAATAAACAACAAAGTAGATGAGGAAAGAAACGGAGGATTACGAAAAATCGTCACGCTATCAGTGGAGTAGAAGACACAGGCATGCACTCAGCAAAATTTGCTTCTATAGATCAACAAATGAACAAGAAGCAAAGGGTCCAGCTTCAGTGCTAAACAGCTAAGCTTAAAACAGCGACTGAACTATCTTAACCACCAAATTCGGATTCATTTTATTGTACTTTGGTATAAATGTGGAACCGTCAGCTACATTGACATGTAAGGTTCTGAACCTACCAAAGCATTGGATCATACACATTTGGACTGTCCCTAATGACCAGACAGCACATTTCTTAACGTATGCTTAACTAACAAGCATATATATATATATAAATATTATTCATGTTGCATGCTTAAAAAAATCCTTGTTATTCTTAGAAGATCATATGATGAACATATGCTTAATTTTCTTACATTTATAAGTCAACTAAAACACTTATTTATTTGTACTGTATCTGTGATCAAGTTGAAGTTTTATTATAATTCTCAAGGCTTAATTAATTACCGTTGCATCAATTACAGATGGCAGATAAGCATTACAAAAGCTAAGTAATCTAAACCACCAACTACTGCCAAGTTCATTGTCCATTGTCCTTTTCAAATTTGTAATGAAGTTTGGGGACACTTGGGTCCACAACAAAAATGGCACAATTGTTTGCTTCGTCATACCTAATTATTCAACCATTTATGTTTAGAGAGAAAAACTGATTAACGAAGTGTATCGATTAATCGATGATTTATTTAAACATATTTTAAGGAAAAAATAGGATACTTCTTATAATTGCGACAATTTTAAAGTTGGCTTATATATCTATATATAAGATACGTTTAATTGCTCGATTAAAAAGCGTATTAACAAATATTTTAATGGAACTTTAATGGGTTCCATTACATATTTTACTCCATTTATTATAGTTAATAAGACTTCGATTTCTTAAAAACTTAAATTTTGCCATTTAAACTTTTTAAATGACGAAATTATCTTTTTTATTCGTGAAAATAACTTTTTTTCAGCATCTCATTTAACAAAGTCAGACTTTAATTCTTATAATTTTTTCTATTTTCCACATTAGTACCTTAATCTATCTACCGCTAGTCCTTTTAAATATTGTGATTGTATTATTTGATTTTTTTAAATATTATAATAATTATTTATTTTTAAAATCACATCAGTACTTAATAGATAAACGAACAAAAACCTAATAGAAAGACTAAAAATGTTTTTTTTATTAAAAGATCAAATGAAAAAATTATAATATTTAAAGAATAAAAAGGTATAATTAAATATTTTAAAAGTATTACAATAAAGTCATTTAATTAATTTCTTATTTAAAATACTCATATTCTTATTTTTATTTAAAAATATTTATAAATTGAACTTACTAAATTATTTTAAACATTCTTACTTTTAAAACCCTCCAATCAAAATGTAAAACTTTACTTTAAACAACAACAAGTCCGAAATTCCTTTGCTATGAAACATTAACTTCACATCATATAAAAAATAATAATTTTTTTTAACAATTCTATTTAGATTTCAAAATTATCTCAAACTTTTCATTATTTGAATAGAAAAATAAATATTTAATGATTTTGTGTAAAGGAGTGAATGACGAAAGGAGATAAGCGTGATATATTTTAAAAATTAAATCCAAACAGAAATTATTGAAAAACTAAAATCACAATAAATAAAATAAACGGAATAAAAAATATAATTAAAAATTTAATATTATTTAAGGTAAAATTTATAAGATCGAGTCAGCATTGACCATGCAATATTACAACAGCAACTTAACGTGCAATCTTGAGGAAGAAAATTGCTTTTATTTAAGAGTGAAAGGAAAAGAAATATAATTCATTAAATTTTATATAAAAATGAATGCTAAAATTTATTTATTAATATATTTTTATATATTAAATTTGAATATTTATTTTAAAGTAAAAAATTTCCTGAATCTATTTTCAATGCTCAACCATAGGACCTAAAACCACACTGTCAATAATTAATATATTGAGACACAACAATTCAGAGCTTCGACTTGAGGATTGAGACATGATTGACAGAAACAAAGCCAGGTTCCAAGGCTTTTTCTTTTTCCTTCTTTTGTGTGGGCATGCAAATGCCTATCAGCATCATCAACACATCATAGGCCATTTCTCGATTAAAAGGTTCTACAATGAATGACTTGTTCCAAAATTGTTAAACATAAATTATAAAATAAAGAAATCTAGAGATATAAAAAAAATAAATTATTTCAAATTTGATAATATTGTAATTACATTACAATAACATAGTGTAATTTAGAGAAAAGATTAATAAAATATTTAAAAAATTTAAAATGTTTTAATAAAGATAATTAAAATAGTTCATATCTTTAAATCTAGGTCGAATGGTTGATAAAATTATCATTCGCGACAAAAAAAATATTCTCAAACTTTTAACGTAGATATATACATACAAAATTCAAAACTTTTAGCCAAGTTAAAATATCTTCCACTAATTTACTTACCTGTTTGTAAATAAATTATGTTTTTTTTCCTTATTAAAGTTGTTTAATATTTTCGTTTTTGTATAATAACTTTTAAAAATGTGCTGGAGAACATAAATAATTGGTTTAGGTACACCGTTGAAAAAACTTCTTAAACACTTAGTTTTAAAATTAATTACTATGCCCAAATTTGTAGTTGTCATTTTAAGAAAATAATATTTATCTATCACTTTAAACTTTTAAGATAATATTAATTATTAAATAGGAGAGAAAAATAACAATATATGGAATGCTAAAATAATAAACAAGAGAGATAAATGATATAAAAAATATAAATACCTTTAATAAAAATAAGGAGAAGAGTTATTTTCTTATTCTTTTTTTATCATATTATTTTTCTTATTCTAAGTATTATTTCTTTTAATGGCAAATAAAAAAATTGGAGAAAGTAGTTAATTATCCATGTATTTTGATACACCAATTCTCTTTTTTCTAGCACCTCATTCTCAAGATTGTGTCCATTCAAATTTTTTTTTTACGTTTTTTAACTTAAAATATTAAAAATCACATAGCAATTGGTCATCCTCATGCAATCATATTTATCACATTATGGTTCTTACTAATGTGCCACAGTTGAGGCAAAGTTAACTTTTAGGGGAAGAGATTAATTTTCTAAGATAAAAAAAGAAAAAACACATGAGAACTTTTATAAATTATCTAATCTAATTAAAGTATACATATATTCTTATTGTTATTGGCTTGAGTAGATTACCAACTTCATAACCACCTTCCAATATAAGTTTATTGAACAAGTTTTTCCCTTGACCATCTGCATTTCACTCAATTACTCTCCTTCTATTTCTTGTTATCTTTACAAAAGTTATTTCTTCTAGAATTCAGTGGATTTTTAGTAAATCTGTTTGCATTTGTTAACAAGTGCACACAACTACTCCTTCTCCATTTTTTGTATAATATATAAATAATTAATCTACCACAACCAATTATATATATTAGTTAATGTCCCTAAACCCTAAAGTTAAAATGTTATTTATTTTTTATAATTAAGATTAAAAATATGAACACTCTTTTTTGCAAAAAAATCAGAAAAATATTAGTTAAAAGAAATATTTATTTATTCATTCAAAAATTCAATAATTTTGTTAATAAGGTGCGATTAAAGAACTAGTTATTAAAATAATAAATAGCATATTTTTGTTGAAAATATAAAAAAAAATTACAGGATAAGTGTATTATTACGTTTTCTAACTGGAGAATTTTTTTACTGTCAATAAACTTTTATGCTACCAGTTAGTTTGAACATTTATTAATATATAATTTATATTAATTATTATAAAAATTAATAATATGTAATTGAATGTCTCTGTTGCATGGTCAACGTATTTAAATTAAATTATCGAAGGTCAAACAAAATGTAAAGGAAAGATCATTGAAGACTTTTCAGGCAAGAAAGTACTATAAAGATTAATGAAGAAAAACAAATTTAAAATGGAAGATGAAGAAAATATCATTGAATGCTTGTTAAAGAAGATTAAAAAAGATAAGCACACCGATTAAGTTATTACTTGACACTTTGTAAATTAGAGGACTTGATGTCTCATTGTTTCAAGTTATTTACGTACATATGATGGTAGTTATTAGGCCTTATTTGTTATAATAAATTTGATGACAAGTGTTAACATTAATATTTGGTTCCTCTAACATTAATATACCCATGAACTGGGCACAAACCTTAGTTGTATTTTAGTAAGCACTGTTTAATGTAAAAGTAAAATTTTTTACACAAGTATTTTTAAGTCACCTTATTCTAAAGAGAGAGAGAGAGAAAATAAATAAATAAAAATTCAGCCATACTAACAGTATACTGTACGGAGGTTTAGATTAAAATTGTATATGAAAGTAATCCACACACATTGGAAAAAATGTATATCAAAGTCAAATTAACAACATAAAATTTTGTATAATTTTATACAATAAAACTCGATCATTTGTTAAGTACGTGTGTTTGAAACAAACTAGCAAGTGTCTCATGTATTATGTTAGTATTTTTTTAATCTAAGAAAAATATTTAAAATTTAAAGTTGTGTAGTATTAATTGAATAAATAAATATATCATTCAGGAGAGAAAATATTTATTTTAAAAAATAAAAAAATAAATAGTGGAAATCTGAGATGAAAAATATATAATTTTTTAAGTAATTAAAGTTTATATTTAAGAATTTTTTTTCAACTTAAGATAATTCTTTGAAAATCATAAATAATAGTTTGATAATTCCAAAAAATATATAAATAACTATAATAAAAATGTTTTAATATTTAAAAGTAATCACTAAATTTATAAGGAGTTAGGTCCAAATTATCTATCTAAATTAATTATTTGTTACTTAGGAGTATCCTTATTGTTATTTAATCCTAAGAGAATGATCAAGTGGAGGGAGACAAAGTCTTTGACTTGATAAATGCAAAACTTTTATAAATGTTATTTAAGTTTAGTGGTTTTCTTTTACAGTATAAGGAGACTCACCCTCCTAAAATTTGATTAATGAAAAGATGTTTATTATGTATATCTATCAGTAAAAGGAAAAATATTTTTTATATACAATTTTGGATAATAATTTTTATTAATTTTTATAACATACTTCTGTTCATATGAAAATTCAAAATATAATAAATAAAAAAATTATATTAAATTCTTTAATATATCAATAATAAATTAAGAAATGTATCGAATAGATAGTATAATATTACAATAAATAATAAATTAAAAAGATATCAAATAATTTCAATAAAATTTATATTATTTAATTTATATAACTTTTCTCTCTTTTATCAAAATGCAAAAGTAAAATATATTTTTAAAACAAAAATTTACTACTTTAAACACTTAAATTGAACCTTTCAATTCTACAAACTTAATATAACAAAATCAAATAAATGAAAAAAAAATAGTATTAACTTAAACACATTAATGTACATAAAACATTGAATACACTACAAAATTAAACTCTCGGTGTATATAAATTTAACAACCTAGAATTAATTACTAGTCTCCTCACTGGATGCCACCATATCACAGAAAGTGAATATAAAAATGTAAAAGAAGCAGGAATCATACTGGCTACAGGATCATTAGAGAGAAAGCACAAATGTAATTTTTTTTTCCTATTAATTCTGATTCCATTTTATTTAGTTTATAGTTAGAAGGAAATTAATATGTAAAGGAAAAGAAAAGGTGTGTATTGACAGATGAATCAAGAAAGGAGCAGAATGAGGGTGAGATTGAATTGAAGGTGAGAGAAGAGAAGAAGTACGAAATTGAAACATTAAAGTGATGGAACTAAGCACCAACCGCTGACCAGTCACCAGAGAGATCGAAATAGCCAAACAGTGTTTGATGACACATTTTGATAACAGATGAGAGAGATGAATAATCCATCACCCACTCACTTCCAACTACTTCGGAACTTCCAATTATGTCCGACACACATGTTTACTTTTGTTTAGTTTATCCAAAATCATTGAACTTCCGAAAGCTAGAAACTAAACCAAACATGTTTTCTGGTGAATCTCACACCCATCGGTCCCAAAGTGGAATCCACACTCGGAGCTTTCTATGATAAAACTCTGTTCCCCAAACATCATGTCAGAAAAACTCGCCATTGGGGTCGGAGGGTAAACCCAACTATCCACCGAGTCGATAAACGCGAACTCAGTTCTCGAGTCCACCGAGTCGAAGCTCTCTTCTATGTTGGGAAGCTCCACAATCTGGCTTAGCTCAGAGGACTCTGACGAAGGCGAGGAGTGTAACTTGTGAGGGTCGAATTCCACCATGGCGGCGGCTTCTGCAGCCGCGGCTTGGATGTCACGTGGGGTCAACGTGACGGGTCTGGGGAACATGTTTGCAATGTTTGGAAAGTTGAGGATCGCTGTGTGGCCCTTAATGCTCAGAGATGCAACATCGTGGGCTCGTGCTGCCATTTCAGGGGTTGCAAAAGTTCCAAGCCAGATGCGTGATTTCTTGCGGGGCTCACGAATTTCTGACACCCATTTGCCCCAATTGCGCATTCGTACTCCGTGGTAAACCGGGTGCTTGCTACTGTCTCTGTTTCTCTTGGGCCTGCTCTGTTTTCTGTCCTCTGTTTTCTGTGAGTTTGAGTTGGAGTTGCTGGTGCTGGTGCTAGCAGTTTCGTAGCAGTTTGTTTCCGTCATTGTTACTCAGAATCGGAATGTTTGGTGGCACATGATAGAAGAGTGAATACTAGGGAGTAGGGAGAGATATCATAGGGTGTGTGTTGAGCAGAGCATAAACAGAGCATATGGGTTGGCCTTTTGTAGCGAATGATACGCGCCCATACAGGATATAGCGACCCTTGACCTACCAATAATATATTTCATGACATTTCATATTGTAATGAGTATAGGTTTACTAGTTGAATGGCAAAGAAGAAAAAATTGAAAACCTTTATGAGTAACATAACTAACGCGGGTTAAAAATAGAAATGCATAAAGGGAGTATATCATTTTTCCTTTTCTTGTGTGTGAAAGATTTATTAGGTTAAGTAATAATAAGTATATGGTTATGTAGGAGAGAGTGTGTGGAAGAAATTTCACTGCCAATTCGTGTCTTCCGCACTTCGCTTAGAGGCATAGACAATGTCTACAGAAGCCACTAGCCTTTGTTTTTTCATTCATAAATTTTTCCTTCTTTTCTTCAATTTTTGGATAAGGACTTGAGAGGTTAATTGGTATGGAAGAAAATTAAGCACCATTTGTAAGAAAACAAGATAAATAATCTCTGCCACGAGCACATTAGCCAATAGGATTAGGGAGTCTAATATTCCATTAAGGTCTTAATCATCCTTTGTAGGATGATTGCTAGAAAGAAACATCTCTACCATAGGATGCTTTTTTCACATCGTTGTGCGTGTTACTGATTCAAAAGCATTCATTCATTCCACTTGAGGACTCCATCCAATTTTCCAATGTTCTAGAGATGTGGAGGAGAGGGGGGTAGCTCTTGCTATGGATTATTTAGAAGCTATCCCTGTCCATGTTACTATGATGTGACACTTCAAGATGGGACTATAATTGGGTGCACTAATCCCTCCAAAGTTTAAAAGTAATGACAGATGTACAAACAAATATCTGACAAATAATTTCAAAAAAATCAATTATTACTTTGCAAGTTTGCATAGATCTTGTTACTTTACATACTTGTATTTTCATTTGTGCATTATCCCACATTTTTTTTAAAAGTAGCTGACTGATTAAGAATTACTTTCAGCAATTTAAATTTAACAAAAGTAATTTGTCAGCATAAATATTTATCCATTGTTATATTTATCAAGTTTATTAATATCAGCTTTTTAAGGTTGAAAATAAATAGTTAATAATAATAAATTTTTATTAAAAATATTTATTATGTTTTTATAATTTTAATATAATAATTATAATTCTTTTAATTATAACTATTTAAATTCACTCTTCACTCCTAAAGTTAATAAAATTCTATATTTATTTATATTTTATTCTTTCTCTCACAGTTATTTCAAGAAAGAGGACAAAAAAAATCGGTATCTCCTATGGTGTTCCCTACGGCTACGGTGGCAGCTGGTCTAAATAAAGTCCTCCAATATCATTTTTTTTTTATTCATCAACTAAATTGATTTTGTATTTTTAAAGTAAAGTGGTGTAAAGTAAAAATAAATATTTATTCATTATTATTTAAAATTTAAATATTTTATAAAATCTATTTGATGAAAATTATTTTTTATATATATTTATTTTACAAAAACTATATTTTTATAAATAATCAACTTGTTTAAAATAAAATCAATCATTGATTAAGTAAAGGTATTATTTTATGGTTCATTAATTCGATTGTAATTTAATTACGATCAAACTAGTAACAATAAAAAAATGCATTTTAATACCATATAATATATTAAAAACTTAAAATTAATCCATGTAAAATTATAAAAATTACTAAAATTTTAAATTAGCGTAAACTAATTTTATAAATATCCTATAAGATGAAAATTATAATAAATAATAATAGTAATATTTTATATGTATATATAAAATATGAATTTTTTTAAAAATATTTTATATGTTTTTTTAAAACAAGTAAAAAGTACTTTTTGCGAACTGTTTGGTTCAAACAAATATGTATTGTTAATTTTTGCTTGATTTTGACCGATTCTAAGTTTCACCATTTTTTGAAGTTGCTTGAATTGATTACCAGATTAGTTTATAGTCAAACTGGGTGATTTGGTCCAATTTTAACAATCATGTAAATAAGTTAGATATATACATCATCACATTAATGTTTCAACTTTGTTAATTATGAAATAAGTCTTTAACAATATATTTGAGAATTTTAAAAGTGAAAAAGTAAACTTTTTATTTCTGATAAATTTCATAATATACTTTTTTAAATAAAAATAGAAAATTATATCAACATAGACTTAGAATAAAAAACTTTTTGATGTAGACCACAAAAAAAAGACTAATATGAGCTACAAAGACTTGTTCCACGGTAATCAGAATAAGAACCTTGAGTGTTCAGTTTAAAAACATTTTTTATTTTTACTTTAAATAAAAAAATGTTATCTTATTTTCATTTCTTGTTTTTAAAAAATAAAAAATAATTTTTAATTATATTATTTTCAATATAAATATTTTAAAGCATGAAATAAAATAAAATAATATTTTTGTAATTTAAAAAATATTTTTCAAACAAAATAATACTTACCTGTTACGTAATCCCTCTTTGTTTCTTGTTTTTTCCTACGGAAACAAATATGCTAATCTTTTGTTTCATACACTGCTGACACCGCCACTGGGCATTCCAAAGTCTCAAGTGTCAATGTCAAAGGAAGATTGCAAAGCATAAGTAAGAAAGTGCAGAAATTTGCTTCATGAAAGCGAGCATGCACATATACAGGTTTTTGAGGAACATCTCAACTTTGAACTCTGAAGGGGTGCAATAGAGACCAACTTAGTACACGTTTCTGTTAACATGAACCGTGGAATCACGAGGAAAGTGATCGAAGTTTACTGTACATAATACAATTTTACCTTCCTTTCTTCTTTTGCTGCGTTGATTACAAATTCATATATGTTAAATCTTTATTGATTACAAAATTGTGAGGGTCGAGATCACAGGTATTAAGAAGGGGTTCTCTGTTCCGGTAGCTATGTTCCAGACCCCCCGCTTTGGTGTAGGATCATGGCCTTTTAAGTATGCCAGTGCTTTAAAATTATAACTCAACAAGTAAAGAAGTGTTGGACTTGGAAGTGCATTAAGTGCTGCTTGGCTAGTGGAGATGGTGGGTGGGGAGCAATTTGCTGAATGGAATTCTAAATCTTTTTCATTAGATAAAAACAAATATGGGAACGACTCCAACCGTTAACTCAATTAATTGAATTCTTACTATTTTTTTTATAAAATTTCATTTTTACACTCGTTTTTACATTCATTGAAAGAGTATCTATTTAATATTTTACAAGGAGAGTACAAAAAATAATGTGAAAGAAATGTTTTTCTAATGATTATACCCTTTCCATTTCAACTCCGCATGCAATGCAACTAGTGTGGGTGTGGCAGCTAAGAGCCCGCCCAACAGGCGCCCTGTATGCGGGAATTGAATAGTTGTCGATTTACTTTTCTCGAGCAATCGAAGATCAGCATGGAAACAATTTTCTATCTTGTTTTCCTCTGCATTTGGTCATTTTCAAAATGCAAAGGAATCAATATTTTAAAACACTGACATATAAAAAGATTTTACAACACCCTAAGAAAGCTGAATCCGACTGAACAATTGAACCAATAATGAAATTTGTTTGTAACGGGTCCTAGATTTACAATGGACATTAAAGAGAAGGGACCATTTTCTATGGAGTTTTGAGAACGAACAGTGTGTGAAAGGAACAAACAAAACCATAAATACGGCAGCAGGAAAAAGCAAGAGAAGGAATGGTGTCAGATGTGCCCATACGCTAAAGGTAAGGGAGAAAGAGGTGTGGGATTTTATTGCTAACAGTGCCTGAAATACAGTTAGGAATTTTATTGTTAAGAGCACCTGAAATACGGTTTGAAAATCTTAACTACATACAAAAAGAATTCGAGAAAAAGGGAACACAACATTCTATTATTCATTTTCCATTTAAAATAGAGAATCGGTAGTAACCATTTTCTCTTCTTCCAAGTGCAATATGTTTGCTCATATAATTTTTGTTGACATGGACGAATCACTTAACGTCTCCAATGCTCCATCATGGTAAAGAAGATAAACTTTCTTCATAGGAAAATACAGACCAGTTTTATCTCCTCGTGTGAAATCCACTACAGCACCATAAATATCTCCCCACAACAGTACAATTTTGAAATTTCAAATCACTCTCCTCGGATCATATGCAGCCGCAAGATGGTCCTACAAGTATCAAACAACGTGATGAAGTGAATCAACCGAAAGCAAGACAAAGTATTGTAAAAAAAATATAATAATCTAGTTTATCAAACTCAAGCTTATTTTTCGCTGAACCAGAAATCCACTTCATCCATCAAGCAGAAATCATGACCTGACAAGGTATTTAATAGTTCATTATGGTAGCTACGATTTGGTATTCAAGGTGTTAAATTATGAATTTCTGATGGCATCACAATTTCCACGTAAAAAGGTTTGTACGACAAAGAAAATTACTTGTTTCTCAAGATAAGTCACATTCAAATGATTGAATTACACTCGAGCAACATAACATTACTGAACAAATTTGGAATCTACAATGCAGAAAAATTTCCATTGCAGACCAGTACAACCCTTATAGTAAATTACTGGGTGGTCAACATAAGTGATTACTCCCAGACTTACCGAGATAAAATCAAATGCTTTAGTTTGTTCTTTCATTGAACTGTTGGTCGGGGAGCTAGGAGTTTGAGTTGGAAAATTTGATTGGAATATGTCCGGAAGAGGTGTTCTTCCATTGGGTCCAGCAGTTGCAGAAGTACCACCATCTTTCTTGTTGACGTTATTAAAGTGTTGGAAATTAGCCATTGTTGCCAGAAATTGCTGCTGAGCGAAGAGGTTTCCTACGGAACCATAATTAAGTGGCTTAGAAGAATATGGCTGATTTAACATAATGCCAGGCTGCATAGTATAAGGTAGATGACCCGAAGGAAACATGGGATTTACGTTGAAGCCTTGAGAGCCCAACATGCCACCTAAATCATTGTCAGGGGCCGGATTGCTAGCATGATTATTTAAACCAGAAAATAAAGATTCAGATTGCATGGCCGGAGATGTTGCTTTCTGTTTTGTACTTGAGGTGTTTTCATAAATGGACAAGCCAGCCAATAAATCACCAACAAACTCGCTATTATTTCCATGCCTGGAATTAGAGGCAAAAATGTCAATACTTTCAGGTCCGCTTCTAGTACCCAGACCATGACTCACATTATGACCCAGATTATCATCACCAACGGTCATCCCTGAAAAGAGATCATCTGCATGCTCTTTGTTTTCATTAAAATCAAATGACACATCAGAAAAGGGGTCGTTATCATTTTTTCCAAATAAATTATCAGCCACACCCAGAGGTGTGGATGTTGTCAGATTTGCTACATTTTGATTTGTACTCTTTGTAGTATCATCATTTCCATCATAGTCATTCAAATTACCAGTGTCGATCAAGTCAGGCAACTCAGCAACGGCAACAGTCTTCATAGTCACAGCCTTCTCTGAATTAATCGCACAGCTGTTTAGTTGGTCTCCACCTAAGAGACCAAGAACCTGTCCATCAAAGGGCCAAGTGCTAAATTTAATCACAAAGTATTAATCTTTCAGCCAAAAGGGTTGTTCTCAAACTTATCTGCTTCCCACTAAGCTATTTGGTAAATGGTGATTCCTTTTGTTTGTATAATTTGACAAAAAATAAAAGAAAGAAGTGCACAACGTTTTGCACAGCTCTGATATATAACCAAAATTCTCTACCAGTATCTATACTTTCATACTAACTATAATGTAATCAGCCCATCAAGAATGTTTCACAATTTAAGATTTTATTTTAATAACCCGGGGTATGACAACACATTCTAGACATGATAGAAACTTTTAGCGAGATGATGACAGAGAGGCATAATACCAATAAGGAATGCATCAGGATCTAAAAAATATTGAAATCTGTGTAAACGGCACACATTTTGAGTGGATATAAGAAGCGGGAAAGAATACAAGCCAGATTATCAGATTTATCAGGTTGATTATAATAAGGGTACCTTGTTCGCCTTTTCCCTCAAAGAAGCTTGAGGAGATTCAGAACATCTCAGCACGACATCATTATTTTCAGAAAAGTAAGACGCCATTCGTGAAAAATGATCATCATCCTTCTTTCTAAGGATGGACTCAAGGACACAAACAGCTTTCATGCGAACCTGAAAAAGTTGTTTCCCAAAGAGTCAAAATAAGATGACAAATACAAATACATCAACATGCAGCAAATATCAAGGGCAGATTTGCCTAATTGACACATGCATGCATGCATGCATGCGTAATTCCGTATTTTTGCAGAAATGTAAACATAACAGACATGCCTGCCACATCGGAGATTGAAGCTTTCGTTCAAGGGCATGACATAAATCCATGGCATCCAACTTTGCAGCCTCAGTTAAAAAAACCTGAACGGCCTCACGAGTTGGTTGCAATCGCACACCTCCAGAAACCACCACCGTCTCCAGCAACCTATCCTCTCGTGTCTGTACCTTATTCTCTTGATAACATGCATCGGAATCCCCAATTGACATTTCCACCCTACTCACTGTTGAATCTTGATTCCATGCTCCACCAGAAGTTCTTTGAGTTTCATTACGATACGTAACCAGTTCATATCTGTCGCCACGTTCAGTTTCTTCAGTGAACGAGGCACGAAGATTGCAGTTCTTGTAGGTTCCGCGACCAGTTTCATTCTTGATAAGCGAAGAATGCCCTTGCGTCAAGGCACTGAGTCCCTGCTTAATGGTTGCACTTCCAATATCAACTACTTCACTGAGAAACGATTTCTTATTATCCTGCAAAGGCACTTCAAAGTTCGTGTTACCAAACCCTTGTATGCGTCTGTTGAGATCAGAGGCAGCAGGATTTGACGGTGGCTTGTTGTTGTCATCTGCAGAGAAGACTGCGAAGATAACATCTTGAGCAGTGTCTCTAACAGCCTTATTCAGTGCATCGCCTTTCAGAGGATCCAATTCACCCTTGTAGTGTAGCAATTGACGAATTGCCACTGCATGTCTCTGCATTTCCCTTTTGAACTCCGCATTGGACTTTCCAATCGTGTATTTGATTAATCTCAAAGCCTGTACATGGCGAACACAACATAATAACACAGTGATTTGAATCTGAATTGAATAATGTAGGTTTCAATCTGAATTGAACAATCTCAACCTTGTGTTTGACAATGGGGCTCGAGTGGTCGAGGCGTTTGAGAATGAAGTCTGAGAGTTCCTTGACGATAGTAGGATGGGAAGAACGAAGGAGTTGGCAGATTTCTTCTAGTTTGTAGACAGGAGTGACTTTGTCTTCATCGGATGTAGCTGAATCGATCAAGCGCCATCTCCAGTACGATTCCACCGCTCTTCGACTTGATTCCATTCTCTTTCAAAATCTGATTTATCAAAACGCTGTTTCTAATTTGCATGAGAAAACTTGGTGTTCGGAATTTGGAATGGAATTGCTAGAGGCAGAGCCATGAACAAAGAAGACAGAGGACAGAGAAGGTGCCACGTGGATTTTTTTGGGCACCAAAAGTGAAAAATCAGCAAAAAGGTGCCGCGTCATTTGCTGACTCACCCGAAACTTCATTCTGCACCCGGCGCGTACGTTAGCAGCTAACCCTACCGCAGTGTTTGGATGCTGGAAAACAAAACTCCATAAAAAAATAAAAAATCTAAACAAAAATAAATAGAAAAATTATATACAAAATTTACGCATAATTTTTCATATCAGGTGAAAATATCTTCTCCCAAAAAATATTGACTACAAAAGAAAAATTTAAAATAAGAAAAGAACTTACCAAACGGGCGTCGTGTACAGTAAGCTTTGTTCATCGGGAATGATAGGTTGCAGGTCTCTCATCAGGTTCGTCGAACAAGCTATTTTCTCACAATAATACAAGTTTGATTCCTCAATATCAATCCTGGGGCTTCAAATTTCAGAATTGTTGTGTCACGGTTCAAACTTCAAATTATCTTTTGATTCCATTCTATTGATTTTGCTACGTATTTTCTTCGCAAAAATACCAAGTTTGAATGTGCTTTTGCTTTGCAGAGTCGACCGAGTTCTCAAGTTTACCAACTCATGTGTTGCTTCAAGACCTACACATTATTACTTTCAGGTTCCCGGTTCCTACAACTGTGGCTCATTTATTTTTCCCTTTTTTTAATTATTTAATCACTGTTTTTCATTTGTTCATCTTCTTTAGCAAGTGTTCCGAGTGAAATAATAGTAACATGAAGCGAGTCTCACTTTTACACACAAAAATTGTTTACCTATGTAGCCACTACTTACACGTGCAATACAGTACTTAATTTAGGCGGTGTCTCTTTGAGTTGTTATTGTATCAAAATTTTCTCAGGTTGTTTTTTAATTCCTTTCGCAGGTTAAAATCTTCTCATTTTTGCAACAGGGACAGGGCACTTATTATTGTTTAAGCCGTGATTTTATGATGAGTGGTAGAAAGAAGAAAGTATGTCTTGAAGACCATGGCAAGAAACATAAAATAATGAATTCTATCTGGAGACCAGTTGCCACTAATGTCCGTTCTTGTGAAGGTTTGTCTTTTTTTTACTTGGGATACGTTGGCGTTCAACTTCTGGTAGTACCAACAAATTTGCATTATGCTTATGACTTCTATGATTCTTTTTCATCACGTGACATGAAGGTGGGTATTCTTTGGAAGATGTAATAGAACAGATGCACTAGTTACTTCTATTTGATCTTTGTATATGATTTGTTTCCTACGTGTTCTTAGATTGAATGATATTTTGGTAATTTACTTATTTTCTGCAACATAAAGGTGATGCCATGGAGTAATATGATTTTCAAAATGCATGATACTATTTTACTTAGGAGTAGACTGGGGAGGGTTTTTGTCTGTATTAAATGATGTGTGGTCTTGCAGAAAGCTTGGTAAAGGATGCAACAATTAAGTCAGAAGACGGAGGAGAAGTTCCAGAAGTGGGCTATAGCACATCTAACACTATTTCAAATGACCATACTACAAAGGTAGTTGCTGAGGCCGTGGTTGAAATTGCTGAAACAGCTACCAGTTCCAGTGAATTTCAGCATAATGTTGAAAACAAGGTGCTAGAAGGAGATTCATCTCTCTCCACTGAAAAGCATTCGATTTCTGTGAAGGCAAGATTGCATTTTTTCACTTCCTTTTTTTTTTTTTCTTCTTGAATCCGTAGTTTATATGTTATTTAGATACCAACAAATATTTTTTTCATTTTTTCTGTTACAGGTTAGTGATCGCCATATATCTTTTAGTTGGCCCTTTTTCATTATGTTTAGGTTTCTTGTAATGTTGGTTGTTCAATCTAGATTAAAGGTTGCTATAGTGCTGGAATTAATCAGTTTGCTATCAGTTATTAGATGGCAGGACTTCATAAAAAATATGGAAGGACTTCATTAGAGGTCTTGCATGAAACTGATGAAAGGCTATGCTGCAGATTTGTTTTCTCCCTGTTTTTTGTTGATTGTTTGATATTTTTCTTCCCTTCTTTATGTCAATAATTTACAGTGGAAAGTAATGTTATCACTATCAGCTTTTTCAGAAAGATTTGATTGTATATCATTCTACATTCTTGGTTTTGATCTCTAGTTCATCTTGTTTTGTTTTAAAAATAACTATACTTCCATTTGGTTCTCTTTTCTGATTATGCATTGAACATTCAAAAGCTTCAGCTTTTTCATCACTGTTTTCATTTTCTGTTTGTTGTGCAGGTTGGTGCTTCTCTATTTCGTTTTATTAAAGGAAAAGGGTAAAAATTAATTTTAAATTTCTGTTTGGCATTCATAACAACATTGGTTAGTGAACTGCAGGTAGATAAATTTCAGATAAAGGGAAGCTCAGTATGTATATGGGTGAAAGTGATAGAGAATTTTTTTAAGGTTGTAAAAGGACCAGAGAAAAGTGTGTACTATGATAACATAGGATCAGGATGAAAAGGAAATTAGTAACGCATATTAGGAATATAAATAGCTTTGAGTTTCACATTAACGACACCATGTGAGATACAATTACACCAATCTTGTTGCTATTGTTATCCTCAGATTGGAAGGGTAGAGGGTTGTGCTTATGAATTATGATATGTCTATTAGATTATGTGCCTATTAAGTCTTTAATATTGTTTCAGGGGATCCACACAGAAAATGATAGAAGCGGAGATGGGGGTTAAAATCATAATACCTACTTCAAAAGAAGAGGATTTTGTTAGTAAGTTTTTGGATTCACCTAATTTGCTCTCTATCTTCTGTGGGTCAGCTTTGAAATAGTTATTTTTATTTTGTTTGTGTTTGAATTGTGATTATTGTTATTCTTTGAGATATTTAATTAAGTGATAGTTGATTTGATATGGATATAATTCTCTTTCACTCAAAAGAATATATTAAGTGTTTTGACAATCATAATAATGTTGCAGATCTTTGATGCTAGATGTGTTTGTTAACTCTATATGAACAAAAGTCTAATACCTTAGAAAGGCCAGATTACCAGAACATAATTTTGTTAGACAGGAGCATGGGTCTTATATTGGTCAAGTGTGGGATACAGAACTTCAGTTTAAAGTAGAGGCTCTCCCCTCCTCAATAGCCTGCCTTTTGGGAGTGGGATCTCCTCTAAGTCACTATGACTCTCATTAGAGTGGATAACAGAATTTGATATCTCAGTTATTTAGTATATTGTATAACTGTCTTTTGCAGCCATTGAAGGCACTTCAATTGATAGTGTGAATTCAGCCTCAGCGAAGATACAAGCCATAATTGATGAGGTCAGTTGCCTATTCATGCAGTCTCTCAGACTCAAAAGATCTCTGGTTTCATTTATTTCCTTTTTCTAATTTGCTTCTTATGTTTATTTTTTAGTCACAGACGGTTCACGTATTTTCTTGTGTTTGATAACAGACAGTTAAGAGTCGAAATCTTGATTATTCACACTTCATATCCCTTCCATTGGCTATTCATCCTGAGTTAGTTGATAAACTCGTCAATTTTCAACACTCTATCTTGGGAAATGGTGGTTCTTGCATGGATGAGAATACTGATACTGATAATGATTCCAATGAGGACGAGGATGCTACTAACAACAAAGAAGTGGATCAACTGTCAAAGAAAAATGCTGATGTCACAGTTGAACTTAAAGTTGATGATAACAGTGAATCAGTTAAAGTTAATCTTACTAACATACCCCTTGTCAGATATGCACCTAAGGCATCCAAGTCTTCTGCTTTGTCAGGTATTCAAACAATCTGTTTTGCTGTTTATCAGATATTTAGAGCTAAAGGAATTTGAATCAAGAGATTGTGCAATTATGTTCATTGTGTATCAGCTCAACAGCATAAATATTCTTAAGTATGTGTTGATTTGTTTTGTTATATTTACTGTTCACCATCATTTTCCACTTGTGGAGCCTGAACTCTGAATTCACAATCAATCATTTATGGGGTTCTGGTTATATTCGCAACACAAGCTCATATTACCAAGTAACCATTCATTTTCATGGCTATTGACTTTACTTTGTTATGCAGAAACTTGACAAGGATCAAATGTTTATACTCTGCTTCAAATAACAACTTATTCTTTTTTAACCGCCTTCCATTATCTATCTTCTTCAATGACAAATTTTACTGATTTACGTTGCAATTTTGCAGACCTGGGAATTGACAAATCTATATTCATAAAGCCTAAAACATTTCACCTTACAGTACTCATGCTTAAGCTGTGGAACAAGGATCGAATTAAGACAGCTACTGAGGTCTTGCAGGTAAGTTTTATTAAATTCAACGTAGTAATATAATATAGTATGAGAATTAGATTCTTCGTTTGTATTTATTGTTGTAGTTATGCAGAGTATCTCCGCAAAAGTTATGGAAGCCTTGAATAATCGGCCTGTCTCTATAAGATTAAAGGGACTGGTAATAGTCTATTTTAAGCTTCATTTTGCTGATACATTATTCATATGAATGTTGCTGGTTATCTGTTGCTAAGATGTACAATGACATTTTAAGCCTAGTACATTTGCTAAATATATGAAATGAAGTAACTGAACAGTATACCAGTTAAAAGAGTTGATATCTGCTGATCGTCTTTTGTTTGTGACTTTGTGTTTAGAGTTATAATATATTAGCATTTTAAAAGTTTTCCCTCTGCAAGCTCATGGGTAAAATGTGCAATATTTTTTGTATTTCATCATGAGATGTTAATTCTAATACTCTTAGACTTAGCCTTCATTGGAATATTTTCCTATAGCACTGTTTATGTCTGATAGAAGCTTGGTTATCTTTTACCATCACTTCTTTGTGATTTGTTTGATACCATTACTGAGGGAAACAAATCTTTAATCCTGTAGGAATGCATGAAAGGTTCTTTGGCAAAAGCCCGTGTTCTGTATTCTCCTGTAGAAGAAATTGGCAGTGAGGACCGTCTTTTACGTGCCTGTCGTATCCATACATGAATTGTTCTTATATATATATATTTTTTTTCTTTTTTTTAAGGGGGGGGGGTTGTAATTAAGGATTTGTTATTCTTTAGTTCTATTAATTACAAATAATTATGGTTTAGTGTTTATACCTGGTTTCGATCATATATTGCTCTCAAAGAATTGCTTGAGTTTTCTAAGCTTTTTTAGAAGTCATTATTGATGCATATGTTGAAGCTGGACTTGTCTTAGAGAATGATGCTAAACAGAAGCTGAAGGTAAATTAAATTTAGCAGAAGTGTTTTAACCTACGTTCAATTTTATTACTTTGGTTAAAGGCCATTTTTACTGAACAAATTTTGCTATTTATTATGTCAGTATTTTATAATTTATTGTTTGTTCATGTTTTGACAAAAATCATGATAGCATTTTTATATTATGGACAATTTCCCGTGTTATGAATACTATTTATGCATTTTTCACCAGAACGATCCCTTTTCCTTTCCAGCATTAAGTTATATTTGTTTGGAAATACTACTTCAGTGGAAGGAATAAAATTTACTCTTCTTCGGGGTCCTGCTAGGAAATGTGTTTGTAATTTTGGTACTTTTCAGTGATCATCATCAAGATTGTTCTCGTTTTGCAGTTACACGCCACTGTGATGAATTCAAGGCATAGAAAAAGGTGCTTCCACAGCGCCCCCCCCCCCCCCTCCATATTTTTTTTAGTGCTCCTTAGTTTTGCAGCCCAAGAATCTCCTCTGCTTTGTGAAACAAAATTAAATTATCTTTCAGTTTAAATAGCTGATATGATGTATGGTGCTGGTGTTCAGGAAGAAGCGGACAAGAAAAGTTGATTCTTTTGATGCACGGGGCATATTCAAGCAGTATGGATCAGAGGACTGGGGGCAGTATCTAATTCGTGAAGCTCATCTTTCGCAGAGATTTTCTTTTGACGAAAATGGATACTATCATTGCTGTGCTACGATACCTTTTCCTGAAAATATGCTGGTAGAATGATTGATTCTTGATGACTATTGCCTGACTTTCTTTAGGTGGAATAAGGATTTGGATGGTAACTTAACGAAGTTTATTAAACTTTTCTAGCAGCAAATGACAATGTTTGAAAACGTAAGCATTAGATAATGCCTGGGGTTTAGATCGAGTGTTGGTGTTTTTCTCGACAATTGACATGGCCTCTTGTCGACCTCAATTTCCTAGTCGGTAGTTTATATGTCAGTTAAAAGGTTCATAAATACTGCTAGGAATCATTTATTCGCTTGTCAGTGTAGCCATTCAAATGTCGACATTCTATTAGTTGGAAAAAACAATTTTATTGGAACATTTATGTTGACAGTGTAACAATATACTCCCAGTTATTTTTAATACACTTCAAATCAAAGTGATTTTTAAGATTTGGTTTTTATTATTAGTTCTTTAAATGATGTCTTTGTTAGGACTCGTAAAAGTAGGATACAATAGCTTATTTGTTAGTATATGTGGAATGTGCGCAGCTTGTCCTATTCTCCGCATCCTATTAAGAAGTTTAGGAACTTAATTACAAAATGAACTCTATTTAACCTCTTAGCAGAAACGCCTATTTAATTAATGTGTGTATGATTTCATTATCTCACCAAACCAAAGTACCTGATTCACGAATTTCCAATTCTTTTTTTTTTTGTCAACACGAATCGCCATTTGAGGAATCACAGTAGCATGAAATTTTTCCTTCACCAAATTTAAATTCAAGACCTGACTTAAGAAAAAATATTATTGCTTAGTATATTGGCATATCTCCAACATTAATAAGTTAAATTAATTTTTTAGCATTTAATTTTTTTGTTTTAGTAAATTTAATGGGTTCTTGTAGTTGGAACTTAAAAGTGAGATTCTATAATTTGTTGAAAAAAAAAAATTTAACCTGTCATTGAGATTTTTCTGGGTGCACGAGTAATTTAGGTTAAGCACGATAATAAAAACAGAGCTGGGCCAACCCAAATCAGAAAGCCGTGCAGAAGTGGGGACGAAGGCGGAAGTAAAGTGATAACGCGGGAGATGGATAGGGTTTTTGAAACATAGTAACTACTTCCTTGAATCCGCCATTTCAAAGGTGCGTGCTTGTTTGCTTGAATCTTTCGATGTTCTAACGTTTTCGTGTTGGAACTATCAGCGCAACATTCAATTCTACGAGTCTGAGGTGGTTGAAAAAACAATGATGGCGAGAGTCACTCCCCTTTTCTGCATCTTTACGCAATCCCATTGCTCTCGCCCATTCCTCTCTTCTTCGAACGTCAAACACACCATAACTTTCTCTGCCTTCAGCACTTTAGCCCAATCACGAGACGAAGGATCAACGCTCGTTAAGCTTTCAAGCAGAGCGAGGAGAAAAGCTTTCCACGATTCTCCAGAGGGAGTTCTGCTACGCAAACTAAACGAGTGTTCAAAGGACGGTGATGTTATTCAAGCACTTCGTCTCTACGACGAGGCTCGAAAATTGGGGGTTCTGCTAAATCTCGATCACTATAACAAATTGCTCTACCTCTGTTCCGTTGAAAATGCCAGCGTCTCCGATTTAGGTCTCAAAAGAGGGTTTGAGATCTTTCAGCAGATGATGAGTGATCGAGTTCGGCCTAATGAAGCTACCTTTACCAATGCTGCTAGGCTTGCTGCTGCCAAGGAAGACCCTGACATGGCTTTTGAATTGCTGAAGCAAATGAAAAATGTTGCTATTGCTCCTAAGCTGAGATCATTTGGACCTGCTTTGTATGGATTTTGCAAGAGGGGTGATGCTGAGAAAGCTTATCAAGTTGATGTTGACATGATTCAATCTGGTATTGTGCCTGAGGAGCCTGAGCTTTCTGCTCTTTTGGATGTTAGTGTCAATGCGAGAAATGAAGATAAGGTCTATGAGATCTTGCATCGATTGCGTGCTTCGGTGAGGCAGGTGTCCGAATCAACTTTTCGGATAGTTAAGGACTGGTTTAACTCTGAGTATGCTGCAAAAGTTGGGAAGAAGAGTTGGAATGTTAATGGGGTACGAGATGGGATTGTGCGGGGAGGTGGTGGATGGCATGGACAAGGGTGGCTTGGAAGTGGGCAGTGGAAGGTGGCGAAGACTCAGGTGAATGAGGATGGCGTGTGTATCACGTGTGGTGAGAAGCTTGTGAGCATTGATATTGATCCAAAGGAGACTGAAAACTTCGCTGCTTCTTTGTCTAAATTGGCTTGCCAAAAAGAAGCTAAGGCAAACTTCGATCATTTTCAGGTAGAAGAATCAGTCTTTGCTGTTTTGTTTAGAAATTCTGTCTGCTTACTTAAAAATCTGAATTTGGTGAAGAATGGCTCTCATCTTTTACTGTAGGATAACCTTGACAAGGGTTGTATATTCTAGCCTATATTTGAAGTCCGTGTCTTCAATTAGGTTGTGTATAAAAGAATTAGTAATAGATTGGAGACTGACGTGGAAGTTTAACTTCTGCAGAGGTGGCTTCAGCGGCATGGTCCATTTGATGCTGTTGTAGATGGTGCCAATATTGGCCTTGCCAATGGGCATAAGTTCAGCTTTTCGCAGGTGAGTGTAAAATTATTGAATTTATTAGCACATTACAAAAGCAACTACTTAATGGTTCTTTGTGTTGGTTGTAGCTTAATTCTGTTGTTGAACAATTACATCAAATGAGCCCTTCGAAGAGATTGCCACTTATAATTTTGCATAAAAATCGGGTAACTGGTGGTCCTGCTCAGAATCCAAAATACAGGAGACTGATAGAAAATTGGAAAAATAATGGTGCTCTTTATGCTACACCTCAAGGTTCAAATGATGACTGGTAATGGAGTACATCCATATTATTGAAGTTAGATTGAGTTGCCTAATTTCAATTTTTTTTTCCTTATTTTACATATCCAATGGACCTAATGGTGTTGATTGGTCAATGTAGCCAATTCCATCTAGTGGGATAGGGCTTGTTTGTTGTTGACTTGTTGTATTACACATTTCCAGCATTGAATATAAATTCTTCAGTATATATGCGTCTCTGTAGCCCTCCCACAACTCAGTTGTGCTAAAATACTGTTCTTTTGTTTATCATAGGTACTGGTTATATGCTGCTGTTAGTTGTAAATGCTTACTGTTGACGAATGATGAAATGAGGGACCACTTGTTCCAACTACTGGGTTCGAGTTTTTTCCCGAGATGGAAGGAAAAGCACCAGGTATTTTGAACTATCAGAGAAGTTCCTATGTACCATACAGTATAACTCTAGCCAGATGCATTCAATATATGACTATTCTGAATTCTGCTAGTCTGCCATATCCATGACTATGACTACCCAAGGCAAGCAACAAGGATCATAAAACTGAATCCTTGAAAAGAAATTATGTCTTCTGCACAACCATGTTGGCTTAGCTATTGTACTAGGTAATCTGACATGGAATTAGGAGGCCCGATACAGAATAAACTTATAAGTCCTCCTATTAAGATCGTCAAAAGAAAACAAAATCTTGTATAGATAATGTAACTCATCATGTTTCCAATTCATTTCTATAGCCGGAAGTTTTATTTACAGTTTTTTTTTTTTTCTGAACTCTGAAGTTTTCAAGAGTTTGTTATCTATTCGTGTTAGAATCAGTTTTCAAGTATTTTAGCCTTTCCTGATACTGAATTACTAATGTGCTATTTGTCTTTTGCTAATGACCTTTTTTGGTTTACAGGTTAGAACATCAGCCTCATCGTGTGGACCTTTCCTAATTATGCCTCCCAGTTATTCAATAGTTATTCAGGTGAGATGATAACCCAACTGCTTTTTTCGTCCAATTGAATATGAAGGAGCATGTTTCCACCAAGCAAACTTTTGGTGGCTATCCATTTCTTCTTGCTTAGCATTGAAAGATAATGGCCTAAGTTTTTGGTCTTGCAAAAATTCACAATTTTGACATTTGAGTCATCATTTTAATTTTTTTTCCAAATGAGTCATCCATAAAACATTTTTACCAAACGATCCTTCTATTAACCTTCAATTTATTATTATTTTTTTTTCTTCCCATTTATCCTTCTATGTATCATGAGCTTTCCATTTGGCCTCAATTTTAAAGAGACCAAGTAAAAAAAAAATCATGATATTTATGACTAGACAGGAAACACACGATATTTCAAGGGACTAAATGGGAAATGAAAACTACACTTCAGAGGAAAATTAATGGAAGACTAACAAAGAGAGCATTTGACAAAGAAAAATATTTTGTGAGGGACTCATTTAGAATAAAATAAATATAGGAGACCAAATGAGAATTGCAAATTTTTGAGGGATCAAAAACTTATTTGAGCTAAATATAATCCATACCTGTGTGCTCAACTGATTGGGCTGATTTTGTCCAATTCATTGGGGTTTGGTTTTGTCTACCTCCACTTGTATGTACCTCCATACCCCTTCTCTATTCAAAGAGAAAAAAAATGATTGACTGATAAAACTGACCTTTCAACTTAATATATGCTAAATATTTTTGACACATACAAATAATCTTTTGGGTAATATATAACTACAGGAATCGGCCAATGGTAGTTGGCATGTGCCAACTGTAACTAGTGATGATCATCATGAGATCCGAAGGAAATGGTTGTGTGCCACAAGACCCCCAAAAAACTCATTACATAATCTATGGACATCCACCTCCACATCTGATGGCACGTGAGGAGGGAGGAGTATTTTCATCTCCCTGTTTTGTCTTCCGTGGTGATCCAAGTTTTTCCTCATCTTGAATTGCTGTTGAATGCAGCTGTTATGAATGCAAGGCCTAACATATGGTTCTGCTACCATTTCCTTCTCTTTTTTGAGTAATTTATAATTTCTATAGCTCAATTGCTTTAGGCGGCCCAAAAGAAAGAAGAAAGCTTCTCCTTCTATATGTAATATCTTCAAATTTTTCTATATAACTGATAAAAGCTGCCGGTATTCGGAATGAGTACTTAAGGTAAGTTTAAGCAGCACGGATGAGATGACTTGGGGGAGTATCTTATTGGGGAAGCTAATTTGTCTCGTGCATTTTGCTCGAGAGCCTTTGTTCAAGTGGCATTGAGTTTTTTCAGGAACTGATTAGTCACAGGACAGAACTTAGTTCACTTTGTCTGCACTTCAGTCTGCCTTCATGTACCAGCTTTGCAACCAACAAGAAAGAAAAGGATGATAATACTGTTGTGCTACCGTACTTTTCCCGAAAAATTGAGGGTAGAGTTGATTTTAGCGATGATTATTATTTGGGTCATTGAGTTCTCGAAATAAATGTATAGAGTGGATTCATGCAAAAATATTGGCCGCTTCAAATTATTGATCTACACTGTACATTTGATGAGCATCATGCATGGCGTAGCATTTCATTTGACCGGGGTGTGATTCCCTTCAATGACTAAAAATTATGAATATCTTCTCATATGTTAGTTGCATCCTTCGAAATAGTTATGGCCTGTCTGTACTAGATGAATCCTGATGCAACATTTGGCTGAAAAAAGACAGTCTGTTGAATTGTTACCTGGATATCAATCCACCAAGTTTTCATAGGTTTTATGTTAAACCTCAGTGTTGAACAATTAGAGTATTTTAAGGTTATCTTATTTATTTCGTTTTCTTGTTTTTTGATATCTTAGGAAATAATTTATTCAAGGTGTTGCCAAACATGTTTAAATCGAATGAGAACCCCAAAAATGAAGTTGGTGGTATATTCTTCGGGGGAAGTAAAGCTTTTTAAGCGAGTCAGCTACTTGAGCACTAAAAGTAGGAGCCAAAATGTAAAAGCTAGGGTAGAGCCAAAAAATCTGCGACACTGATGGATTAAGTGATGCCTCATGCAAGGTATTATGGATACAAGGGATTAAAAAAATATGTGCTCCTAAACTCAGCAAAATACATGCGCAGTTACAGAAAACGGGATTCACCGACCCTTTTTTGCGTACTTCAATGTTGAAATTATACTTGTCATTAAAATTATAATTTTGTTAACACTTTAGAATCTTTAGTCACTAGCTGTATAGAGCGAGGTTCAAAATCGGAAACAGATTTTTTGTTTTTGTACAAGAATAGGAAAGCAACAGCACAACAAACAACAGGGCCAATGGCCCAGGCAGAGATAGAGATACAGCAATTTCCTACTCAATAAATAAAATGGCCTCACATTGAACAAAAATATAAAAAGATCGATTGATAAGATGGACCCAAAAATCCATATCAGATATCATGGCGCGCTCTTTGAACCATACACAGCATCTCACAAAGAATCCCCCTTATCAAAACCCATACAACACCTCAACAATTGCGTATTTGAAGCTCGTTACAACCATCGTCCAAAAACATAAAAAAACTATATCGTTATAAAAGTGTTTGCCTTTTGGTTCTATAACCCTAAATTCTTCCATATAATTTTCTGAATTTTTAATTATCAATGAAGAAAATATTAAATACATTTATTTTTCATGCAGTAATTTTTTATATAAACAGAGAATTAAAGAATTATTAAGATGTTGAATGAGTCTAAAATCTCCACAAAAAATAATATTTTACTTCTGCATTACTCAAATTATCTTTAGTTTTAGTTATAATAGTACTACTAATTCTACTTGCCAACACGCAGTACCAAGGAAGTTACTTTAAATGAGTCTATCCAATTTGATTTAAATTAGTCAAAATTCAAGAAGTGTAAGACAAAAACATAAATTATTTCAATGGCACAACATACCCCGTGCTTCAAAAATTTGCCTAAAGTTTTGAACATTGAGCATCTAATAGAACGACTTTTGGTCCAAAACTGGAGGGGCCATTGTCCCTAGTAGGCTAGTACTAGCTTAGTTCCTAATTGGAATAAAATCAATAAACTACAGTATTGATAGCCCCCGATTACATGAACTTTGCTGTCATTATTCATTTTGTTTCCTACTTGTATGCATGTTTGGCTGTCTGCTATTAAGGACCATAATTGCCCTGGCAATGGCACTGCCAAAAGTCATTATGTTTGGTTCAATTTTAAATATTTTTAATCGAACTCAGGCTATCCAAAATTTGAAAGGATAACAAAATTTATGAAGATAATGTTTCAATAAACTAGGTTAAAATGCATCTATAGATCGAAAATTATATATTAAACAATTAATCGATGCTAACATGTTGCTTATTTAGTAGCTTGATGGCTCTATCCTATTAAACAGTTGGCAGATAAGAATTCCTAACAATTATTTGCTTACAACCAGCAATTGTGACAAAACATGTGTCATTGCAATGGCAGTCTAGGGTAAAATTTCACCTTCGCACACAAATATATCTGCTACTAGTGGCAGAATTAGACTGTTTTGAATTTTTAAAAAAATATTAATTACTCTTCTAAAAATAATCGTTTACCATACAAATAAGTAATTAGTTTTTAGAATAAATTAAACGAAACCCAGATATATTTTTTAAATTAAACATGGCATATAAAACCAAAAAATAAAATAAAATTTGGGGGTTGTCTTCTATTACTTAATGAAACTTCTTTGATTAGCTAGTGTGCCTGATTTGAATGAAATGTTACTGGAAAATTTATCAGCATACAAAGAAGGGTTCCTATCACTGAATTGTTTTTTGCTGCATTGAAATGGGCAATGTTTAGCTCTGTTCAAAACAGTAACGGACCTCCCAAAGGTACCTATGAACACTTCATGTTCAAGTTTGGCGTATACCAGGATAGGACAAAAGAATCACAGAGGGGGATAGGTAATAATATTGGAATATCCAAAAGCACTTTTTTTTTACCTTCAACTTTTTTCACGTTTCTTACTCTTATAATTTTTTTTTCCAGTTTACTTTTGACGATTTCTAATTTAAGACAAAATGAAAATATAAAAGTATTTCGCTAAGTTTTTGTTTTTCTAATTGAAAAAACAATAAGGAAGAAAGGTAATGAGACACATGATTTGAATGTGGATTAATGATGACACAATCAATTAATCATAATTATCAAAAACATTCTAAGAAAGGTTTCAGCATTTAACAAACAGAGGGACCAAAAGTCCTCAAAGATTCTCCTTTGCATAGGTCCAATTTGCCGACCACTTTTGTATAATCCACAAATATGTGACCTATTAACACCCACAAATTTCTTTTCATGCATTTTAAATTCCACAACCTATGCCGTTTTTCAGAGAATGGACGGTGCCATTTGTGGCCCAAAGCTATTCAGTGTTCTCCGCTCCTCTCCCCATTACAGTACTCCCTTTTGTTTTATGATTATTTCCTTCACATTCTACCCCACCAAACACCACCTCTATTCACCTCCCTACACTACTCACATGAAGGAATCATGTATCAACTTCCGGACATTTCTAATGAATCACGCCAGTGACAGCTAAGGTTGCCAGAAAAAGACCTGATTGGATATGCATTGATATGTAGCACACAACCATATTCCCTTTTATCTTTGAAACATAACATACGTACAATATGTCCACCCTTCAATTTATAATTGCATGTCCTAATGCTAGTCTTAAAATATTAAAATAAATACATCTTAACTCATTTGTTTTAGAATTTTTTTTTGCTTTAGATCCAAGTTTATTTTTTTCTTGATAATAATAATAAAGCAACCAGACCCATCAAGTTCGTGAACTTATTTAATAAGCCTTGATACTGTACTTGACAATTTCTACTATATATAGCTTACCATAGAAGCCTTTCGTGCTATATTTTTCTAATTCTGAACATTTTTTCCTTATCTTATCTTCTCCTCCACCTTAGAGGCTCTCCTAGAAACATCTTAAGATGGCTGGCATAGCATTTGGACGCTTTGATGATTCTTTCAGTTTAGGCTCCATCAAGGCCTATATTGCTGAGTTCATCTCAACCTTGCTCTTTGTTTTTGCTGGTGTTGGTTCAGCCATAGCCTACGGTTAGTTTTTCTATTTTACTATATCTTGACAATGCCACTTCTCTATCAGTTATCACTAGAGTAAATTCAAGTAGCAGAGCATTTTTTTTCTATCATGATTAGATGTGTCATTGAAAAAAATAAGTACTAAATACCAATGAATAGTAATATAAGAAAAGAATAGGGGGTGCCCTTATGACAAAGTTTTCTGAATTATGGACATGCAGAAGTTTGCAAAACAAACACTCAAAAATGGTGTGTTTTCTTCGTTTCAACATGACTCTGACTGAGTTTGTGACTTCTTCTTTTGCAGCTAAGTTGACATCAGATGCAGCTCTTGATCCTGCTGGGTTGGTAGCTGTGGCTATTTGCCATGGTTTTGCTCTCTTCGTTGCTGTTTCTGTTGGTGCCAACATTTCTGGTGGCCATGTCAACCCTGCTGTGACCTTTGGGTTGGCTCTTGGCGGCCAAATCACCATCCTCACTGGTATCTTCTACTGGATTGCACAGCTTCTTGGCTCCATAGTGGCATGCTTACTCCTCAAGTTTGTCACTGGCTTTGTAAGTTCCAACTGATCCCATCTGTATATGGTTTCAATTATTTGTGGGACAAATATGTAGGCAAAATTGGCATGCATGCACCAAAAGCTTCATGCATAAGCCAAGGCATTATCTTCCCTTTTGATATTCTTCACATTGATTAGGGAACTTTTGAGTATAATTATGTTGAGTACAGTTTCCTCATTTCTTTATTCTGAAGTATGAAAACTTCCCAAGGTACCAGCTGGTGAAGTATACATGCAAGGACATTAGATCACATTTTTTTTATAAAGTATGCTTGGTGTGTGTTCAATAATTCATTGGTTTAAATCTAAAGAGATTCCCAAATTGATTATATATGGAAAAATAAAAAAGCACGAAATCTTCCAATTTGGACAATCTCAAATACCCCAGCAAGTAGTGCTTTAGCTGCCTGAAAATTTTCCAATAATATGTTTGGTTTAACTTAAATTTTGAGAAATAGTCACCTATGTTTCAAATACTTTCTCATGAAACTAAGTTGAATCAAATATGTGCTTTTTGCAATGCTGCAGATTAAAATAAAATACCCTTTAGTTTGTATTCCAAATTCTAAGAATTTTTTTCGAAGTCTTAACTCTTATGTTCATGCATTTTAAAATTTTTGTTGTCAGAGTACTCCCATCCACAGTGTTTCTGCTGGAGTTGGAACTGCTGAAGGAGTTGTTACAGAGATTATCATCACATTTGGATTGGTATATACTGTGTATGCCACCGCAGCTGACCCGAAGAAGGGCTCATTGGGAACAATTGCACCCATTGCCATAGGTTTCATTGTTGGTGCCAACATCTTAGCTGCCGGGCCATTCTCTGGTGGATCAATGAACCCTGCTCGCTCCTTTGGCCCTGCTGTTGTTAGTGGTAACTTCCATGACAATTGGATCTACTGGGTTGGACCTCTTATTGGTGGTGGTTTGGCTGGTCTCATCTACGGCTATGTGTTCATGCCCACTGAACATGCACCTCTGGCCAGTGATTTTTGATTAATTTGATCCTCATTAGTGATTATTGCCTGTGTAATTCGTGTTTCTTTGTAATAAAGGAGGAAAAGCAGCTCTTGCTTTTCTTTCTTTTCATTGCTGTTTTATCCTTTTGTTTTGGCTTTTAATGTAAAGCGTTGAAGTCATTGTTTTCTTGTAAGAATTCAAGAGGTTGGTAAATGGTAATGTAGTGCCTTTTTCAGAAAAAAAAATTTGTATATCTCATTTATGGCTTCCCTTTTAATTAGAATACTACCAGGAGAAGTAGTGTGCCTTTGAAGTCTGTGTTTGAAAAATCTTAATAATTATGTTAGATCACGTTTCAATATAGAAAATTATAATTTATAGTATGAAAATGGATTCCCATTTGAAATGAAAGTATACAATTCTCGTAACGTAACGTGTATCCAAACATACGCTTCAAAATCATGTCACTGAGTAATAAATATACACGTTATGTTTGATTTTATTGGAATTATCAATAGGCATGCATAATTTGTTGTTGACTTAGGTGCAATAAAAGGGTTTGTCTTTTAGACTTTTATCATGTAGGGTAAAAACACAGGGAAAATGTAAATGATTAGCTGTATAATACAAGATAAAATATTGAGAAATGCCAAATAAAAGAGGGGGACTGAAATTATCTCTTGCTTAATGCAATGTTTTCTCAAACTGAATATGGGGGATGCCCAACAGGTGTTAGTGACAATGGAGCCCAGACAGTTCGAATTATTAATTCTAAAAAGTTAGAATAGAACAAATCCAAACAATACAATACAAACCATTAAAAACAAGTATAGGGTCGCATCCAGTCAAAACATTAGGTAGATAGGGCCCATTGGTCCCTGAGATTGCAAAAAGCTGGGTTCCTGTTTAGTGTAAGAGCCCTAACATTACACTCCTACAAGCTGTAATTGAAGAATTTGGCTCAGCATGTACCTCCACGAGCAAGAGAAGTTACAATGAATGCTACGTAAAATAAAAGTACCAGCTAAAAGGACACATGAAGTTACCAACTTGATCTATGAGAATTGATGAAACATCTGATCAACCATTTCAACTTCAACCCCACACCCTCCCTAGTCCCTTCGTCAGAGAAATTTAGATCGATGATATTTTCGCAAAAATTAAGATATTAAGAATAGGATAATTCATGTATCTTAAGATGCAAAACTGTCCCAGAGAGAAAAAATCCTCCTCCTTTCTAATTTCTACATATGTTCATATGCACAATTTGTGTCCAAAATCTATGATAGAAACGCACTTGTTCCAATAGGGGAGCGCCAATTGATTATATTTGAATCTTTTAAAATAAGATGTATGAAGTGAGAAAAACATCACCTAATTATTTTTAATTTAGTTTAATTGTATTTATAAAATACTTAAAATTTAAATTAACAATAAATATACAAAGAGGCTCTGTATGAATGTAACATCACATGACTAACTTATCTCCGAAAATTTTTTCGACCCTTTTGAAGTACATACTCCAATCCTCTATATAAAATATTCATTCATGTATGGTTAATTTTTTCTAATTTTTTTTTTTTAAATTCAGAAAAGTTATTACAAAAAGAATATAACTGCAAGAGAGTAGGTCTCATCTACTTAATATTTTGCTGTACCCTGCGAAAAAATTAGGAACATGCAGAAATGCGAGCGAAAGTTTTACTATTTTATCCATATATTTCTTTCGTTGATGTGCCTCTGAAGCTTAAACAAGGGGATTTCTAATTAATTACAAGTTTTTCTCCACGATCTGCAACCAAAGCAAAAACAAAAATGCCTTATGTTACGAATATAATTCGTTTTATATTCTTTCCTTTTGACTTCACGAAGACTCTGATTCCCACTCTGATTCTCCAGGCTTATCATATTTCCATTCATGCCCTTTCCATTCTGGCAGTTGTTGAATCACAACCTGCATCAAATTAATATTTAGTTTAACAATTTTAATTTTCTAATCATATCATCTTTCATGAATCATATCTCTTCATTTTTCTTTCTTTTTCTCCCACGGTGCCAAAAAATCATAACTCTGAATAGCTCAAAGTCAGAATAGTTTTTCAATAATGTTAATTTATACAGTATATTTTTAACTCAGTTTTTCTTTAATTATATATCACATGTTCGCATGTCATATTTTATATTTCTTTCTTTCTTTTATTTTTTTCCTTATCACTCTTCTTATTAGTTAGTATAAAAAGTGTAGTGATAAAACAGGTAAGAACACTCCTGCTTTTTTTCTCTTCTAAATATTAATCCAAAGATCAAAAGTGCTAAAGTTGAAGAGTGAAGAATCACGAACCGCCCCTCTGGAATCTGGGGTACCAACAGTTGTTTGACATGCTAATCTCCAATTCTTTGGATTCTGGAAAGATAACGCAACCGTATTGCTCTTAGTCACAAACAAGCATAGTTAATTGTAAAACATAGTGAACAAAAAATTTTCAATCTATCAAGTTTACATACAGTTATTTACCTTCTTTAGCTTTTCTTTCTCTTTATTAGTGCGCGGGCTTAGAAGCTCCATGCCTTCAAGAACCTAACAGCAATTGCAAAATAGAAATAGTAGTGTCCATTACTTAATCTGTCTTCTGACTACATTACTATAATAATAAACAAGTGCCTTGTTTTTTCCAGGCAAAACAAGGCAATAAAATTTGAATAAATAAAGGTTATTATTATGATTATTATTATTATATATAGCTCACCTCCACCACACATGTGCCACAAGTTCCACCCCCTCCACAATTTAACAAAGCTCTAGCCTAGAAAAAGTAATAAAACAACAAAAGCATATAAACTGAATCATGCAATAAAATATTATTACAAAGCAAATAACAAAGTTGTTAGCATGCAATTATTAATTATTACATAGGGTCCATATAGATCAATATTGGAATCCATCATTATGTTCCTAAGCTTTCGCCCTCCGCAAGCTGAACGATAGTGCAAATCTGGTGTTCCATCTGGTAGCAACACAGGCTAACCAAACACAAAAACATTAGAGATTAACTTAAAATATAAAACAATGTTGCTAGAATGCATGATTCTTCAACTTACACTAACAAATACAAATCCCACAAATGGTGGGTCGTTGGAGTCATTGGTCTCTGAGTCTGAGTCCTTCTCAGGGACTGTGCCAACGGCTTTAATTTTGGTTCTTACAAACCTGAGACGCTTAGAGAATTGGAGGGGCTTAGAGAGTTGGAGGGGTCTGAAGCAGTGGGAAGAGGGAGAGATAGAGCATAATGCATGAGAGGTGAGTTGGAGTTGGAGCAGTGACATCTGTGATATTTCAAAGTTTGTTGTTGAGTGTTGAGTTGAGGATACTTTGCATGAACTCAGTCACATGTGGTTGTTCTTGTGATCATCTTATCTGATATGGTTTGCATAGGTACAACCACAATACAATTTTTTTTATATTGAGGAAGAGATGAATTAAGAAACCAAAAAATTAAGGGCAAAAAATTAACTTGGGCCATGAGGACTGAATAACAGAGTTGGTATGACTTTGGACAGGTCCATTCCACCAAAAAAACACAAAAAAGACCAGACCCAAGGACATGCTTTGTAGAAAAACTCTGAAAATCAGAGACGCTAGAAGAAGGGCTTGAACCTTCGACCTTGTGGTTAACAGCCACACGCTCTAACCAACTGAGCTATTCCAGCTTTTGTTTCAAGTGGTTGATCTTTCTATAAGAAAAGGAATGTTTAGGCTTTGGGTAGAGCATTGGCTTGTGCCTAGTGCTACATATCAAATCCTTAAAGCAATTATGACAATTTTATTATCAATAATTAGAAAAATTAAATAAGAATAGGATAATGCAAGGACAATGATCAATACTATTTATTCATACTCACAATTGCAAAATATGCGAAACAGATATCTATTTTTTAAATAAATAATTATTACAATATTCTTAATTTTAAAAATTTTAAAGAGATGAATTTGAAAAAAAATAAAAAAAAATTAGTGAAGTTGAAGAGGAATAATGAAGTGTGGTGTTGTAAGGGGTTTTATTGCGGAAAGGGCTAAAACCCTTGAAGGATAAAGGGAAATGGCCAAAGTTTCAAATTTTGGGCATTTTCTCTATCCCTCTCTTTCTCTTCTCTCCAAACCCACTACTAATACTATCCAATTCCGTTCTCTGATAACCGTCATCGCCTCATTCTCAAAACGACACCGTAACTTCCCTGCTCTCCACCTTGGGCGCAGAAAGAGCAGCATCCCCATGGAAGACCAAGAGACAAGCTCCGTCGCTGCTAGCTTCAACAAGAGAAGAGCTGAGGGAAGAGATAAAAGTGACGCTACCAAGAAGAACCTTCAACTCAAAGTTCGGAAGCTTAATCCAATCAATACCATATCATATGTTCAGGTCATAATTCTCTTTCAAATCAAATCCTTCGTTTCAAAAATCTGATTTTTAAGATAGAATTTTACTGAAAGCAGTTATTTCTGTTTACAATTTTTGATTTGTTTAGATATTGGGGACTGGAATGGATACTCAAGATACCTCACCTTCCGTCCTTCTTTTCTTCGACAAACAGAGATTTATATTCAATGCTGGCGAGGTATGTTTAATTTCATTCAGCATTTAATCAATGCCCTCTATGATTTTTTTCAAATTAATTTATATCGTATTCATTTCAGGGATTACAAAGGTTTTGCACAGAGCATAAGATTAAGCTATCTAAGGTATTATCATGTATCTTCAACTCCAATGTGAATTGCTTTGTATCATCGCCTCGTGAAAACGTTTTAGTTTCTTAGTCTTACTGTTGTTCGTCTTTCTTCAGATAGATCACATTTTTCTTTCTCGTGTCTGTTCTGAGACTGCCGGTGGCCTTCCAGGTCTGTGTTGGATTGTTAATGACCTTGCCGTTTTAGTCATTATCCCTGCCACATATTGCAGACACTAGCATTTTTTTCTTTAATACTGCACTAAAATTTGACATTTAAATTGTTTCTGCTTTACTAGAACTACATTACTAAAATTTGATGCTTTGATTGGTGATTCATTGAGAAGAGCCTTGAAACTCTCATAATTTATTTTCAACTCACAGGTTTACTGCTTACTTTGGCTGGCGTGGGAGAAGGGATGTCTGTAAGTGGCCTTTAACCTCCTATAATCTTCTGTCGTTATCATATATATTTATTATAAATGATAGCTTCTCCTAATTTGCAGGTTAATGTATGGGGCCCTTCAGATCTTAAGTATTTAGTAGATGCCATGAGATCTTTTATTCCCAATGCTGCCATGGTTCACACAAAGAGCTTTGGGCCCATCTTCAACACTGATTGGCCTACTGTGCCGGCTCAAAGCAAGGTTTTGGACCCCATTGTTCTTGTCGATGATGAAGTGGTCAAAATATCAGCCATTATACTACAACCCAACCACATTGAAGGTCAGGTTCTGACACCTTCAGAAAACTCTTCACAAAAGAGGATGGATCATAGTCCAGAGACTCTTGACTCCCCCAGTAGCAAAAAGCAGCCTGGTGTAAAGCCTGGTGATATGTCTGTAGTATATGTTTGTGAACTGCCTGAAATCAAGGGAAAATTTGATCCAGAGAAAGCTAAGGCCCTTGGTCTCAAACCTGGGCCAAAGTATCGTGAACTGCAACTTGGAAACTCAGTGAAATCTGATTGCCAGAATATTATGGTTAGTCTCAAAACTGTACATTATTTACCCAAAGCAGAGTAGAAGGAAACAAAATTTGAGATAGATAGATTTCAATCTCAATTACACATGCTTTAGTTTATTTTAATTTGATATTGGACTTCCATACATTTTAATGCAACTGTTTGTCTACCACAATAGGTTCATCCAATTGATGTCTTGGGACCTTCTGTTCCTGGTCCCATTGTTCTCCTTGTTGATTGCCCAACAGAATCTCATTTGGAAACATTATTGTCTGCACAATTGCTCGACAGTAATGGTGATCAAATGAGCATGCTACCAGAGGCTAAGAGTGTCACATGTGTAATTCACTTGACTCCTGCATCTGTTATAAGTTGTTCAAATTACCAAAAATGGATGAAGAAATTCAGTTCTGCACAGCATATCATGGCTGGACATGAAAAGTAAGGTGTTTGTCTCTTTGGAGAGTCATTTTTTGGCATTCCTAACTGGTTTGTTAGTGATTACTTCTGATTACTCATGCTGTTTGCAGGAAGAATGTAGAGATTCCTATTTTGAAATCTAGTGCAAGAATTGCAACACAACTTAAGTACTTGTGTCCTCAGTTTTTTCCAGCTCCAGGAATTTGTTCTCTTCCAAATCATAATAGCTCAAACTTTGGCTCTCTTGCTTTGAGTGAGGTTTGTCACAACGTTACAGGAGAGGAAGTTTATTTTTGTAGACAAAGATAAATGAGTCTAATTAAATTGTTTGATTTGATTCCTTGGCAGGGTTCTTTTCCAGAACTTTCTGAAGTCATTTCTGCAGAAAATCTTCTGAAGGTATGAGACATTGATGTGACCTGGCTGTTAACTTATTCAGTTATTTGTTCTCATAGAAGTCAAAATAAAGTCTTTGGGGTATGATAAGCTTGTAGTTGTGACAATCCATGCTTTTTCTGAACTCCTTTTAGATAATTGCAACTTTGCTGATGTTTTTTTTAAATGTACCTATTATTTTTAACAAGTCAAAGCATTATGTACAAGCTTAAACAACGTTCATTTGATTTCTAAATAAATATATTTCTGATGGTGTAACTTTTTTGTCTTTGAACAACTTCAAATTATTTGTGCATCACTGAGAAAGAATCTAAGAATGGCATTCTTCTTGTCGTGTTCTTGGAGAGCAGTTTTTGTGTTGGACCCACTATGACAAAAATTTAAAATGAATGTATTCAAGCAACAATTCTTAAGACCCCGACTTTTCTGTAAAACCATGTAGAACATGTTCTTTTCTTAGGCTCTCATTTATCTTTTCTAATCAAATTATCTTTGATTTGATCCAATTTTATCACTGGAGCTTCCTTTAATCTTCTTACACAACTAAATCACCTTAGGAGTTTCTACCATTTTCTCCTTGATAGTGCTGCTCCTATTGTCTCCCAGATATATTTGTCCGTTGTCACCTTAGGACTATAATTTCACATTTTTTATCTCTATCTCTTGCTTTTGCCAAGTTCATATACTGATGAATATATTACTCTGCTATATACAGTTTACTTTGCGTCCTTATGCAAATCTTGGGTTGGATAGATCTTGTATTCCTACTACGATGGCTTCCTCAGAAATCATTGATGAGTTACTGTCAGAGATTCCAGAGGTTGTGGAAGCAGCTAAGCATGTAAGTCAGCTCTGGAAAGAATGTAGTCAAGCAGAGGATTTAACAACTCTGGCAGATCATAAGATGATGATTGAGGAACCATGGCTGTGTGCAGATGGTATTCCTGCTTGCTTGGAAAATATCCGGAGAGATGACTTGGAGATAGTTCTTCTTGGAACTGGTTCATCCCAGCCATCAAAATACCGAAATGTGAGCTCAATATATATAAATCTTTTCTCAAAAGGAAGTATGCTCTTGGATTGTGGTGAAGGAACGTTGGGGCAACTTAAAAGAAGGTGGGTCTATCCAGATCCTTAACAATCATTTGTATTTATAGATTACAGCAATTGTTTGTTCTTTTAATCTGAGTTGTTGGTTGATGTATCCCTTGGAAACAGATATGGCGTTAGTGGTGCTGATGATGCTGTGAGAGCTTTAAGGTGCATTTGGATTTCACATATTCATGCTGATCACCATACAGGCTTGGCTAGGATTCTTGCTCTGCGCTATGAATTGCTGAAGGGAGTGCCTCATGAACCGATTCTTGTTGTAGGACCAAGGCAGCTGAAGAGATATTTAGATGCATACCAAAGACTTGAAGATTTAGATATGGTGTTTCTTGACTGCAAGCACACAACAGCAGCTTCATTGGATGCTTTTGAGGATGATTTCCAACGAATTTCAGTTAATTCTCATAATCTGAACAATAATAATAGGGAAATAATTGCATCAAAAGTCGATTCAACTTTGTTTTCTAGAGGATCTCGTATGCAAAGCTATTTTAAAAGACCAGGTAGTCCTGTTGACAAAGATGCAATTTCTCCCATCCTAAAGAAATTTAAGGAGGTAATCCAGGAAGCTGGTCTGAAGGCCTTGATTAGTTTCCCTGTTGTACATTGCCCACAGGCATTTGGTGTTGTTCTAAAAGCTGAAGAGAGGACTAATAGTGTTGGAAAAGTGATACCTGGCTGGAAGATTGTATATTCTGGTGACACAAGGCCCTGCCCAGAGCTAATAGAAGCATCTCGTGGTACAACAGTTCTTATTCATGAGGCAAGTAATTATTTGATGTTGTCTGAGCTTGTAATGATTTAGCATTTGCTGGAAATATCTTAAAAGGATATGGAATGAAATCAATATAAGAATTTGGTACTGTAGGCTGCTACTGCAGAAGCAATGAAGCATGCTGTCTTGAATATTCTCTACTCTTTTCTTTTTAGGTTGAAGTGGGCGAAGGTGGTTAGAGTCAATTTCAAATGTTAGCAATCCTAGTCATTTTAGATTCAACAATGATAAAGAAGAATTAATTCGATAAGTTTTTGGTACAATAGGTAAATCTTTGGCAAAACTAACATGTTTCACTCTAATTGACTTATCCCCTGTAGGTCGAACTTAATTTCCTCTCTTACAAAAGGATTTGTATCTTCGATGATTCCTTTGATATAAATTCCATAATTAGATTTTTATCTATAGACTACATGTTTCTTTGGTTTATACATCAAAAGGATGGATAATTTTGTGTATGATCTCTTTGCTTCAATTGTTTCTGCAATGAATGCCGAGTCCAACAACATATATGGCCGTCCATGTTAATGATTTACCTTATAAACATTTTCTATGTGAACTATAGAGAGAATTGTTCGTTGCTTAATGCCATCACTAACAAGGGTGCTGTTAACTTATGACTTGCTAATTGATGCAGGCAACTTTCGAGGATGGTATGGTAGAGGAGGCTATAGCAAAAAATCACAGTACCACAAAGGAAGCCATAGAAATGGGAGAGTCTGCTGATGCATATCGAATTATACTAACTCATTTCAGCCAAAGATATCCAAAAATTCCTGTATTGGATGAAACACACATGCATAAAACCTGTGTTGCATTTGACATGATGAGTATCAATATTGCTGATTTATACGTGCTTCCCAAGGTTCTTCCATATTTGAAATTGCTTTTCAGAAATGAAATGATGGTTGACGAGTCGGATGATGTAGTTGAAGCCGTGACTTCAGCTTCTTGACAGAATCACCCCATTGTATTATTGATTTATATATTTTAAATTACGATCATGTTACAATATGGTAGCATTTTGTCGTTGGCTTTGCCCATGCAGTTTTAATTATGATCACGTTCTGACGGCGTTCCAAACAAGCATGTACCGAAAAGAAAATGATTGAACAAATCACCACTTTAATCCTGAAGATTTGAAGTGTTTCATTGGCTGGTGAGTTAAAAAGTTTTATTTTAGCTTTTGATGATAACTAACGTAAGTCAAGATATTATATAATTCATAAATAAGTTAACATAATAACATGTTATAACAAGTTTTAAAAATTATTGTATTTATACTTTTATTCTAGGAAATTTATATTCCAACGGCCATATTCACGTGACGAAGACGGAGTCATCGACCAGCTCTTCATTCACGTCGATGTCTCCAAATCTTTGCAGAACGAATTGATTTTCCTCTGCGGTTCGTACGAGGATGCTTTGGGCATTCACTCTGTTTCCATGCGGCCTAAGCTTGAACACTCTGGTTACCTCCTCATCCCTCCCAATACACCAGCCCTATTTTTGGGTATCTTTCGCTGTTTGATGAATTCCCTATCATTTACATTAAAACAATAGTGGTTAAATATATGAACACAGTTATGCTCTTTGTTGTGAATTTTTGTTGTAAAGTTACAAAGGGTATTTGCTTAGAAATACAATTGTATAAAATATAAAATAACAAATTTTGAAAATTTAAAGAACAATTTTACAAATTTTTACAGGTTAAATATTTAAATATTTTATTTTATTTTAAATTATAATTAACAAATTTGTAAAGGCCTACTCACTTAAGCACCATTTATTTACTAACTTATGTTATCTTTGAGCCATACTTTGACTTTATAAAATGTTACATTTTTTTTTACTTTAGTCCTTGATGCTAATAAAAACATTTAATGAAAATGAATTGAAGTGTAAAAAATTTTATAATTTTAGAAATTAAAGTAAATCACATTTATCTAATGTCAGGGAGTATATTGATTATTTATTCTAAAATTATTTGTTAAAGTTAATTTAATGGAGGGGGGGGGGGGTTAGATTTTTCTTCTTTTGGACTGGGAAATTAAACTCGATTCAATCTCTCTCCAACGTGCACACATATTTCTTTTGAATAAATAAAATAAAACATGAAACTAACTGCTAAATATTAATATTTTGGGTATCAGGACTAGTGTTTCATTTTCACATATTAGGAGGGTGAGCGGTAGTTCCGCCGGTGAAATGGTCCAATTCAACGATGTGATTGTGCGGTCCTCCGACGTTGATAACTGCATTATGCTCTTCAAAGCTTAACCAAAACTACCGTTACAGTTATCTAATCCAACTTATCTTTGATCCCATTTATGTTTATTTCGTGTTGTATTAATCATGGATACGGCGCCTGGCAAAGACGGTCAATCTGCTCCCTCTTCCAAGAAAACTTCCAAGAAACCCATATGTGTGTTCTTCACTTTTCCCATGAATGTGCCGTCCTTATCTTCTACATATGCCATCATATAAGTTTATCTAAGTTTATGTAAATTTCATGGGGATATCTTGAAACAATGGTTCATTCACAAAACACAACATTTGTTACTTCCATTGAACTTGTCATGTCTTTATTATAGTTTGTAAGGAATTGGAATGCAGCATTTTTCAGTGCTTTATTTAATTATTTGTAAGGCAAATCGCTCAAATGCTAAGTTTGCACTAAAATTTGGAGGACTTATGGCTATTCTATGCAATGAAATAGTTACGTTTGCACTGTTGCTGCTATATAATTTTTTTAATTTTTTTTTCAAATTGTAGATTCACAATTCTCACAGCAAGAACTTCCTGCATGGAAACCAATTCTAACACCTGGATGGGTATAGATTGCAACGCACATACCTCATTTAGTTTTACTGAAGGATTATAGTTTCAGGCATGGCTTCTGCTTTTGCAATGTTTAATAATTGATCATTGATTTTATCTGTTTTCCCAGGTCATTTCTACATTTTCTGTCATCGGAATCGTCTTCATCCCCATTGGTCTTGCTTCATTGTTTTCTTCAGAGAGTGTAACATCTCATAGTTTTCTCAATAAATGAGATTTGGTGCAGAAACTGAACGTTATATTGATTTGTCAAGAAATGCTGATGTAGGTGGAAGAAGCTGTATTCCGATACGATGACAGTTGCCTTCCTCCCTCACATGCTGAAAATGCAGTGGCATTTATTCAAAACGACACCACCAACAAGACCTGCATTACCAAATGGATTGTTAGTACATCATAACAAGACATGTTGAAATTTTAAAATAATTACTTGTTTGATACCTGATTGGAAACAATTCTGTTGTAAACTTCATAGGTTGACCATAAAATGGAAGCTCCAGTTTACATCTATTATCAGCTTGATAATTATTATCAGAATCATCGCAGGTATGTTTTGAGACATGAATGTAAAATTTAAGGGTTTGTTTATCTGGTGGGATAAATATTTTCATTTTAAGTGGACTAATAAAGACACTGTTACAAATTGTATCAACTTTTTATATACAAAATCTCTTTAGTTCATCATGAAGTTATTATTTATACCGTAAGATAACTTATGACAAATCCAAAAATGAAAATTGGAGTTTATCAAGGAACTCTCCATGCAAGTATGCAACCACTTCTTATGGTCCCCACTTTTATGCTTAACACTGGATGATTGTTTTTTCAGATATGTTAAGAGTAGAAACGACAAGCAACTGCGGAATAAGGAAGCTGAAGGAGAAATGAACAATTGTTATCCAGAAGACAAGACAAAAGATACTAATCAACCAATTGTTCCATGCGGCCTCATTGCATGGAGTTTGTTCAATGACACATACAGATTTTTAACCAACAACAAGGACTTGAGTGTAAATAAAAAGAACATTGCATGGAAGAGTGACCAAAGCTCCAAATTTGGCTCTCATGTTTATCCAAAAAATTTTCAGCGTGGAGATTTGATTGGTGGTGCAAAACTCAACGAGAGTTTACCTGTAAATATTTCAACATTTCACTTGTCTTTTTGCATTTCTGATTGGTGGAGATTTGATTGCTTGTTTTGCATTTCACTTTTCTTTTTTGCATCAGTTGAGTGAACAAGAGAATCTGATCGTTTGGATGCGAACGGCAGCACTACCCACATTCAGAAAATTATATGGGAAGATAGAAAGTGACCTTGAAGTTAATGATGAGATAGAAATAGTAATAGAAAACAATTACAACACATACAAGTTTGGAGGCAGAAAGACATTGGTTCTCTCAACCACCACTTGGATGGGTGGCAGAAACCCCTTCTTGGGAACTGCATACCTTTTCGTTGGTGCAGTATCCTTGTTCTTTGCCATAGGATTCATCCTTCTTTATGTTGTCAAGCCAAGGTCAACGAAACACTTTCAGTTTATCCGTGTAATATTATATAGGATAATATATAACTTTTTATTAAAAGTTATAACATTTAATGATAGAGTTTTGTTAATTCAGTCTTTATCCTTTGTTTAAGTATTATAAATTTATAGAAAAATGTTTACTTATTATATTAAAAATGATAAAAATCAATACTTTTTTTAATAAATGTTTATTATTATTAGCTGCTTATAATATTTTTTAAATAATATTAATGTATTAAATTACATTAAGTTTTATAATTTTTAATAAAAATTTAGTTCTGATTAAAAAATCGTCTGTTATGGTATTCATGCCAAGTTCATATCCTTTTTTCCCTCAAAGAAAATATGAACATTTTCTTTCTCTCAAAATTTAGAGTTTATTTTCCAATTTTGAACTAAATTAAATACCTCTTTCTTTGTTCCTCATCAACATTATAATATTTGGTTATTTATTTCTATTTTGAGAGCTAACATTGCTAAATTGCTGAATCTGCAGACCACTTGGGGATCCGTCCTACTTGTCTTGGAACAGAAATCCAGGGAACATGAAATGACATGCCCATCTCTTGAATTTGACCATTCCCTATCTTCTTTATTGCTACCACTTCTTTGTGTGGCAAAGGTTCGTTCTGGGACGAGGCTTGTTTCTTTGATCTTGACTAGGTGACGAACTTGAACCTCGAGTGTATATAAACGTTTTTTGTTTATTTTGCATTAATTTTTTCCTATTGAAAAACAGGGTAAAGATAACAAGTTTTGAGTAACGAGGCAAAGCAGTCTACAATTATAAAAAATAAAGGACTAAGCTTAACATTTAGAAAAGACAATTAATTATAACAGGTCTTTGAATTACCGCATTAAATGCATACTCCTTTCTCTTTAAAGGAAGATACACGATATTTCATTTTTTTCTAAAACAAAAATAAGTAAAAACTGTTAAAATAAATACTACGAGAGAGTACCATTATTTACAAGAGGGCCAACCGTAAATCAAAGCAATTTACCAGGTTCTTGATCATTATACACTCCCAATTACAGGTTCATGTTTCAGGCAATTGTTGATGTATAGCATGTAATTGTAGTGAACTTTCATGTCAGTGGCAGTGGGTAAATTTTCACGAAAAGAGAAGACAAGAAAAAAGGATTTACGAATGGGTTTTGGAATTTTCAGGAATGTATCAGCTTTCGCAACCACTGCCATTTATTTGCATTTCAGCATATTTAATCCCTGACAATTTCCTAACGAAATTTACATGACAATTAAGATGGCAAATTTCAGAGCTTTTGGTGAGCCACTTTATGATCGGAACTTGAAGAAATTCCTATAATAGAACTTGAAATTTAATGCAATGAGCCCATAGGTAACCTAAGAAACCATTGAGACATTTCATCTACCATGACAATTATGGAAAAAGCATCTGTACTAATCAGTAATAAATCACATTTCTCTCCCAAATAACCCACTTTATGCCATTGATTATCCGGGATCTAATTTTGAACATGTTAACCTTAAAAGGCTCCGTATTACTTTGAATTTGTTATCTTGTTGCAAAAAGAGGGTGATGCCAACTCTGCCACACCGACAATTGAAACCAAAGAGAAAAGAAAAACACAAATTGGTATTAGAATTGCAACTAATGCCACATCTAACAAATCTCCTCATTTCTTAAATGCGTAACCCACTACATATTATTCAACAACGGCTATAAACGAAGTAATAGCAAACATCTACCCCCACTCAAATTCATAACCCCATCACACCAACTTCATTCATAAGTCATAAGTTGTGACTTGTGACCACCACGACACCACTCATGTTTCTTTTGGTTGTGAATGAAGAACACATCACAAGATCAAATGACATGATCAATGGACGACTCCAACTCACCTGATCCCACCCCATCTTTTGCTTTTAGATCCGCAATTCCAACTCCAACTCAAAACAACAACTTCTTGAGAAGCCATTCTACAAAAGAATCTCCTTTTTCAAATTTACTTAACTCCCCACCTCGCCTCTCTTGTCCCACACTCTCTCGCAGCCTCCAAAACTCTCCTCTTTCTTCACCCCTTCACCGCCAATTCTCTCCCACTCCCTCTCCCACAAAGCTTTCTGACTCTGACCCTCAAACGACCTACCACTGTGCCTCTTCTGTCCTCAGAAACGATGGCCAGATGCTCTCCATTGCCTTGTCTTCAAATGGGTTGATTTACACTGGCTCTGACTCCAATCTTGTTAGGGTCTGGAAGCTCCCCGAGTTCACTGAATGTGGTCAACTCAGAACCAAGGCTTGCAGAGTCGTTGCACTGGAAGTCTCCAATGACACTGTTTATGCAGCCTATGGTGATGGCAAAATTCGCCTCTGGAGAAGAACTTGGGATAAGGTTTTGAAGCATGTTCGTTTGGCCACCATTCCCAAGACCGTTGGCTATGTCCGAAGCTACATCGCCGGCAAGGACAAGACGGTCAGTTTCTGTCTGTTAATATGCATTCTAAATATTTCGTTCACAACTGACATAACTAAATAGCAACAGTATTTAGGCGTAAAGTAAATTTAAAAAGGATATTTTTTATTAATAAAATTATTTTTTTTAAAATATTAAAATTTTATTTAAAATGTATTTTTTAAATTTTTTGTGATATAAATTATCATAATTAATTTTATCTAATATTTTTTTAATAGATAATATGGCTAATCTATTTAATCTTTATAAAGATACTACTTATGTTAAATAAATTTTTATTAATTTTGATTTAAAAAAAAAATTCAATTGAAGCAACTAATATCAGAATTATTAATAGTATTTTGTAAGTTATATATGTATTTAGAAAGGAATCTATTTTTTTTATATAATTGAGAATGTTAATTGATTTATAATTTTTTTAAGATATTTAATTCTGAAAATAAATTTAATTCAACAATATCTAAAAAATTATTATGTTTCAAAGATTTTTTAAGGTTTAAGCATTTTTTTAAAAATTATACTATCTAGTTACTTTAATTTTTTAACATCAAATAAAAAGTCATATTTTCATACATTTTAAATTACTTAAATCTACTTTGAAGTACAGCAATTGCTTTCTCTATAATATATAAAAAGTAATAAATTATAAATAATTTTTGAAGAGATTTTACAATTTCATTCTTAACACTTTAGTCAAGTTGTTTGTTTCTACGACAATAAGTTTTTCATGAAATTTAGGCTCTATATATATTTTAAAAGCAATTTCTTTGGTAAAAGTCTATGTATTTTTAAATCCATTTTTCCTATACTTTTTAAAAAATGAAAGAAGACCTTTTAATTGTTTAATGGTCTCATCAATGCACATATCTTTTGATTGTAAATTTTTACTAATTGAGTTAACTGCATGTCATACCAAATTACCATTCCTAACAAAAATTCAAAAATTTTAAACTTGTAAGTTGCTAAACAATCGACTTCACCTTTTATCTTAGGATCATTATTAAAATATGACTTTCTACACGTGTTTGTGACAATGATTTAAGAATTAAGTTATGTATATAATTTTGTAAAAATTTTTACTTTTTTGTAGAAGAAGAAAGTAAAGTATATATATGTTGTAACACACTAAAAAAAGATATAGCTTTATGACAAGAATTAGCCATATCACAAAGTACTAAGTTTAGACTATGACAATTACATGGAGTATAAAATGATCTAAAATTAATATCTAAAAGTCTTTTTTTCACACCTTTATGTTTGCCTTTCATATTAGACTCATTATCATATCCTTGTCCCCTAAGGTTATTAATATTAAGTCCAATAATTTTTAATTCATTAATAATAGCATCAAAAAGACTTTTTTCACTTGTATCATCTACTTTTAAAAAATTTGAAAAATATTCATTAAGTTGTATTGGAATTAATGAAATATCTACGTATCATAATACAAAAGACATTTGTTCTTGATGACTTATATTTGGAGTACAGTCAACTATAATTGAGTAATATTTCACATTCATAATTTTTTTATAATTTTTATTTTTATTTCACTTGCTAACAAATTTATCAACTTATTTTGTATATTTTTTTCAAGATAATGATTATGAATTTCATCATTTTTAATTTGACAAATATATTCTTGCATAATTGGATCAAATTCTATAATCATTTCAATTAGACTTAAAAAAAATTTATTACTTTCTTGATATATCTTTTCATTTTTTCCACGTAAGGCTAAGTTATTTTAGCCAAGAGTTTTAATAACTGCAATGATTCTTAATAACACATTTCTCCAATTTTTCTATCTCTATTTATTTATTTTTGAACATGATTGTCTATTATTTTATTTTTTGACAATCTCATCTCCAAATTAATCCATGCATTCATGTTAGTGATACGTTCATTAGTTATTTCATGACTCTTCAACTTAGCACTAAGATTTCTTCAATCTCTACAACCTCCGTTAGCTAGTTTACTTGTACGAGAAACAAAATTAAATAATTTAGCTATATTCTCTCATGTTTCTCTCAATTAGGTAATTTTTTAATGTAATTTGATGAAGAAAAACGTCTGGAATATTTATCTTTTAAAAAATCTATACCAATAACTTTAATAGGGTCTTTTTTTACTAATAAGTCTCTCAAATTTGTACTAATATTTATCCATTAACTTAGATCATATATATTTTTAGGAGTAAATCATCTAATCTTTCAATTTCTTCCTCGTTATCATGAGTTTGAGAATCAAAATTATCCTTTTTACTAATTATTTATCTATTATTGTTTTCACCTATATCTTCAAAGAGCATCTGTATGTGTTTTTTAATTTATTTTTATAAATTTATCTATAGCTTCTTTTTGTAATTTAGTTAAAGCCTTGACTCTTCTCTTTTTCTAAAGTTTTAAATGGCCTAATTCATATTTTCTAGTTGATAATTATATATTTTTATATGAATTTATAATATATAAAGTATGAAATATAAATATATAAAATAAGATTAAATTATAACAATAAAACCTGATTGTCAAGAAAATAAACTTGACACTTGCAATCTCTGCGGCTCCAAAAGTGACAGCTTTACAGAGAAATTGTGAATTAATGGAAGCTGAGTTGTGGAGGAAAGATTATTGTACTAGTGTCTCTATGTTAGAAAAATGGAAGGCTTTATACCCGTGCTTATGCATTAAAAAAATAGAAGACTTTATTTCCTCCTCCACTTGCACTATGAATATTTTCTTTTCATTCCACTTTGAGGTTGTTGTTAGTAAAAAAATACAAATTAAAGTAAAATTAAACAAAAAGAAAAGAAGAATATAGTAGTTAGAGAAAGGAAGAAAAAAAAAATAACAATTAAATAAAAAGTAAAAAATTATTTAATTTTTTTTAATCAATTATTTTTTTTAAAAAATAAATTAAAAAATATTTATTATCTATTACTTAAGAGTTACGACTTATTAAATATTATTTTTAATATCAATAAAAAGTTAATAATTATTTAAAATATTTAAATTAAAATTATTTTTAAATTTAATTTTTTAAAAATATATTAAAATTAATATATATATATATATATATATATATATATTTTATTTTTTTTTTGGCCCTAAAGCCTTTGGCTGTAGGTCGGCCCTGGAGACAAGTTAGCAGGATAGTACCCCACATTGCCTTTGAGGTTTAGTTCTATTTGGTTAATCACAAATGCTCCAAAAAATTTATTAAACTGGGAATTGCTTAGACAAAGGGTAACTTCTCCAGATTTCTTGTACAACCAAGTGGCCCACGAACTTTTGTTAAGAAATATATTTTCATATTTTTTTTTAAAAAAATATTATGTTGGAATGCAATAAAATATGTAGAAGTTAATGTATTTTATGTTTTTCAACAAAATATTTTTATTTTTTAACCAGTGGTTAGGATAGTGTTTAATATTTTCTATTAAGGAGTTGATAATTTCAATTCTTAAAAGTTAAGTTTAAGAATCTAACAATAATATATTTATTTCATAAAATTATATTTATTATATTAAAGTTATAAATATATGATAATATTTAAAAAATAAATAAAATTTTATTATTCTTGTTAGTTAGATTCAAAGTTTCAAACCATTTCAGTGCAATAAATATTTTTAATAAAAAAATAACTTTTAATTACTTCCAATTAGTCCTAATTAAATGGTGGAAATATTGATGTGATTAAGTATTTTTGATTGTTTGACATGAATGAACAGATGCATAAGGGGATAATTACATCAATGGCAATTAACACAGCAGAGGACATTCTATACACTGCTTCCCTAGACAAAACGGTGAAAGTATGGCGAATCTCAGACCTGAAGTGCATAGAGACAATAAAGGCTCACCCTGAGCCAATCAACGCAATCATTGTGGCTGATGATGGAGTCCTCTACACCGCTTCTGATGACGCAACAGTGAGAGTTTGGCGTAGAAATTTTTGTAGCCACGACCAACCACATTCTCTCACAGTAACCCTTCATGCCAAATATTCCCCGGTGAAAGCCTTGACACTAACCCCAGATGCAGGAATCTTATATGGTGGCTGCACTGATGGCTACATACACTACTGGCTAAAGGGTTGGTTTGCAGGGCAATTGCAATATGGTGGGTCAATTCAAGGACACACACATGCAGTAATGTGTCTAGCCAGTGTTGCAAAATATGTAGTTAGTGGCTCAGCTGATTCAACTAGCAGGGTTTGGGCTAGAGAACAAGATGGCCAACACACTTGTTTAGCCGTTTTGGTTGGTCATAGAGGACCAATTAGGTGTGTAACAGCATTTTTAGGAGGTCGTTTGGTGGAAGATAACGAAGATAGCTGCACCATTTGCACTGGTAGTCTCGATGGGGTCTTGAAGGTTTGGCGTGTCACTCATAAGAATCTCAATAATCACTGCTCTTCTCCACCTGGGGCTAAGTATTTTGAACTCTATAAGGGACTTTAATTCATTAATTACCACTAATTCCTACCTTTTGTTTCCATTCTTCACAGTTGGGAGGAATAAGCATTCTATTTTAACACAATTCTTACTGGTTTCCATTTTTTGTACAGCCATTTAGAAAGTGATTCAATTTTTTGTCTTTTTTTTAATTATTAAATGATTATATCATCAGACAAAAATAGTGACCAAATAATGATAACTGTTTTAAAATGGAAAAAGTAGTTTACTGCGAAGAATCTTTGTTAATCATAAATTTTTACAGTTAATCCTTTTTACATGTCTTTTTTGAAAGGAAATAACGAATCGTCTTTCTGTTTTGACTTTATGGTTAACATTTATAAGTGTGAGATAAAACCAATAAAATGATAATATTGTTTGAGTATTTCAATGAACTTATTTTCATTAATAAATACATTTTATTTCTAATAATGTTGGAAGAAGTGTCTTAATGACAATCATTTTCCATTTACTACTATCATTTATTTTTTGTGTTGCGTGTTGTGTTGTCCTTACATTGAAATTCACGGCGTGCCCCGACAGATTTTAAAAGTTAACTTTTCTACGTGTTCAATAATATGTAATAAATTTTTATTAAAAATTATCAGATAATATCAAATTTAAATAATGATAAGATTAAATACTATAATTATTAATATAAAATATTATTTTATTGTGTATTTTTTAACATGTCTTTAAAAAACTGTAATTTACACCCTTTTTCTCTTTCTAAACTATAATTTTATGAAATAACAAGAATAATCACACTTTATCAGAGCTTAATTACACTTTAAAACACGTGTCGTGTTGCAGAAAAGTATGAAACTCTGTTAGTTGTTAAAACTGAACGACGATACCTTTCCCTGGACATGGATCCTCTACGGTTTCAATAGGAACTGCAGGGTGTGCAGTTGTAGACTCAACCGTTAAATTTATTTTATTTAATTTTAAGATATTGATTTATTACATAGTAAAATAAATTGAATGAATGAGATTGACGCGGTTGGGAAAGTAACCGTAGAGGATAGAAATCCATGCAAGAGGCAGAAAAGGGTAAATACATAAAATAAGGAAAATAGTTTAGAAATACATTTTAATTAGAAAAATAAAAAATAAATATATGTCTGGTTCTTGTACAAATAGAACAGAGCATAAAACACATTAAAATGAGTTACAGGATTAGCAGAGGAATGAATATCTATTGGGCATGGCTTGTGTTCTGTGATTGCATTTCTAAGGCAGCGTTTGGATGTCCGTTAGCATTTGTCCTTTTTAGTAAGCGGTAAAGGACATAACATAACAAACGCAAAGCGCATAGAATTGATACGGTGACCAAACCTGACAGAAGATAGGCTACGATGGAATTGGAACGCCTGCATCCAAACAGAGCTCCCAGACACACCATGGCAGAGTAAGCATAATTCTAAGATATGAATTAAACTTATATTGATATCTGATGAAGGTGAAGAAGCATGATCGATTGTTTCTGCAACACTTTATTCTTCCCTTCCTTCCCCGCTGTTTAGGTCCCTTCTTTATCAATTAAGGAATAACTCACACTACTATGCTCTTAAAGGTATTTGATTCGTAGAACCCCCTCCATATCCTGCCTTTTCTTAAATTCATGATTAGAAAGTAATGTATATATACATACATACATATATATATATATATATATATATATATTTAGTTATAAGAATTTTTTTAAATTAATTTTAATTATAAAATTTATATTTATAAAAACTTGATTTTGACATTAAAGTCATAAAAGTATTAAATATTTTTTAATTTATCTTATCATGAAATCAACCATAAATATATTTTCTTTCCTTCGACGCAGCTAGTTTTTTTAACAGTATGCAAAGTGACAAGGAATTTTATGAACCATTGTTAGTTACTTTTTGTTGGAATGATTATTTATTTTCACTGAATAAGAATTATTTTTGTTAAATAGTATATTTTGATGGTGGAATAGAATATAACAACGCATTTGTGAAAGGAAAAATTGTGTGATTGTGATTAGGAATATAAATAAGATAAAAAGTTGTCAGTGAATGAGATTAGTTGGGACTAATTATAGAGAGGAAGTGGTAGATCTGAACTTAGATTGTGTGTGGTAGTTAATTAAAAGAAGTGAGTGAAAAGTAAGAAAGAATAATAATAAAATAAATAAATAAGAATGTCATCTCCAACACCGAAGGGATCGTCATCGTCACAGAGCAACACCCCAACACACCGTCATCCCAATCACTCCGCACCCTCTATGTTGGAGCGGGCACTCTCCTCTCGCCGCGTCAACTCTCACGGCGAAGACGACGGCGACGGCAGTGACGGCGGAGGTGATGAATCTAAGACCAAGAAGCAACAGCACATCCTCTTTCGCGTCACCAACAGAGCCTCCAATTACCTCTCCCGAATGGCGGGTTCTGGTTCCTCCTACCTTCCTTGTGTTGTCATAGCCATGTTCATCTTCTTAGCCTTCTCATTCCTCTTCACATCTCGCGGCTTCGTCTGCATCTCCTCGACCTATAGCCCCGTCTCTCGCTCCGGCTTCTTCGGCTTCGATGGCCTTGAGTCTGATTTCGGAGCCCTTGGCGTGCCCTGGTGTAAGCCTCTATTCGCTGATCTGATCGCCTTTTAGGGTTTTAATTTTTTCGGTTTTGTTTGGATCAAGGAAAAAAAAATGGAAATGCTAGCCTAGCTTGAGAGTTGGGAGTTTCTGTTTCTGGAACATCAAAAATGAAATGCTACTGGATCAGAATGTTAAATTATCAAAAAAGGAAAATGTGGATTGGAAAAAAAATCAATTTATTAGTTTTGGATCCTGATCCTTAAAGGAATCGAATTCCGTATGTTGTTGCTTGATTGGTTGTTCCTGAATGAAAATCCGTGGGGAAGTATGTGTTAACCAAGCTAGATTTTCAAAATTAGCAATGTGGCTGTGTTTATTACTGTTGTTGTTAGATAACAGAAATGTATCAAGTGTTTGAGATCAAATTAGTATCTTGTTTGCACTTTGGAGTTGAGGAGAGTAAAATGTTGAATTTTAGACACTGTTGTTTTGCATTCTTAGTTTTGATCATTAAGTCTTTCAGCTTATTGTTGTTGGATACTTATAATCTTATGCTTGGTAAAGGCAGATCGAAACATGGTAAAACTGTGGAGTGGACGTCAAAAGATCTGCTCAAGGGTTTAGAAGAGTTTGTTCCTATATATGAAACCCGGCCAATCAAAAACAACTTGTATGGAATGGGTTTTGACCACAGCTTTGGGCTTTGGTTTATTGCCCGCTGGCTGAAGCCAGATCTGATGATCGAGAGTGGTGCTTTCAAGGGACATTCAACTTGGGTTTTGCGGCAAGCTATGCCAGACACGCCGATTATTTCTCTTTCACCTAGGCATCCAGAAAAGTACCTCAAAAAGGGCCCTGCCTATGTTGATGGTAACTGCACGTATTATGCTGGGAAGGACTTTGTGGATTTTGGGAGTGTCGACTGGCCCAAAGTGATGAAAAAGCATGGGATTGCAGACCTTAATCGGGTTCTTATATTTTTTGACGACCATCAAAATGAATTGAAAAGGTAACTTGCAAGATCTTTGAGATGCATGATTCTGTATTTGAGTACTTCTTGTGAAACTGCCATTGCTTATTATTGTTTTATATATGTCATGATGAGCAGAATTGAACAAGCTTTGAAAGCAGGGTTCCGGCATCTTGTCTTTGAGGATAACTATGACACTGGAACTGGTGACCATTATTCGCTGAGGCAGATATGCGATCAATTTTATATAAGAGGTATGTAAACTCTCCCTTTCTAGAATTATTATATATTACTGAATTTTATTTTTGTTTCAATAAGGATTGCAGGCATTCTAAAGATTTGTCATTGTTGCATTTCCTCTTGACAGAGTTAGATTGGCTTGATATGTTTCAATTATCAATTCTTAATGGGATTTAGCTAGACTAGTTAAATATTTGACTTGAGGACTGAGGTAATATATTAGACAAATTGAGGGATTGGAAACTACAGACAAAATTCAGGAAAGCAGCATGAAATTTGGAGTCACCTCTGAGTTACGCTGTAGCCAATGTCAAAAGTGATTGAGTTTTACTATATCTTCCTAATAATCTTTCTACTACTTTATAAAGTAAGTATTAATGATAAAGTGCATGCATTTATTATCTTGAAAATATAAATTATATTTAATACTTCTTCATTTAGTAATTAGGAGAATAAGTATAAAAAGATTCAAAATTAGGGTTTTGTTAACCTCAGCTTAAGGATAAGTAGCTAATAATAGTAAAATTTTATTAAAAAGAGAAGTATTTATTGTATTTTTGTAACATCAATATAATAATTGTGTACTTTTTTCATAAATTATTTTTATTTATGGATGCTTAAACTTAGCCCTAAGAACTTAAGTTAACAAAACCCTTAAAATTATTCTTTGACAAGCATTGTTGCCATAAAGTGCAGCTTCAAGTGGTCGGAAAATTTTTTGTTGGTTCCAGACAACTGTTGTGTTGTGTAGACATTTCTCTTTCTTTAGAAATTATATTATATTTTTCTGTTTGCATTATGAGTATCCAGTTTTGCTATATCTTTCTAAAAATATCTTCTTAATAATCCCCCTACTGCTTTATATAGTAAGTATTAAATGAAAAATATATGCATTTATTATCTTGAAAATATAAAATATATCTAATATCTTCTTCATTTAGTAATTAGGAAGATTTGTAGCCATAGAGTGTAAAAGGATCTACAGTTATTCTTTGACAGTCATTGTTGCCATAAATGCAGCATCCAGTTGCCAGAAAATATTTGGTTGATTCCAGATAACTGTTGATAATTGTTCTAGTGGTGTGGAGTCATTTCTCTCTCTTTAAAATTTTTATTATATTATTCTATTAGCATTACTAATATCCAGTAAGTGGTAATTGATCACAGATAAGGAAATTGACTTCTGTTTGGTTCTTTTGTCGGTCAAAGGCGGGGGGCACAGTTGCTTTAAAGATAGTGATGAAGCTAGGATCAGGTCGAGGAGGAAGAAATTCTGGGAGAAAGCAGTTGATATCGAAGAACTCTGTGGACCAGGTGAAGCCTGGTGGGGAGTTAGAGGCTACATGCGTGACAACTTCAATCATAGTAATAAGCCAATATCTTATGCACAACATTTCCAGAATAGCCGATTTATTGAATCTATTCTTGATATTTACTGGGAACTCCCTCCAGTTGCTGGTCCTTCCCTCACGCATCAAACCAGATATGATCCTGCTCGTGCATCCAGCCCAATTGTTGAAGATGGACGGTATGGCTTGTTCAAAAGGCTAGGTTTGGCCAACCTTGACAATTCTGTATTTAATGGATACACGCAGATGGTTTATTTACAGATATCTGAACAATAATTTAGAGTTGCTTAGACAAGGGTATGATGTAGTAGAAGAAAGTTTTGTACCTGTATTATGTATGAATTGTTGCTTCTGCCTGATTTGGGTTAAGATGTAGTTTTTTTTTTTTTTTTTTTTCATTCTTCTTGCCTTTGCCTTTTGAAATTTGAGCTAAGTTCCCTCACTCACTGTTGGATGCATTCTAATTTGGTATAGTTACTTTTCAGGTAACTTGATTGCCAATGTTCTCGTGTCAACAATCTTTCTTGTACTAATTAATCGTGTCACAAGTTCGGTCTCATAAATAAACAAAACTAAATGAATTATAAGTACTTACCTGTATCTGCATCCTCTGCAAATGTTCTGTCTTCTTTTCTTTTGGCTCAACAAAAGTTCAAAGTCATTTGAAATGGAGCAGTGGTTTGAGTTTTAAAACATCTGCAAGACTTTAAAATTTCTATGCTTTTCACAGGGAAAGTAAAATATATTGGCTAATAGAGGTGACCATGGATACGGATAGACTCAAATGATAAACCCACATTAATTTAACCCAAAACTGAAAAACGGGCTAAATCAGGGAACAAGGATAAATCAATTAGAGATAAACTCAAATGGATATACTCGAATTGGTTCTTTGAGTTAATAAAATTTGAACCGATTCGATTTGAGGCCCTTGTCTTTTTAAACTTTTTATGTAGGGCACTATAATCTGGCTGGAAATAGTCAAATTTAAGGAACTTGTTAAATTCAAGTTAAATAAATCAATTTAGAATCAAATTTAAATTTATTTATGACCCTCAAAAGGGTCATAATAAGAGTAGATAAGATAGAATAACTATCATATCTATTCTTCAGAGTATTTGTTTTACTTTATTTTATTACTTCTTTCTTCTCTTTAATTTTATATATTTTTAAAATTAAAAGTTTTAAATTATATATTTTTTATAAATTAAAAATAAGTAACTTATAAAAAGTATAAAAAAAATTAATTTAATAAATATAATTTTTTTTTATCATTTTCTACATATTTATATCATATTCATCTTTATATTAAGTTTATATCAAACATTACATTGTATATGATAAAAACTTACCATGTTCTTATTATATTCTATTTTTATTCAACCCTCTTATCCTATCAATCTTCATTCTATCATGGCTACCAAATAAGCCTTTAGTCTTTTTGTATTAACACCATAAGTCAGTTATCATAATTTCAACGTAAATCTTTTAAAAGAAAAAATATTCACTTTTCATGCGGAGGTCCCAAATGCAGAAATAATCAGACTATTAAATCACATTTTTCTACAAATTTGATAGTAATTATTTCTATAAATTACTACTATTTTATTAATGTAATTTTTTTAAATATAAAAAACAATTTATTTTCAAATACATTAATTGTTATATTCTTTTTATACCTTTATTTATTATGAAAATATATAAGGTTAAAGTAAGCATCCTTCATTCATTTACTATCTCTGTCTCATATTAGTTGTCATGTAAATGATTAGTTTGATTAATTATTATGGTAAAAAAAAAGTTGATCTCACTAAAATACCCTTATTTAAAGTATTGAAGTTATTGCATTAGTTAGGTGATAATTAATTTTTAAGTTACTTTAGTAGTTAGTTGGCAAAAATTATTCTTAGTAAGTAAAGGTATTATAAACATATAATAAATGTTTTTTATATTCTAAAGTGAAATAATGTGAGACAAACAAAAGTATTCAAGTAACAATTAATATAAAACAAGAATACATAATACATTAATTAAAACAATAAATATTTTTAAAATAAAGTATAAATTTATAATATGTATAACTAATTTTTATTAGTTTTAAATGAAATAGGTTGGAAAGTTCGGTCCACAGTTTTTTGGAGGAAATTTATTATATGCATAACTAATTGGACCTATATGATAGATTTTCTTAATTACCTTTTAAATTCACCTAGTTACATGTAACAAATGATACACCGTATTTTTATAGGTTTAAATATAATTTTTGTTTCTTTAATTTACATTGATTTTTGGGTCTCTATATTTTAAAAAGTTTAGGTTTTAATCCTAAATTTTAGTTATTTCGATTTTGGTATTTGCCAATTGCCACTGATATAGTACCATACGTATTCGTAAGGGAGAACAATCAAGACCAATATGTAATATATTATAAGGATCAAAACTTAAACAAAATAAAGCTATAAGAACTACAATCTCAAAAATTAATCATAGGAATCTAAAAATAATTTTAAAATATAGAAACAAAAAATAAAATTGAAACGGTATGAGGGAAAAAAATACATTTAAACATATTTAATCTGATAAAACTTGTCGTATCTTTGAATGTTTATTGGTGTAATATAATTAGATATATAACATATCAATATTGTGTAGAAATGGAAACCTTTTTAACAAGTTCTAAAATTTGAGGAATAAAAGTAATAAATATAAAAAAATATAAAATGAAAATATATTTATAAAAATTGAAAAAACACATAAGCCTTTTTAGTATTTATCATTGTCTCAATATAATGGTAGCCTACCCGTTCATAGAATTGAATTTTAGTTCGAGTCTTCCAATTAAATTATAGTACTAAGGGCGTAAACTATTTAATATTCCGGCATGTTCTGTCCTTTTTTACAAGCGACAAGGTATAAAAATAACAAAAATAATGGCAGAATTTAACATGTTACAGACAACACAATTTGCAAATTTCCTCTTTATTTTTGGGACTAACATTATAAGCCAAAGAGATATTGTTATTAACACTTTAATATCAAATTACAAAATGTTCAGTATATATATCAAGTACAAATACATGAAAAAATTAATTAAGAAAAGGCACAACAAGTTTTTTATACAGCAACAAGAATCCATAGAGACACAAAATAGAGAAACAAACAAAATATGTGTATATATTGTCCGGATGTTTCCAGTTAAATTCTACTGATAAACACTTGTCAGACTATAATGCACATAAAATGAGACACTGAATTACATATATTCTTGATTTGGAACAGAACCATAAACTCAAACTCCCTTGTAAATCTTATATGCTTCAGTGAATACCCCGCTTTAGCACTAGGTTTGGCTCCTCGATTTTTCCATGGCCCTTGGAGCTGCAACCAACACATTGGAGAACATAATTTTAAGCATTCTTTTATTCCAATATAAAACCAGTGATCCATATCAAAGATTGTGATGAAAGATGATACTTACAATGGAGTAATTATAGTATAGCACAGCCCATTTAACACAATTAATCAAAACCTTATAATAATATTAAAATAACTAACAAAAATCCTTATGATGTTTTTAATTGGTTGACTTATAAACAAGTGTCATGTAAGAACTCGTGTGGACCTGTGTGCACGTAAATACATGTTTAAAATAAGAAGACAAACCTAGCCCAATTGCCTCAGAGCCTTTCATGATCCTCAGTCTCCTACACGAGTCAGTGAACATCCTGCATGAACAAAGGATTTAAGTCAACAAGTTCAACCACTGAACTATTATAATTGAAATGTAACATTCTCCCTAAGCATGATCTTAATAATTTTAAATTATAATTATGACAAGAGAAGAGATAACTTACTCCCAAGGAACATCCCCCACAAGCATCCAATCACCATCTTTATCTTCATATGTAAGAACATATTCAGATCCATGGAGAAGATCCCTCAAAGAACTCTCACTTAGTCCATCTTTCCCAGGAAGCCCAGGAGAATTGCATTGACCTATAATTTATGGTTTACGTGCACAGGTGAAAAGTGGTTATGCAGAAGTCAAAAGGGAAATACTGTAGCAAAAGACTCTCTTGATAAGTGAAACTACACAGATGTTGAATTCCTATATTTAGATCTAGCAAATACAAATCTGAATTTGCACTAGGATGTTTCACAACTTTAATCAATTTGTTATAGATACTGTAAGTTATTAATTTTACAACTGATAAAAAATAGTCTATAAAAATTCATAATAAGCTAATGAAAGAATTTTGAAGGAGATAGGTATTACCAATGGTAAAGCAGCGGAACATCTTCTCGAGAGCTGAAGAAAGTTCCATATAGTTGTTGTAGGTTTTGAGATCAACCTTTCTAAGATAAGGGGCACCATCCATGCTGACTTTTACATAGAGACAACCAAACCCTGTTTTTCCCTCAGCTTCTTCATTGTTCTTTGTCAAATTAGAGGCCATCGTGTTCTTTCTGAAAGATCGAATTGGTGGCCATCCCACAACCTGTGCCCTGTTGCAAAGTTTTAATCTTTATTAGTCCCAATGAAGAATAATATAAGAGTAATTATCAGAAGATGAAAATTTTCCCATAAAGGAAAAAATTCATTACCCACTTCACTTTTTACATTAGAAACAATATCTAACCGAAACACCATCCAAAAAAGAAGAAGAAGAAATCATGTGTATTAAAGGGTAGAAGTAGAACCGCAAAGCATGAAGTCAGCAACAATTAACAATCATATCCGTTCTATAAATCATGGATTGAAAATATGAACTATTCTTATTCACACAATTTAAAAACTCTTTGCCCTGATTACCAACCTACCTCGTACAAAGCTTTTGATAAGGCACCACATCTGACACAGACAAAATATTTTTTCAAAGAAAGTATTGGAAATACAACAGACATAATACCAAATTCCAAAAGGTTAATTTTCCGTTGAGGCTCACAATTTCAAATCCTCTATGAGAAAAAAGAAAAAAACTGAACAGCGAATCAGATGTTAGTTTCATGAACTTGTATATCTTTCACCTCATTTTAGGCAACGAAAATATAACATAACATCTAACTCAAACAAACTATTCCACTTATTTGTTCCTTTATTCAGTTAGTTATACCAATATGCAAACGATGTCAAATTGTCAACTGTGGACAGTAAATAGAACACAAAGCAAAGAAACAGTAAAAGATAAGCATTATGGAAACTGACTTTGACGCAGGAGCACTGGCATGCCCATTTGTTCCAGCAACTTGATTATTCTTTTCCTGAACCGGTTTGGCAGATTGAGGAACGACACCAACCTCTTTGATGGTTGTTGTTGCAGTGGTATTATTAGGCTGCGTTTTAGTGTCTAAACCAACAAGAGGCTTAGCAACATTCCCTCCTCTAGGAGAGAACAAAGCAGGTCCTTTTCCCAAATCAACGTCAGATCCATCACTGACAGAGAAACCCCATTTCCCAGAAGACCCATCAATAGCATCAGAGAAGCCCCTCTTAGCTCCAGCCACAAGGTTCTTCAGAGGGCTTGCCACTGAACAAACATTATGCTTCTTCTGCAAATCCTTGCCAAAGAGAGAGAGCCCACAACCTGTTTTTCTCTCAGGAGACTCAGTACCAGGAAGCCCAAGCCTAAGCTCTGTCTCTTTGAAGTTTAGAGATGAAGTCTCAGAGGCAGTGACAGCAGAAGAAGAGCTTCCATCCATTGATGGAGTCTCTCCCAAGCCTATGTAATCATGTTCCAACGGTGTAGACATCAAAACGACAAGATGAAAGGATCCAATATGCGAACACGACACGAGTTTAAGCAAATGAAGTATGGTACTACTATATATGATAAATATATTTACACAGCTTGGAAATAGAAACAACAGCAAGGAAGTCAGAAAGCAGAGCTTCAACAGCAGTAGTTATGGCATGATATTGATATCAAAGTCCAGGAGCTGGTTTTGTTGATGCAGAAAAGAACCTTCTTGGGCCTTTCTGTAGTAAACTTTTTCCTCCCCATGCCAAAATTAAAAGCAAAAAAAATATAAATAAATTCATATACACATAACGAATAATTGTTTTTTATGATAGCAGTGACTAGTGTGCGCATGGATTCTTCTATACTAATGTTTTTGTAGTAAATATATATTTTTTTCGTATTTATCTATTTTAAGAAAAAAATTATACAGCTAAAAATATGTAATTATTTATTAAATTTATTCTAAAAATAATATTTTAAAAATTTAAACTATTAAAATAATATAAGTATTACATGTGAATAAAATATTCATAACAACTTTTTTATATACTTTTTAAAATAAGTATTAAATGAAAAATTATCATCTTAAAAATATAAAATATATTAATCTCTTTAGTAATTGAGAAAATATTAATGATTAAAATTGGAGTGGATGCTTTAATTTTGGTATAGTGGGGGCATTAGTATAAGCATCTGCACCGACAGGTGGCTGAGTATTCCCCGGCAACCTTTTACGGAGTGTGTGGTGTGACTTTATGATTAGGAAAATAATAAGTGAAGTTGGGTGTGTGAGGTTAAAGACAAACACACACTAAGTGTGGCTCTGCATATTCATCCACGCCCGTATCGTACCGTAATAATTGTGAGATCCCAAAGTGGGAAAGATTAGATCCAACGGTCTAGGTCACTCTATTTGGTCGTTAGGGGACAAAACGGCGTTCACTTGTTGGACAGAGTAAAACCCTCATCATTGCATTTTCTTACTCATAAATTAAAATGTCATGTCTGTCCTCCTTCTACTCTGCATTCCCATTTACCCCAATTCCTAACATTCCAAGTCATTGCTTCAATCATTGCCATTCCTCCCTCGGTTTGACCCAATTTCTATTTTCAATTCACTTTTCTTTTATGCAAATCTGTTCAAAAAATATGATCATTCATTTTTCTGAAAAATTAAATCTTTATAGTGTAACATTCTTTTCTGATAATAAATTTTGACTGATGTACAAAAAAAAAGGCACTTGACTTTTTTCAAGTCTGAGGTAAAATTTGTATTTTTGTATATTTTAGATAAACAAACGAAAAACTTATACTAGAAGCATTAAGGCATCGTCCAAAAATTGGTTAGTTAAAAAAGCAAGAAGTATCTAATCTTGTCTAAAATTGACTTGGAGACCCAACATCAGTGCTATTAGAAACCTAACAAGTTGTTTGTGCATATTGAGGTTGGCGAAAGAAGAAAGAGGCAGCTGTTGCCGGTTATAAACATTTAATTCCCACCAATTATTAGTTTCCACGGATTCAAGTCATTTTTTATGTTTTTATTTCCTTAATTTGATTGAATTCAGGACTGGGTTCATTGCATCGACATCGAATGTGTCCCCACTTATGAATATGTATAATGAATTGTTGGTAGTTCGTATAGTTGTACGTGTCTTTCCTACTTTTTTGTACATGGGGCTGCTTCATCAATGCTCTATTCTCGTTGTTGTTCAACTTTTCAATCCACTTCGCTTACTGTAAAAATTGTATGTTGTAAATATATTTTTTATTCTCAAAATATTTAGAATATTTCAACTTTTCAGGACATTCTTTGACTACGCTAGCTACGAAGTAGGGACCGAAAGCAAAGGAGGAGAAAATGAGAAGAAACTTGCTGCAGATTTATTATAGCAGAGAAGCGAAAAGAACTTGAAAAGTAATTCACGCAAAAACAGTTTCCAAAAACATAAAGATTGATTATGAACACATGAAAAAGGGTGGTTTTCTCATAATAATTTAGGGCCATGCTTGCTGGGTTCCAATCAAATAGTTGAGAAATCTTTAATGAGCTTTTGTTTTTTTGGGTGGAATGATGGATTTGAGGGATAGATTATGATGGCAATAACAGCTTAATGACTTTAACAGGAATGGACCATGGTGACCCAGTTGCTCCCCACGCGTTGTTTAAAGGTTCATAGGACTGCGCTGGCGCGCTTTAATTAATTGCTACAACCACCTCAATGGATAACCAGTTGTTGCCTCTTCACCGCTTCTTCTTCAATCAATCATTCTCATCTAAAGCTAAGCTATGGATCCACCATTTAGATATAGCTCAAGTGCAAAATCACAATATAAACACCTCTCCCTGCACTCTTAACTCGGACTTTTATCCTGTATTATCACATAATCTAAAATCATAATAAATCTGCATTTATATAACAATTTATTATTTATACTATTTTGTGATGTATCCTAGCACATGTATTAATCTCTGATTGTTAAAAGATATTAAACATATTTTATACATTCATTTATTTTTAAACAAAACTTTTTATATATTTTTAATATCTTAACATATATCTTCAGACACATATTAAAAGAAATTTTTGTTTATATTATTAGAAAGTCATAGAGGTGAGTTGGAAAACTTCATGGGGTGTAATTAGTTATTGATATCACAATTGAAATGATTCATATCAGCAAATATTCCGACTTGTCATTTTTCCAGTTGTGATACAAACAACAGGATGTCAGTTCACTTTCATGATGATAACAAGCAGACTACTACTAGGTTATATGCAAAGTCTACGTACTATTGTTATTGGTTACAAATGTGAAAATATAAAATGAAGTTCTCAAAATTTAATCCAAACATATCCGTAAACTAACCGCCATCTAAACAGCTAATTTAATCTGTTTTGGAAAAGAAAGAAATATTTTTTATCTAAGACACTGTCTAACTAGCCGTTTGATTTGACAAGGTCAACTAGTGGACAATCTATTTTACTGAAAATATGAATTCCACTGTAATAGAAAGTGGGGTTATAATATGCGATTCTCTTATCACTTTGCCCAATTATCTAACTTCCTATTAATTTCTATCACAAGTATTTGAAAGTGAGAAAATCGTGGGACCCGTTTGCTGCGCACCATTGCTACAGTGAACAAAAGTTGTACAACATGTAATCCTATACTTGATAAGCAAAGCCAATGCCATTCTCTCTATTTCTTCGTAGTTCATAATACTTCTGAAAATGGTTATGGTACAATTAATTGATATTAAGCACCTCAACGGGAAGATGGAACGAATTTTGTCCTCACAAATTCTTCTCCAATAGAAACGTAAATGAGTCAAAGTTATTAAAAAGTTCATTGAATTCACCAATAACTGTGCTTCAATTGAAATTAATTCCACACTTTCGATTAAGAGTATTATACACCAAAAATATATATAATATTTATAACAATAAGCATTGTGCAATTCCTACTCTAATATGTTTGTTTAAAATTGACAATGAAAACCTTCCTCTTAAAGTTATCGCTCTTGTCAAGAGATTACATCAATATTTGCTCAAAAATTTATTCAACCTAGAGCAATATTATTTCCAGTGCTGTAAATTATTGAGTACTCTCTTGTCTTCATTGTCTTTTAACTTTTTATATATTTTTTCTGCTACTTTTAGAGGTGGGAGGGAATTGGTTTTTGAATGGATAATAAGTCAGTATAAAAAAATTTAAATATATTATGATAACTTTTGTTGGTAGATCTTTATTTAACAAAAATAATAATTTTTTTATATATATTTTTTAAAATTTATACTAACAATATAGTATATTATATCAACAAGTAATTTTGTTAGTAAAAATATTATATAACGTTAATAGATAAAGTGCTAGTATATATTATGCATAATCTGTTAGTATAAATTTTAAAAGTTATACTAATAATTTATTTTTGTTAGAAAAAATTATACTAACAAAAACTATCCTAACAATTGATAATTTTTTAATATTAGTAAATGATAATTCTTTTGTAGCCGAAGAGATATTTTAGATATTCTACTTATTAGTGGTCTTGATGTACTTTTTATATGTGTATATGCAGAAAAAAAAAATATAAAATAAATAAATAAAAATAAAGATATACGGTATCACATAAAATGTTGATTTTTTTAATACTTCAAACAATGAAACTTTTTTTATATTATTGACTTGCTTTCTTTTCAAACTTAAATTTTGTGACACTTAAAAATTTGTTGCACATGAAAGTCATTTTTCAAAAGCACGTAGTTTTGGTCACAGCCCTCATTATGGAAACCTCTCCTTGTCTGCATATTAATTTGTGGCCTATTTCATGAAGGAAAGAAGATATAAAGAATAATTGGAAGTTGACAGCAACCAAAAAGATTAGGACTTGAAGGATTATACTTCGACCAAGAAAACTGGGTCATGACTGAGTCGCCACTTACTGTAGATGAACAGGGAATTTTGGTTCACAATATTATCAGCATGCAGCTATCACACCACAAACTTCTATGTAGCAATTGAAGCAGCCCATAGATAATCTTGAGCACTAGAAATTACGTAAGGAGATTCCACAAACCATAATTATAGTAATTAAAACCCCGTTAACATTCATGTGCGGCATTTTTATTTTCTCAGGAGATAAGCCAGTTAAAAAAATTAAGACCAACGTGCAAATCTTTAAAGGAAAGAACACAAACCATTTGTAGTCTGTAGAGATTGAGTCGTAAGAAAACTAAACTCCTAGGAAACTTCAAATCACTTCTTGCTTTAATCTTTCGGACAGAGATTTTCATGAATAATAACATCATAAGATTCATATTCTTGAATTGACAAGACTTAATCCCCAATTTCATTAGTAATATGACTATTCATCATGTCCGTGGTGGTTTCTTTACTATTATTCAAATACTGGTATTTTTGTACACAATATTTTTTTAAAATTTTCAAGCATGATGCTAGATTTACAACATTTTAGTATATAAGCATTAGCTCATTCACATGATACCAAGTGGGATTTGAACACAAATGACCTGTTCAAAGTATGAATAAGTGAGATAGAAATATTAATTTAAATGATTTTTTTACACATGGAGCATTACGCATATTTGTGTATTCAGCTAATTTATTAAAAAAGATATATATTACAACTTTTTAGTTCATGGTAATTCAAACTTAAGCTCGTAAATTGCATCAAATAAAACATTGAGAAGTAAATATAACAACATAAAGAAAAAGTTGAAACTTTTCTTTTTACATTTATGAT